TTTGTAAAGTTCAGGTGACAGGTTTACTGGTTTTTATTTATATCCCTGGTGTGGCAGATACAGTGGTCTAGCGTTAAGCACACTGGACCCCAGGTCAAAGGTACAGGCTTAAGATTGGGCCAGGTCATTGAGGTTTTCATTAATGGCTGAACACTTAACCCTTACAGTGGGTGTCTCCAGCTAGATGTACTTGCAAATTGTCAGGAAAGTCTGAATAAATGTGAAGTGAAGGGAAGGGGAGTAAACCTGCATTGAACTACACCCCTACCTTCAAGAGAAACAATGCTCTTTCTAGCTTAATGCCACAAAAACTGGGATAAACACCTGCTCCTTAGGCCACTTAGGTCAAGTACAACTTCACCTATTTGTATTCCTTTGATTGGAGAGAGGCATTGCCATAATAAAGTACCTAAATATGCAACTTAACACAAGGACTGCAGGCAAGGCTTGGATCCAGTGCCTGTTTGCCAACCATTAAACAGCTTTCCTTTCAAATTTCTTCAGTTCTAAGTTAATTTTTAGTTAGTACATGTGGAAAGTCACTGATTTAAGACACCCTGAAATATTCTTAATCATACGAATCCTCTACATTAGGAAATATGAGGTGACAGGAATTTGCTTCAAATTTTGTGACTTATTATTTCAGAGATTGGTGGATAAAACAAAGGTTATGTGCCTGAAATGGATTCCTGGATCAGAAAACTTGTTTCTAGTGGCTCATGAAAGTGGCAACATGTTTGTATACAATAAAGAACACCCACATGGGATAGGACCACCTCAGTATGCTCTTATGAAACAAGGACCTGGTTATTCAATTCATAGTGGAAAATCCAAAACTCCTCGGAACCCAGTTTGTAAATGGACTATCGGAGAGGGCTCGATAAATGAGTTTGCTTTTTCTCCAGACTGTAAGCACATTGCTACGGCAAATCAAGATGGATTTCTTCGCATATTTGACTTTGATTCACAGACTTTGTGTGGTGTAATGAAGAGTTACTTTGGAGGGATAATTTGTGTTTGTTGGAGTCCAGATGGTAAGTATATCGTCACAGGTGGTGAGGATGATCTTGTGACTGTTTGGTCTTTTCTGGAGAGGAGAGTCATAGCCCGAGGTGTGGGACACCAATCTTGGGTTCAAGTAGTTGCTTTTGATCCTTATACAACGAGTGTCAGTCCAGAAGGAGGTGTTGATGACAGTGATGAGGAGGAAATGGAGCAAAATGGGATTGTTCCATCATCTGGTTCTTCTTCTGTAACTGAGGATAAAAATGTGACTTCTTATAGATTTGGTTCTGTTGGACAGGACACAAATTTTATGTTGTGGGACCTAGGAGATGACGTCCTAAAACCTCAGAGACCTCGTGGAAGGAGCATGCGCACTGCCACACTTTCAAACTCATATGCTACTTCAGCACCTTTTGTGTCTAATGGACCTGTTGTTCATGAGGTGAATCACTCTGGCAGCGGTAATGCTGTTGCACCAATGTCTTTTGATGCACCCAAGAGTTTGACACAAGTACATTCATTAAGTAAGTCTGTGGAACACCTCGTCAATATCGGAAGCGTTACTCCTGGCACTGTTTTGTGTCCACGGATGGATGAAATATCCATTTTAGAACCTTTGGTTGCAAAGAAAGTGGCAAATGAAAGATTATCAGCATTGTCTTTTAGAGAAGATTGTATTGTCATGGCTTGCCATGAAGGATTTATCAGGACTTGGGCGCGACCAGGTAAAGTGGTAAGTGTGAAATGTGTGCCTGCCATATCTCTCACATGTACGCAAAACTGATAAACTCGTAATTTGTCATCATTACAACATTGCACAATCAAATGTGTGTTTTCCACATGTCCATTTAACTTAACTCTTTAACTCCTGTGAGTGACCAAGACAGAATTTCTCCTTACTATATCTATACAATATCATGCGGACAAGTGATGAGAAAGAAGAAAAACATTGATTATGGGATTACTTATTGATCCAATACCAAATTCTCCAAACTAACATAACAAGAATCGTTTGGTAGACAGTAAGGAGAATTACTGATGAGATCTTGGGAGTTAGAGGGTTAAATTAGCCATGTGTTTCACAGTGTTAATTAAAACTATGTGTCTTGTTGTTGCAATTGTGCTATTAAAAAAAAAAAAAAAAAAAAGAACTTCCAGCTGCATTACATCCAAGCTCTTCAATGATTTTGGTGTGATCAGGGGCAAATTTAGCTGCCAGTATATTTTCTAGTTACCATGGGGGAAAAATGGTCACAGCTTGGAGCAGTGCTGCCTGGGGGTTTATGTATTGACCACTACTGTTTCTCTGTCCCTGAGGAATGCAAATCAGTATCAACAGCTTCCAGGTACAGAGTAAACTGTGCTGGTGCAATGCAAAGTCTCAAAAGGAATCATTTGAACAAATAAAAAGTGTCATTTTGTGCATGCTTTCTTTTTTCTCAGGGTGTGCAGCCTACAGGAACAGTAGTGTGAGCAGTGCAAGTGGCGAAGATACAGAAGGGAACAATGACACAGACGAATTACCACACTCAGCATGTTGAGCATCATAATGGACAATTTTCATCATATCACCTGCTCTTATTCTGGGATTTCCTATGCTATTATCCATTCTTTTCATTTGTAAAAAGAAATAATCAAGACCCAGTTGTTCAAAGGGCAGATAACACTAAATGGATAAAATGCCATCAAGCAGAAAATAGTTAACAAAACCTGCTGCATTATCCTTGGTATAAAGATTTATCCAGTGATATTGCGCAATTCATCCTTCGAACAATCAGGGGCTGGTGAACAAGAAACCATGTTGATTTAGCAACTACACAGTAAATAGTTGTTCTCAAGTGAGCAATATTTCAAAAATTGGAGTAATTTGTTGTGGTGTTTTTGGTACAAGGAGTTTAATCACACTGTTATTTACTACCTGAGCCGCTGGTGCTCGCAAAATGTGAATTTATTTGAAACTCATGTGATGTGTAACATCAATTGCATATTTCCATGTAATTACTGGCAGATAATTAAAATGAGTCTTTGGTCACACAGTAAATAGTGGTTGGAAAGTTCAAAGTGTTGTCAGAATTGAGCTAGAAATGAGAGTTGACTTCAGAAGGTAATTTTTTTTTTTTATCAACTGAGTTGATATTGTAAGTTTCCGACCATCAGGCTCCTACCACTGTAAAGAATTTCCAAAGCTGAAATTTTGAGCGTTAGCTCCTAGTGAGAGTGGCCAGCAAAAGCCTGATCACAGGCTCACTTTGATGTTTCTGAGTTAACACAGTCAGGTTTAAATCCCACTCATACCCACTCTGCTCCCCACAAATAGTCCTGTACCATCATTGCATTTCGTATTATTTTCTTCTCATCATGATCCTCTACACTACATTTTTGCCTTCATTCTATTGTCATCATGGTGTTAAAAAGTCAAATGACTCTCCACACTTGTTCAAATTTGATCGAGTGTTGAGTTTTCACACCTAAAAGATTTTTCATTTGTGAATTTCTTGTTGAAAAGACTTCATTTTAGCTAAGAAAAGGAAAGGGTTTTACCGCCCATTTTTGAGAATTTAATTTCAAGTCATGTTTTAATCCAATTAAGATTGAAAATGGTAGAGGAGTGAAAATTTTTACAGCTAGCACAGAACTGCTTGTCCCCATCTCTTACATGATCTTAGTTGATGACTTTTGAGATGCAAAGTAACGTTTTTTTGTCAAAAATCTTGAAGGCAACCTTTCATTATGTTAGGGTGATGTGCCATGAAAGTTGAAATTCAATTTGCAAAGCATCACTTCCACTGAATAACAAATTTGAAATATTAAATTTTTTTCTGAAAGGTGTCTTGTTAGTATTCTGAGGTAATTAATTTTATTAACTCTTTAACTCAAACACAAAAATTATCCTTGCAATTCCAATGTTATCTAACAAACCAGTTATGGGAACAGATAAACTTACCAGCTGGAGGGTGCTACCTTGATATAACACCAAATAAATTCTCTTGACCAGCCCACAAGTAAATGTATGGAAGTCAGTAGGGAGAATGGTTAATTTGATCTCATGATTAGAAGTGTTACCTAGTGACAAGAGGGGTTGCTTGATGTTTTTCAAAGAGTCAAGAAGAATAAGGAAAATTTCATGGAGAGATTGAAGGGTCTTTTTTTCGCAAGGTGTACGATTGGTACAAATTGAATTGACTTGGGGATGCCACGATCGTTCAACACCTCTATGAACCACGTTAAGGGTACTCGTAGGAAGCACTGTTGTCGAGGGATCCCGAATTAAATTATGTTATCAATGAGGAAAATTTGAGGTATAGGAAAATGCAACAAGAAGCTAAAATAATGAGGAAATAAAGAAAGTTCAATGAGGAGATAATGGATCGTAGGAGGGAATGGGAAGATCGAACAAACGAAGTGACACTATATACGGGGAAAGTCAAAGCGAAAACAAACAGTCGTGCGGTACGTGAAACGCAAAACAAACACGAAAAGGAAAGTGACGGCCGAAACAAGGCCGGAGAAACCGTCCCTATGGCTTTTCCATTGCTAGCAACTCACCATTGCTTCACAGCGTTATTATTTCCTGCAATCTAAGACTTTGGTCATTAGGGCCTCTAAAACCGACTTTCATTTCCTTGACTTCCTTCAAATTTTCTGAAGTAAGTTCAAGGGTGTAGCCGCCATGTTGTACGGAATTGGATGCCGGAAAGCCATAGGTATCTATGTCTTTACTTGAAGACGAAAATAGCCTGGTTTCAGTGAATTGTTCCAAGTTCTTTGCTGTGATTTTACTACAAGGAACGAGTAACATTAAGATGTAGAGATATTAAAAAGTCTTAGCACAATGCTGAAGTTTAAAACTCTCTTTTTTAACTGATTAGTGAGAAATTATGAAGACAGGCTAAAATATTTTGACCGACAGAGCCTTTTTCGCATTTGTGCGAGATTTGATAAATTCGTGATACTAGAAAAAGCAAGTCAAAAGCATCCAACGAGGCAGGTACATGATGGCAGCCTTGGGGGAGGTGCCAGGAAACGAGCTATCACGTGACAAGGCGGCGTTGAGGAAGTTAGCAGCGGCCATATTGGTTTTGACGAAAGTGGTCGGTGTGAACAGCACGGTCATGGATGCCAAGGGAAATAAAGTTCTCGTTTGCGACAATGGAACAGGGGTAAGATTGATAAGTTGTTACACAGCTGGAAGTGATGTTTAAAAGCGAACTAATTTGATTTAATATTTTTAAATTACAGTTTGTCAAGTGCGGATATGCAGGCTCAAACTTCCCAGCTCACATCTTTCCTTCGATGGTGGGCAGACCCATTATTAGATCCACAGCGAAAGTAGGAGATATTGAAGTGAAGGTTAGTGTTTCATGTTTTGACATCGTTTATTTAACTCAAAAGTTCAAGCTTTACTCTCGTTCAAACTGAAAAAGTTGTGTTTCAAAAACTACTGTACGTCCGTTGTTTCGCCCTTTAGGATCTGATGATTGGAGATGAAGCCAGCAAACTAAGATACATGTTAGAAGTGAACTATCCAATGGATAATGGAATTGTTCGAAACTGGGAGGACATGAAACATGTATGGGACTACACGTTTGGAGAAACAAAGCTTAACGTTGATCCAACGAATTGCAAAGTGAGCACTAAATAACTTTTTCATTATCGTACCCCTACTGCACAATAATTAACTTAAGTTTTATTGCCCCATTAAAACTAAATTGACAATTCTTGTCCAGGTTTTCTCATTTAGTCTTTAAATTTAGGTTCTGCTTACCGAACCGCCTTTGAATCCGACGAAGAACAGAGAAAAAATGATTCAGGTAAGTTCACAACTCTTGGTCTCTTGAGGTTTCATTTTCAAAAAGCTCACTTGATAAAGCTTATGCTTCAAGTGAGAACAATTAGATCAAGGTTTCTTGCAAACTTTTAAAGTGTTGTGAAGGTTATAGTTTATCTGTAAAAGTTAACACAAGTGGCTTAGCAGATTAGCACAATATCTAGAGGAACAAACAATTCATGCCACGAAAATGTATATCTTAAACTTGTCTGTGAGTGTGTCTTGCATCAAGTCTCATCTGCTGGGGTAATAACTCGTTCTTTAGTATCTCATCTATTTATTGCTGTTACTTTTGAAGGTAATTATTTCACAGAACATGGCAAATTCATTGCTTAATCACTTTGCATTTGAAAGCCAGTTAAACAGTTTTATAAAAAATTTACAAAGAAATATAAAGATGTTATTTCCTCATGTAGTGAAAGAAGGATAATATTTGTCTTGGTTTTTTTTCTGGGGTACTGAGACCAGTTCTCCCTTTGCTGCTAATTTTATTTGATGGGGAAGCTCTCAATAACATTAAAGCAGATAAGACAATGAAAAATTAACTTTATTGTGAGTAAAAATCTTGAGCTTACAAACCATTCAAAACTTTCACTCACAGGAGTGGCATAGAGGTAATTTGATACAATATAAATTTACTATTAGCAGTAAGCAGACAGGTGAAGGGAATAAAGTTATATCACTTGGGTAATATTTGATTTGAAACCAGATTCTCAGAATTAAAATTTTAGAAAATGTACAGTAGACAAAAAGGAGAATTGGCATTGAGATCCTAGTATTGAGAAAATAATCTTTTTCTTTAGAATTCCTGGGTATGATTGAGCTAACATTACAAAGTGGTGACTTTCTCTTAAGCCTGAGATTGTCATAGATCTAGAGGGAAAATGACCATTTGGTGGCCTATTGTTTTGCTTGTTGAAATTTTGAACTGCTGTCCCAGAAATAATCAATGGGTCAAATTTGACTTCAAAATCTCAGTACTGGTTCAGATTTTGAAATTACTTTTGAACTAACAGAAAACTTGCATTGATTACTTTTGGAGAGGGTCCCTATAAAAAGTATAACTACATCTTAACAACGAATCACAAGTAGAAATGATGTTTATATTGAATCATAGCTGGTATGATGAAATAAATTTTCTCAATTTTTGATTTGTTAATACAGGTCATGTTTGAGAACTACCAATTTGAAGGTGTTTATATCGCTATTCAGGCTGTTTTAACTTTGTACGCACAAGGTGAGTAGATAGTGATCATAGCATAAGTTGACTTAGATTGGTATCTTTGTACATGTAGTTGTAGTACCTAACTCTACTATGTGTACTGCCCCTATCCTGTTTTAACTTTTTGTATTATATCAAGTATAGCACTTAGGTTTTTATTAAGGTTATGACAGTGAATGACATTTCAACAATGATGTGAGTGACAGTGGCTGTTATTTTGACAACCTGAAAAGGAGTTAGTGTTCAATTCAAATGAATTGACTTTACTGATGACTTCCAAAGTGGTTGTTAACTATTCTTTCTTATTTTGCTATATTGTAATATGGTAAATTGTCTTCATTCGTTGGACATACAAAACAATTTTTTCTTGCCATCTATAGGTTTGCTGACTGGTGTGGTAATAGACTCTGGTGATGGAGTGACTCATATCTGCCCAGTTTATGAAGGCTTTGCTCTGCCTCATCTCACCAGGAGATTAGACATAGCTGGACGAGATATTACCAAATATCTTATCAAGGTAACTATTAACCTTAACCCACTTGCTCCGTCGTTTTCACAGAATAATGCAAAAAGTTTCAATCCAAAGCTAATCAGGTGTGTTTATCTTTTCTTTGTTCTTGGTACTAAATTGATCCCAGGGAATGAAAGAATTCAAAGTTTCTTAACAATAAGGAGCCTCTCATTCTGTGCAACTAAAGGGAAGGGTTTTCCTGTTGTTTAGACATGAAAGAAAATGTAAAAGGAAGTTCAGTGTCAAATGATGGTTTTTTAAGATCCTGAGAAGGTAGTTCATCTAAATAATTGATCCCCTTTTTGGCTTTTTTTCTTTCACTTAAATCCTTTGCATTTTCCCATGACACAGTTATGGCAATCATTAATATCTCCAAGTAGTATTTCCTCCATGAAAAATTACTCATTATCATAAAAAGGACTGCTTAAAAATATTGTGGTAGGGTTAAACCAATGCAAAGTGCAAAGAAAAATTTTACAACGTTACCATTTGCTCTCCTGTATTTTGAATGATAAGTTTGTGTTTGTTTGACAGTTGCTTCTGTTGCGTGGATATGCATTCAACCACACTGCTGACTTTGAAACTGTCCGTATGATGAAAGAAAAGCTCTGTTATGTCGGGTAGGTAGAATTTTCATCCATGCCTTGATACAAATAGTCAAATATCTCAATTAAAATGTAAGTTAACTCCTTTAGATAAACCTTTTACCTTAAGCTCCTGAAATCAAGTCTAAAGTGTAGAGTATAAATCCCATTGTGTTCACACGAAGATAAAGCTTGGTAAAGCAGTTCATTCCAATGTTCATTTTGTCTGCTTATTATATATTACATTTGTTATATTAAGGTACAACATTGAACAAGAACAAAAGCTGGCCTTAGAAACAACAGTTCTTGTAGAACAGTACACAGTAAGTCTTAGAGATATTTTTGGTCATTATTTCAATCTGCTCTCCCTGGTAAGCAAAATCAGTAACTTTTTTATTGAGTTTTAGGGAATCATTACTTGCAAACTTAGTATTCTTAATAAAATTCTTTTTATTTACCAACTAAACTGTGAAACTCATGGTAGGCTGAAAGGTTGATGAACATGTGCAGGCTTAGTTTCAGGGTATGTAGTTCAGTGGGTGTGGCACTTTGGTATTCAAGTTTGGTTGAAGTTTTTATTTTCCTTGTTGTCTACCTCTCACCACTTAACTGCTAGGCAAGAACTTTCATCTCTAAGGATATGACAAATCCTGCCAAATTTTTAGTATGAGTCAAGTTTTTTATTTTTCAAGGCAAGATTTCATCAATCCTAGTACAACTCTCAGCTAAGGAAAAAAAGACTTGATAATTTCTTCTTTTAATAAGTCATTCCTCTTTGTAAGCTTCCAGATGGACGGGTTGTGAAGATGAGTGGTGAGCGATTTGAAGCACCTGAGGCATTGTTTCAACCCCATCTCATCAACATTGAAGGAGTGGGTGTGGCAGAGCTCCTGTTCAACACCATCCAGGCTGCAGACATTGATACCAGAGCAGACTTTTACAAGCACATTGTTCTGTCTGGTGGTACCACTATGTACCCTGGCCTACCAAGCAGGCTAGAGAGGGAGATCAAACAGTTGTATCTGGAGAGAGTTCTTAAGGGAGATACCACAAAATTGTCGGTGTGTAACCACCTTAATGGCTCCCCTTTTCTTTTCTTTTGTTTTTTTTTTTTGGTTCATGCCAAAAGACACAACTTGAACAATGATTGAATAAATTAGTTGAATAACATCAATTTGATCTAACTAGGTAGTTAGGAAAGGTCCTCTCTCAAATTGTGAAAATTTCCAAAGGTTACTGTCACAATTGGCATCTTGATATCAGAAATGAAATCTGCAATAATTCATGCTCTGAAACATATTGTGGACTAGAGAGACCTCAGAAATTAGATATATGATCATGAACCTTTCAAAGTTCTTGCTGTTGTAGAAGATAATTTGGTTGATTATCAACTGAGTTGATAATGAAATTAGCCACAGTAAACAGTTTCTAAAGCTGACATTTCAATTGTTAGTCCTTCATCAGAGTGGAGAGGAATGGTAGGTTGTATGCAGTTAGTTGGTCAGTCTTTATGTCTTGGGCTTGTCTTATGTTATCAAGAAATTAGAATGTATATTAAAAGTTTCCTTAAACCAAGTTCACTTTTTTGCTATTTTCATCATTATTCACAGAAATTTAAAATCAGAATTGAAGATCCACCCAGAAGGAAACACATGGTGTTCCTTGGTGGTGCTGTGCTGGCTGACATTATGAAGGACAAAGAAGGATTCTGGATGACACGGCAAGAATATCAAGAGAAAGGACTTAAAGTTTTAGAGAAGTTGGGAGTGAAAGTTGGTTGAAGTCAGTTAGGTAATTAGAGAAAAGATATAGAGATTTTGTTAACATGGGGAGGAAAAAACAACAGAAAATTCCAAATTGAAATAATGGGCAAACTCTTCTAAACAAGCTCTCTTATGTGATCATTTTTTTTTATGCCATAAGAGGTTTACCTGTTCACATTTGCCTTTCTCTTCATCTCGTCTTGAGGTGAAAAGATTTTCTGCTTACATTTTAATTGAAGGAAAAAAAAACAATCAAGTGTACATAAATTCTCCTTTAGAAACTTCTGGTCATTTCTGCCTCAGTTTTGGAAAAGTGCATTGAAATAATTGATGGCAAAATAGTATATTTGGTAGGTTGAAATCAGACCACTTACAACATCATAAATTTGCAATGAGATACTGCAAAAAAAAGTTTCTATTGTTATTTGCAAACAGAGCAGTGATGTACTTTGTTGTAAGTGTGAATGAGGCTCAACACTTGAGAAGGCTCTTTGAGATAGTTGAGGTGAAAGCTTAGATCCAGAATATCAAAGAAGCCACCACATTTAATTTATGACAGGAAAAAAAAAACTTAGTCATGTTGTGATGCAGTTGGACTGGTCTTTTGGCATTGCTTTCCTATAGCCATTTTGAAATATAAAGGTTTTACTAACATGTTAACTTTCCTTTTTATGCTCTTGTAGTGAGAAGTGGATTTAATATTGCATGCCATCTTTCTTGTCAGGGTATTGCAATTTTTCTGACATCATTTTGTTTTAAAGCTGCATTTAAATTAATGAGTTTCCTGTAACAATTCCACTGTCACTAATACTTTTTTTTGTCATGATAACTCTTAAGCAAAGATAATGTTAGCCAGGTCATCCACCCAAAAGAATTTTGTCCTTGGAAATTATTTGTCACCAAAGTCACTTGTTTAAATACTGGATTGTATCAGTTTGTGAACAAAGGGTGTTATAACGGAATGCCTCTATGAATTTCTCCAGCAATGCTGCTGCTGAGAAAACTTGTGGGTGGAAACTTTTAAATAAAAATGGAGCTTAATAAAACAAGGTGTTTTCTCAGATGATCACTATGCCTGGAAAGAAAAAAAGAACATTTCATGAAAATTGAAAAAATGATAATAGTTTCTAACTCCTTCAGCAAAAGCAAAGTTTCCATTTGATCAAAGATTTGTGATGTTTTGTCATAGAACAATAATTTCCACCTGAATTTCCTGATGGCCTAGTGTAAGAGCCTGTAGTCGTTGAAGAGAGAGCTTGGTTTTCTAATGTGAAGAGTTTGTGAACTGTACAGATTAGTTTCTTATTAATTAATGAAGAGATCATTCTTAAATATTTTGGTAAAATAATACTTTCCTAGTTCCCTTCACATGTTAATTATTGCATTATGTAATGTTTTTCTTCCCGTCTCCATGTTGTTGCTCGTGGAGAAATTGGAATGCCTTGCTAAAGCAAAGAGATGGAAATAAATGTTCTTTTTTTATTTCAAACTTCGTGTAGTTCACTTGTTTTATCAATTGTGTTATTGATGGATAATGGCCTGTAACCGCAGGAAGAGGTAGAGGAAATGCAAATGACCCAGACGGTTTAATTTGAAAACCAGCGATCATGAAACCTGAAATAATTCATGTTCTCCTTTTCATAAAAGAAATCAGTATGTTTGTGGTTTTCACGCCAGTGAAACTGACATAACATTAGCGCCAATAATATTATGGGTTGCATTTGTTATCATCCTACAGAAGTCAAGTGTTTCCACCAGCCGAACCCCGCCCAGCACTCCCGCATGCTTACACAGGCACGAACTTATGCTTAAAAACACTACCACAGCCCATCAAGGAACATAAGGAAGAATTTAAAGAAATTATCAGGTAATGTCGCAGGGAAAGTCCGTGGAAAATTAAGGATTATAAAAGGTTACCACTTGGTTAACGGGAGGGGGGGGGAGGAGGCGAGGAAAAACCTTCAAGGGAGGGTATCACAGCAAGAACATTATTTTATTAATTAAGAACTTAGAAAGGGAATGGTGAAGGACAATCATAAACAGAGCGTTTTGCATCAGAACTTTAATTGTGACTAATGAATGTGTGATTCATTGATAACTGGATATTGGAAGCTTATAGGATATCGAGGAATAAATGGGAAAAAAAAGAGAGAGCACTTCCAGGTTTAACAAAAGGAGAAATTGAGATGTAGAAAGGCTTAATATATAAATATTCAAGGTGAGAGGGTAGACTTTTAGTCCATGTTAACATGCAATCTTGGAAGCGAAAAAGTATCCTTGTATCCGGCATAAAGGTAAACACTGAGACTACAGCAACAACATTGCTAATAGCCGAGCGGTAAAAGTCCGAACAGACGAAATCCAGCAAAAAAACTGTTCGATACAGGTCAGATTCAAGACATAAAAGGGAATAAAAGTTACAGGCAAAACAAGGTTGTTTAAAGGATTGAAACAAAAACTTAAGTCTTCTTGCCGAGCTGAATAAAAGGGTACACTCAAAGCCAAATATGTATCAGTCGTGTTCATCAGAAAGATCTTCATTGTCATCTTCATAAAACGTTACCGGAACGTTCTCAGAAGGATCCTTATCGTCTATGTTAAAAATACTCTTTCCAGCCACTCCAAGGCCGCCCGTGGCATCGTCCATACCCTCGGGATAATACTCTTCCTCGGGATATCCTTCTTGATACATTCCATCCGCAGGATATCCTTCTTGATACATCCCATCCGAGGGATATCCTTCTTGATACATCCCATCCGAGGGATATCCTTCGGGATACATCCCATCCGCAGGATATCCTTCGGGATACATCCCATCCGCAGGGTATCCTTCGGGATACATCCCATCCACGGGATATCCCTCGGGATACATCGTACTGTCTCCATGGTAGGCCATCTCGTCTGGATAGTACATTCCTTCATTTTCAGCGAAGAACATCTGATCAGGATCGTACACTTCCTCAGGGTAGTAATATTGATCTAAAACACAATTCCGAGAAGAAATTGTTAATTTAAAGTAGGCCTGATTCACTTCATTAATTCAATTCACTTCTTCCCAAGGATCATGTCTGCTGACTGAAGATTACAAAATATTAATTCTGTTTCTTACCTTTATATCCAGGTTTTCTGCTACACATTCTTCTACATTTTCTGTAACATCTTACAACGAAACTAAGAAACAGAACCAGAACTATGAGGCAAGCACCACCTGCAACGCCGAGGGTGTCCAAGGCCCCATTTTTAAGGTCCCTCAACAAGATCTTGGGAGTGAACCAGCGAGTAAACCACGTGGGCCGGCATTTAAGGCCATCCTTGTTATAACCATCTGGACACTCGCATTTAAAACTACCTTGTATGTTACGGCAGTGACTTTGTTTCTCGCAGTTGTGTTTCCTTGTCTTGCACTCATCTATGTCTGTAAGGCAGACAAGAAGGAATTAATGGTCAAGGTATAAGAGAACTGTAGTCGATCTCACTGTCACCTTTAAGTCAACGTGCAAGCAGGCCCTTGTTAAAAGCGCTGCAGCACGGGCGTTTCTTTGTCCAATGGAAACTATGAGGCATAAGGCTTGATGCATGTGCAACGCGAGACGGCGAGGGGTCTTCAGGGGGTCCGGTACTGGTAAATAGTGCCAGACTCCCGGCAAACCTCTCCCCGACTCGTCTCAAATCTTGCAGTTCCCACAGGGCGGGGAGAGGGGGCGTGGGAGATCTTACGATTAAATAGCATTTCGTCCTTATGGCTTCATGCCACTGAAACTGTGATAAGTTGGCTCTTCCCCCATTCCAACATCCTCCCCCCTATATTGCCAAGCTTTTTGTCCACCTCCTCCCCTCCTACCGTTTCTCGTTTAAAAGTTTTCCCAGTATTCAAATCCTTGTTCCGTAAATACTGCTAAACAAAAGTAAGAAATCGCGACCGATAAAAGCACAAACCTTTGCATTTGTCGTCAGATTTAGTGGCAAATTCGTCGAAAATGAAGCCGGCACCACATCGACAAAGGAAGGATCCTACCGTGTTGGAGCAAGTTCTATGCTGGCCTTTACATTTTGCAGTTTCCGTGCATTCATCGATGTCTGATATGTCAATAAAAATGAAATATTGTGCCCCGAGTGTCACTCTCGTAAATTCCAATAAGCTACAATTAAGAACGTAGCTAAATTTAGCCGGAAATATCTTCGTCACGTTGTACCGAGAGACAATCTCTTTCAAAGAATTCTCAATTGACTGTCGCAAAAGCAAAGGCAAAGTGATCGTAACGACCAATCTGAGCGAAGGAAGATACCTTTAAGAGCCAATTAGAACTCAGAGTAAAAACGAGCCAACCGCGAAAAGCGCGGGGAAACGCATATTACCAAGTTACGTTTGATTTGCGTCTTGTATGTGACTGGTTGAGAGGATAGCACGAGTTTTCTGGACCAATCAGAGAGCGGAGTGATTCAAAACCAATACGTAAACCCGGATAACTTTTAATACTCAATTGAAAATTTCTTTAACCCTTTAACTCCCATGAGTGACCAAGACGGAATTTCTCCTTAAAATATCAATGCAACAACAACCTAATAAGTAATGAGAATAAAGAAAAATATCAATTTGGGGATAATTAGTTGATCCAATACTAAATTATCTGAACTAACATTATAAGAAATGCACGATTGACAGTAAGGAGAATGAAAATTTTGATCTGGGAGAGTCAGAAGTGTATGCATTCGCGAATCGATACAACACATGAGCCACAATGATTCTGAGCTGAACTTTTTTACACCAACCACTATTGTGATTATCATCACTAATATTACAGTGAAGATTTGATGGATCGACGGCACAAAAGTTTTTCACATAGCAAATGCCCATTTCCGAATTACCTTTGGCCTCTATTTCAAAGCAAGTCCTGGTGCTCATCCTTTCATATGATTGTAAGTTTTCATTCACATATAACTTAAACTCGTTTTCATACACATGGTTGAGCACCAGGCCTAGTTTTTAAAAAGAAGCCAAAGGCAATTCCGAAATTCGACACACTATTGCAGAGAGAAGCGATAAAATGAGGAAAGACTCAAAAGAAGGGCTTCGCCCTATCATAAACTACTGAGTAAATACAATTATTTAATTACCTATGCATTGATGTGATTCTTTAGTCTTGTAGCCAGGTTTGCAATCACACTTATAGCTGCCATGGGAGTTTTTACATGTGCTGGTGTTTTGATTACAGGGCTGCAGCTTACACTCGTCGACATCTATACACTGTTTCACTTCAGGGACATAGAAATACCCATTTTTCATGTCACCAAGACATTCACAACCAAAACTGCCTGGAGAGTTGACACAGCTTACATCTTCGCCACACACGTACGGGTCGTCACATTCATTGATATCTAAAAAATAAAGTTTATGTCATTCAAAACAATAAAAAAGTGGATGGAAGCTTTGAAATGTTGCAGTGATATCTATGCTTTGGTTTTATGCGAGCTTATCTGATTTGTTCAAAACAAGATGAAGCTAACCTAAGAGTGACTATTTACGATCTTTCCCTTCTGTTTTATGGCTGTTTGTTTTGTGCTGTTTTTTCTTTAACGGTCGTGGGAATGCAGAGGGAATGCAATAGTCCATTTTACAGTTGTGTGCTTGGTTTCCAAGTCTTTGAACAGGAGTGAGGCCAAGGTTGACCTTGTTATGATACAAACCTTGTTGCTTTTCAAATGCAAATTACTTTTTTGTCAATGCTAACTCGATACTGGTCTTTATCACAACAAGGTCACCTTCAGCCTCACTCCAAATTAAAGGCTTGGCGGCTAAGTACACAACCTTAAAATGGTCTATTGCACAATCGACCTTTGAACGAAAAGAGGCTCTGCCTTTTCTAAGAATGACGCACCCTGTCTCGTCTCCATATCTTGTCGTATCAGTCTCTTTCAGCTCACAGCTCTCACCTCATATCAAAGAATCTGATCCCTATTTATTGTGTACTGAGGCTTTGCAGAAAGATTTGTAAAGTATGGTTTTACCAAGAGTTTGCCTTTCACTAAGATAAAAATGGATAACATTTTTTGCTAAAGAGCAATTTTCAATTGAGTGACAAAAGTAATCGGGAATTTCCTTGGTTTTGCTTTACATCGCTCTGTGATTGGTCCAGAAACTCGCGCTACTTTCTCAACCAATCAGATGCAAAATTAAAACCAATTACGACGTGATTGCCCGCGTTTTCCCGCGCTTCAGGCAGTTTGGTTGTTTATACTTTGAGTTCTCATTGGCTCTTAAAGTTATTTTCCTTTCTTCCGATTGGCTGTTGTAATTGCTTTGGTTTTGGTTAAACGACACTCAATTGAAAAGCGCTCATAACAGCTTAGTTATCAAAAACTTAGAACATACACTGACCTACGCATACTTCGTTCTCCATTTTGAAACCCGGGGTACACTCGCAGGTGTAACTTCCCACATTGTTCTTGCAATAAGCGCTGACTTTACCGCATTTGTGAGATCCGCTCATACATTCGTCTATGTCCTCACAATTCCCTCCCTCTTCATAATAGCCGTCCCTACACTGGCATGTATGGTTGGTGCAAACTCTGCCAGTTGGGCAGTTTATGTTACTTCTGCAGTTAATGCTGCCATCTGTTTAAAGGGGAGAATACGAAACTCATCGAAAAAAGGAATCAATTCCTTCATCATGCGAACGCTTGTAACTGTATTAGCGTAAAACAAAATAAAAAATATATCTACCTGATTGCATTGGCACAAAAAAAATGAAAGAGTAAAAGGTCAAAAGAAGGGAATAATTATAGCCTGCATAGCTGGCCTTGAAGGAGGAGGGAGGGGAGGGGAGGGGAGGGGAGGGGAAGGGTAAAAGCGGAGGATAGGGGAGGGGAGGGGAGGGGAAGTGGAAAAGAGGAGGGGGGAAGGAAGGCTCTTTTCTCCCCCTCCCCTCCCCCTCCCCCTCCTCTCTCCCTCCCCCCTCCTCTCCCTCCCCCTTCCCTTCCCTCCTTCTTCCCTAAGAGCCAGGCTACGCAGGCTAGAATAATTAGGAAATCACCTTCCTTGTTATGAAAAGATTTTAGTAGTTCCAAAATATACCCAAATCTACATTCTTATTTTTTTAACGATCACAACAGCGATGAGTGGTTAATTTTTGCTGTCCTTCGGAAATTAGATTTGTTCAATTTACTTCGCCGACTTCTTCGGTCCGGGATAGTTATCAGATTTTATAACCACGGGACGTCGCAACGTGGCGGCCATTCCGTGCCTAATTCGATATGTTCGCTTTTTGTTCGTTATTACTCGCCGTATGTGCCAATGATTTTATTGGAAATTAGTGAATAGATACTGATCTTCACGCGTACTCAAGATGGTGGTCTTCAAGGAGTGTTCTTAAGGCCGTGCTTTCTTTTATCGCCAACTTAATTTCATTTATCGAACGAGTGAGGGAAAAGAAAAACTTCAGAAGCTCTTCTTTTTGGCCTGGCCAAATCGATATTCTACATTTCATAATACAGAGATTCTCAAACTGTTCGTTAATGCTCTAGAAGTATCATGTGATAGTATCCTTCGTGGTCTTCTAAAACAGGAACTGGATAAACTTCAAAGAATTCAAAATACTGCAGCACGTCTTATCAATGAAACTAAACGATAAGAACATCAAACCTGCCCTTCGAGAACTACACTGGCTACTTGTTAAGTCACTGATTATATTCAAAGTTCTGCTCATCACTTTCAAAATTATCCATGGACTTTGTCCAGCCTACTTGTCGTCCCTCCTACAACAATACCACCCGCAAAGAAGCCAACGCTCGTCCTCTAAACTACTTTTTACCGTCCCTACTGTGAACTCTGTGACATACGGTGAACGTGCCTTTTCTTTCTTCGCACTTATATTATGGAACAGTCTAGTGGGTTCTGTTAAAAATACAACATCTCTTTTATCTTTTAAATTTGCCCTCAAAACATTCTTGTTTCGGGAGTTTTTTTTTAAAATTATTTTACGTGGAACTGTACCTCGCTTTCATGCCACCCAATTCTTAATTAATTATTTCATTTATTTATTTATTACTGTTATAAGAAACATTTTGTAGGTTTTAATCAATTTATTTTTTTCTAAATAGTAATGAAAGCGCGTTTAGTTTTCTAAATACGCCCAAAAACTTTATTATTATTATTATTATTATTATAATTATTATTATTATTATTATTCTTTTCCTGTTTTGAATCTTAGCTGGTGTTGAATTGGTGAACTAACTTTAGGGATTTGTCATGAAATTGTGTTAACATGCCAGTCAAGTACGAAGACCAGTTGTAAATTTCCCTACCTTTTCCCTTTCCTACAGAACTTTTTCCGTCTTGCAAAGAATTTATTTCGTTTGGCAAAGAACTATTTTCGTTTGGCAAAGAACTATTGTGATCATGCATAATTCTGCCATAACCTACAAGCAAAAAAGAAGAAAGATAATTTATTGAGATATTTTTAATTACCCTATAAATACATACTATATCTATTTTAGACCTGAAAACGATGTGAATTTTCTATGAGTCTTCTGGACCAATCACAAAGCAGGGTGAAGTAAAACCAATAAAACAGATAATTTAACAAATAGAGAAGCCTTGGCTGTGCTCTATTCTGTTGTAAAGCACGCAGTAAGCGGCTAGAGCACGAAAGAAGTGTAGGGAGAAACACGAGACGTAGTCGAGCTGCGCCTCGTGTGTCACTTTTTAGTTCTTACCACATTTTGACGTCATCTGTGATCTATTACTGAACAGACGCACGACAACTTGGAATCTATTTGTTAAATATGAACTTTAAAGGTTTGACATTTTTGTCAGCTTTAGTCTTGTACAGCCAATCAGAATTTAGTGTTAACAACTGAGTTGTTAACACTAAATTACCTGCTATACTCTCCCACCGACGTAGCACCACAGTTTCTTTAGAAACTTGCGCCCCTTAAAACCAATGCCATCTTGCCTAGTGATGGTGTTAATCCATCTTCTGATTGAAAACTGCCCCTTTTTAGAGGAGTAATCCTCAATGCTAGCTATGCCCTTTGCGTGATTGTTGTAGCTTCTGTTGGGACACAAAAACTTTATCCTACTTAAAAACAAACTTACCGCAGAGATCGGAGAGAGAGTTCAAAGGCTTATCTCGAAGATGATAAGGTGTTTTGCACTGAATATTATCCACATCTTGAATTACAGGCAGATTCTTCCGGCCAAGTCTAAGCCTTTCGAGATTACAGTCACAATGCAATGGGTTCCCATTTAGATAACTATAAAAAATTGAATGAATGAATAACTAAACCCCTGAGTCTTAAGCTTAAAAAAATAAAAGAAAAAAATTTTTTACACAATTTGACTCTCTGGAAAAAAATTTCAGCAGTTTTTCAATGGCTTATGGCCACTTTTTTTTTTTAAACTTTTTTGGGATAACCTTCATAACAGGGAAGCTCCATACCAAAGGCGATTGATAACCTTTGACTTTTAAATCAGGAATGATTTCATTTCACCGAATAATCATATATAGATTTTTCCTGATAGATCTAGAGTTTTGGAAAAATTCATAATTATCAAGATACTCTCATTGAGTGTAAGAGACTTGGTGACCTTGCGGTTAGTACGCAGGAACCCCGCAGGAACCTCTCTCCAGATAAGAGTATCACTGGGTACCATGGAAGCCTGGCTACTGGAGAAATGCTGGGGTAAATTTGCGATGTAGTTGTAATATTCCTAATCGCTTCATCCCATGGAAACCGGGATAAGCTCTAGCTGGATGGGCCACTTCGTTCAAGTACACACTACACCAATCTACATGGACGAATACTCACACTTTTTGTAACTTCCTAAGGCGTCCCAAATCCTCTTTGGTGAAGTGTGTTATATAGTTGTCTGTAAAATCTCTGTGGAAAATGAGCTGCCTTTCAATGGATAGCAAAACGCGCAGGAATGACAATGATATATAAAACCTTATTAAAAGCATTGTACGATAGTTGTTAAGAGCGTTTTCTGATTGAGTGTGGTAACAACACAGTTATCACAACGGTCAACCAAAAGGAAAATAATCCAAAGAGCCAGCCAGAACTCAAAGTAACTGAAAAAGCAAACTACCTAAAGCGCGGGAACGGAGCGAATTGACTTCAACTGATTCTTAACAAAACGAAATCAATTTGTAACCAAAGTATTTCACGTACGCTATCAGTATTCCTTTGTCAATCTTAGGGATCCTGCTGAATCCAACCCCTCTGCAATCAAGCTTTTTTTCAAACCGACGCACTCTGCATCTGGAGGAGGCGCTCTTCTTTCCGTTGGTCGAGATGATAAACACACAACATAGCAACACCAAGATGTGCATTCGCCAAGCGCCGCCCATTTCGGTCTCAGTTTTTCGTCGTCACATCTCAGAGTTTTTGTTTTAACCGATTCAACGAGTGACGTAATAAACTGCAACGTCAACCTAATTGCCAAAGAAAGTACGTAATGTTAAAGACATAACGTCAAAAATAATTGGAACTTTTATTTCAATCATAAGCTAATTTTTTATCTGTTATCTTTTCTTCGAAACTCGTTTTTAACGGAACAAAAATTTATGAATGCGCCAGCTCAGTTTTCATTGAATAAAGTTTCCTAATTCGAAATAGCTTTCTTGACAAAGGTCTACCAAACAGATTACTTGTCAGGCGAAAAAATCGGAGTTTGAAACATTGACGCTGCGCGCATTTGAAAAATGACTAATAACGCAAATTTTTAATTAAGTCAAGCGTAGGCCAAAACTACAGGTTTTAATCCCAAAAAATCTCGAGTAATTAAATGCAAAGACTGAAATAAAATCGAATGAAAATATAACGTTGTAGAAAAAGTTCGCGCTTTTATCGCATGCGCGAATAGCGCGCTCAGCGACCGTTCAATTTGACGTCAAAATGAAGTTTCAAAAACCGCCACTGTTTCTGCAATGGCCAAAACTCTTTTCGCATCAATCTTTGTCTTGATTTTTCTCCAATATTATCTTTGTGGAGCACAGTCCGGGGAAAAAGTTCCGCATTTGGTTTCTGATGATATCGCAGAAGGCTATCCAACGGGATGTAGATTTTACAAAGACAGGAAATTTTTTCAGTGTCGCAACGCAGGAATATTTGCAATCCCTGAAGTGAAAGAAAGCTGGGAAGTTGTAACTGTGTAAGTCAAAAAATTATATCTGTACAAAATAAGCGTACATTCATTCGCGAATTATTGTGAATCGTTCAGAATTAATAATCCTTTACAGAGATCTTTCCGGAAACAACATCTCAAGTGTTCAATTTGGTGATGGTTACCGAAGTGTTCAATCTATGTAAGTAGACGCCCATTTTTCTTCCCATTTTTTTTCTAGTTTTCTATCCATCTTCCTTTCCTCCTTCAATTTATAAGTTCCTTATTTTTCAACAGAAATTTGGAGCGAAACAACATCACAACATTTTTTGAAGAATCAATCCAGGAACTAGAACACCTTCATCACCTGTGAGTCTAAAAGAAGTCCAATCATTTGATTTGTTTCTTAACTCAGTTGTGGACTGTAACAGTTTTTTTTATAGCAAAAAAAGTAAGTGTGTTTGGTATATGTATTGTGCTGATGTTTGTGATTTAGTAACTACCCTAGGAACAGTAATCGCTCCGTGAGGTTTTTTCAAGATGTCGTAAAAGAGGGCCAAGGGAAATCGAGATTATTCGAGAGCGTGCACAAACGCCGTTTGTGCGCACTCTCGGATTGTTATTCACGAGTTTCGATGTATCAAAAAAGCGAACGAGTGAGTCTTTTGACGCATCGCGTTTCGTGAATAAAAATCGTGTAAGCACTTTCCATGGTATGGTGTTTTTATTTCAAACATACTGAGATTTTTTTACGTTTCAATTTAAAGATTAGAAGTGAACGACTGTGAAAATACATCGTTCGTCCAATCAGAGACACGAACGATAGTGCTTCACAGTGTAAAGAAATAAACGGCAGTCCGAACCATTGACGTTCCACAGACTGACCAGAAGTTCCTCCACGGAGCTACAGAGAAACCTTTCGCGAGTCACACGATATGCTGTCTGTTTTTTAAATCTGCAGAATTAATTTATCATGCGATGTGTTGCTATGACAAAGATAACGTTAATGGACCTATCGAAAATGTAATATCTCCGTTATTGCATTGCAACTCAAAAGTACTCAGAAAAGTTGAAGTGAAATGACATAGTTATCACGTTTTCATGCCCAAAAATTCACTTACACATGGGTACGTACAGCTAGTAAATCACTTCCACGAAATATCGAAACGGTTCTAAAAGGGGACGTCATTTTAGATTACACGCCGTCTGAAAAGAACTGCACTCCAGAATCGGACGCCTTCGAAATAAAGTGAAAGTACCTCTCCTTTTCCAAATGGAGCAACTCACAAAATGAGACACCTTCATTTCTCCCTCGTCATGCACATGACTTTATTGAAGCCCTTATTTGCACGTCACTCGAACTGGGTGGGAACAAACAGCATCACTGCAAAATGGAAGCGAAATCAACCCTTATTCTTTTCGAAAAGTTTTTCAGTTGGGAAAAGACAGGCGACTACTTGATACGTAATACGAATCCTGACATTATGATGATTTCGAAACTATTTGATCTTAACTTTTATCTGTTTACAGGTCTATCGGAGGAAACCCTTTTCACTGCGACTGCAATCTGGAATGGCTTCGGGAACGCCTTCTTGGCTCAAAAAACCCCTTCCCTTTAGTTAGACACGTCCAAGATATCAAATGCGCCTCGCCATCCAGTTTGCTCGGAACAATACTGATCACTCTTTCCACGGAGAAGTTATGCGGTAAGGGTATTATATAAATGCTGTTGAAGTAACTTACCAAGGATGTAGAAAATGTGTACCGAGCTGAAATCAGCTGGGACTTTCGTTCTATGGTAGATCCTTTTTTCAAACCGCTAACCTCAGTCAGGACTCAAAATGTAGCGTCGCCAACCTCGCAAAAATATCCCGCAATGCTAATTTTAATATACCGAGTGGTCTATTTCCGTTATCCGGTCTTTGAGAAAAAAACTTCAAACATTGTGTAAATTGGTCTAGCCCTCTCAGTTACATATTTACGTTACGTGATGAAAGTGAGCGATATGCGCATAAAGTCAGATGGCACGACACAGATTCATGGTTTCAAGGGATATCTGTTTAATTTGACCACTATAAGTAATTTCCAACAGATAAATTTCTCGCATAAACTTTTTGTATGTCTCGACTTATTACGGAATAAACATTACCTGGCTAATCGACTTTGCCAGTCCAATGGAAACAATTCTCTCTCTCCTCATTGCTTAGGCCCTAAAGTGGAGGATAAACTCTTAAGACCAACGACTTCGGAGTCCGGCTCAGAGAAGGTACAGAAACCGGTTAATTCAACTGCAAAGGCTGCATTACTAAAGGCAAAGCACCAAGCCTTTGAAAGGGGACGGGTAGCGGAAATCGTTGGAGTCACTCTTGCTTTTGCAGTAGTAATAGTTGTAATGTCTGTGGCCTTTATTGCCATGTGATGTCAATTATTGTTTGACCCCAACTCGATCAGCTCTGTTTATATCTTGTTATATCTCTAGTCGTTCTATCCAAACCATAAAAACCCGCGATGAGTAGAAAATAAAACTTTTTCACAACTTGTCACGCTTGAACGACTTTAAACCATGGCTACTTCGGCGAATACGACGCTTTTGATTTGGACGTTTTAAATTTAACAAACGGACCGATTCAGAGTTTCTAAAAAGAAATCATCATCAACAGGTGAACTTGCGTCACTTTCATTCTTCTTTTCAAATATGAATTAGTTTACCTCTTCGATTCTTCATTTTAATTTTTCACGATTATATGCTTTTGTCTGTTTGAGACAGTTACACAATGGCTGGCTCTAAGGAAACTGTTTTTAACTGTCAACCTGGATCACCCAAATTTTCATCACTTCTTCACCAAGAAAAATTTTAAACAGGGGCCCTATCAGTGTTAACACACAGAGCAAGCCTCGACCGTGAGAAACGCGCATGATCACGTGGCGAGTCCTTACATTTCTTCAGACCCAGATACGAAATCCTATGCCAGATACAAACACGATACTTAAAATTGAGACAAGAACTTTTATCCACGAACAAGAATTGTTTTAATCAATAATTTTTTGTCATTTATCAAGGAGTAATTAGAGCCCTAGATGATACGATGAGATCTACATTTAACTTACAATGTAACTGTCGCATCGTTAGCTCATTTTACTACGTTTCCAAATATTTTTGAACTTCGAACCTTACACAACATAATTTGATAAAGCTGCTCTTTCTTTTAGAGCTGTCGCTATTCTAGACCCATACAAGGAAAGTATTGGTTCAACTTCTCGGTTTAGTACGGCAAGTCTTGAGCACAACATAATCTTGATTTCAAATTACTAACCGAAAAATGCGCAAGAAAAATCTAGCGAGAACTGACACTTAGACGATTGTAGACGCAGGATAAGTCACGTGGTCAGAATTTTCTCTATGATCGGGTGTAACATATTTTGCATAATTTTTGAGTGCGTCAAACAAATCTGCAGTCCCAAACAGTCAGAGGAAAACAGTATTGGTTGAAACAATATAGCCCCTTAAATTCTCGGCGTAGTCACGGACTGCTTGTTTTTGTTTGACCAGGTTTCTGTTTCCTTCCTTCTTGAGTTGATAGCAGAACTCTGGAAGATCCCTCAAAAACCAATGTAAACAGAAGCGGAAATCCTCTTTTCTAATCTGCCTAAGTATTTGAAAGGAAATTTTCATTTGGCTAAGCAGCTTTAACTTGTGAAGCAGAAGGAACAGAGTGCTTCAAATATTAAATTCTTATCTACAGAGCACTTTTACAAGGTGGCTTTCGGGCCATTTAAGGACTCTGAAGAGACTGGTCTCAAATGACTTGTTAAGAAATACATGAACAAGGGCTGCAACACGGCTATAAATAACAGAAGGTATATTCTTCGTTTGCTTGCTCTGGCGATCCCATCAGGTGCAGATTCTGGTACAATAATTAACCTCAAGGTGCGCACCTGAAATACAAATCAAAATATAAGTTTCTAAACCGTTTCCAGCCAAGAACTAAAGAATTAGTCTCATTTGCGCCGAGCACACATTACTTGCCATGCTGGCACTAAGAATTTATGGGTAAATAAAACCCGTAATTGACATTATTCCATTTTCTCATGATGGCAAATTACTAATTGATCCGTTATGGCAAGTCTACCCATCAACTAGAAGAAACTTGGAGTAGCACTGCCCCCCCTTTCACCCTCCCTGGATGTATTGGTAACCTATCAAAAGTCCCCTCCCATCCTTCCCTGTGTCATCTGAGTGTAAGGTTGCCTCTGTATTAGACTACAATACAGAAATCTCATAAGCAAAGGAATTTTGGTGCTCTAAGCTGATGATAGCTTATCAAGCCACCAATTGAAGTAGGCAAGAGGGGTGGGTGAGAAAAGGCATCCCCCCCTTCACTCTTGCCCATTAACCAGCTCCTCTGTGGAATTTCACCTTGCCTCTGCCATAAATATACAAGACAACAGCCACACATTTTGTGAAAAGTTAGGTATTTGACTGCCAAAAACATAGCAGCACTGCAGGCATACAAATCAGAGAATACAAACAAGTTTGAGAGTCACTCAAAAATTACATTATTATGCAAAAGTTTACCACCCAGAGAAGTTATTATTCTAGGAAAAAAAAAATCTGTGACCAGGAATACAACTGCAAGTATACCATGAAAAATCCAATGCTGATGCTCATCCATAAGAGGATAAGATAATAACCAAAGGAATGGAAAACAAGCCCACCAAGGCAACTCACAATCATCCTACAGACAAAAAAAAACAAAAAAACCTTTTTTGCAATTTTTGACAATACTTATTGAGCCTGAGAGGGAAAAATTTTTTTAGCATAATTTTTTAAGTGATTACTAGAGCAACTGCATTTTCTTTCATTGTACTGGTTTTCTTTTATAAATATCAAAAGCTTGCATAGACATTTTGAAAATTAGTGCTTTAGCGTTTTAATCACATCAAGTGGGTTATTGTGGCTAGACATAATGTGAATCTTGACCAATCACAAGCATTGACCCCTATGATCACCAGAGCTATCACACATACAGTATATCCAGGGAATAAATAGTGTCACTCTAAGAGGTTTGAAGGAGGTGTAAACTATGCCTAATCAATATGTAAATCATGATTTCATTACATGAACTTTTAACTTCTTCTGCATGGCGTACAAGAAAATACTGATGTTATAGACAGTGAAATCATTCCTTATCCACTAAAAGAGGTCATAATGGGTATTAGTTAAGTCATTCAAGAATAAAATCAAGAAGCAGTGAAACAATTTTCTTGCAGAGAGAGAGAGAGAGAGAGAGAGAGAGAGAGAGAGAAAGAGAGTGATTAATAACCCATAAAGCACTCTTGGGGATAAAAGGATTTTTCTCTCACTTTAACACTCACCCAAAATATTTGTAGCCACAAAATGCTAAGAGATCAAGCCACTTGATCTCTGCCTGCACATTGCAGATGTACATGGAAAAGAGGATAGCCATTATTTCAACAAACAGCCACACAAGGGCAGAACTGGCTGTGATACCCAGCTGTTCAGGAGTGAATCTGGCAAAAGAAAGAGTAAAGTTACAATATGATCACATCATGCAGACAAATTTCAAATTTTTAAAGAAATGTTTACCTATTCTGTGTTCCCATAACTAGCCCCGCAACAAGAATGTATGTAACAAATGCCATCACTGTGAAACAAAAAAGAATGAAATAGGTTGTCTAGCTGCCTTGAGGTTTTCAGCTCAATTCCAAGTATCAAATTTCCATTCACTATTTTGCTTGGTATTTTTCAAGGCTTTCCTTTTCCATGCACACCACCAAAGCTTACAACTGCCATTTAGACATACATTACGCACAAAAATTTTGATGCTATGAAAACAATAAAATTCTGGATGGATGAAAGTTTTGTGGAGTTCACAGAACATAAATAGAGTGCTCTTTGAAAATTTGGGATAAGGAAATATTTTGACTTTGGGTATAAAGGCAGTGAGACAGGAATGACCTTTGGGGTAACAAAATCAGGAATACTGTTGCACATATGACAAACAAAGCTGAGTTTTGAGTTGAAAGTGACTATGTTCCTTCAAAGTTTGAAAACATGCCTGGAATGTAGAGATCAGGGGCATTCACTTCATATCTTGGTGCAACCGGTTCTGACTTGTTGTACTGTACTGACCAGTTCTAGGTAAAGAAACAGCCACATTTCAATCTAGTAATTGGTAGTAACACTGTACAATAGGTAACAGATTACTGTTTTGTATCAGTGCTGCTTCACTCAAGCAAAGCTGGGGTTCCAAACTCAGGCAACCAACTCTTCAAATTTTTCTTTGAGTAACTTATGAAACATAATAAGCTTTTTAAAGCTGGGCAGTCAATGATTTTTCCACATGCACAGCTTCAAATGTTTCCAACATGACCACAGTTCCACCTGCCTTTGTTCTTTTTTGATTGGACCTTATGCAATGCAACCTCAATTTTCTTCACTTACTCCAAAACTTTCAGCAGACAACCTGATTCTCATTGAAAAAACCCTCATCACCAAAAACTCCTGAGAGAAGATGCAATAGTATTGTATCATGTGAAAAAAAAGAGAACATTAGAAAAAGCCCTGAGAGAGTTATGTCCACAAAATCATTTCCTTGCATACTTTGTGCGTGAAAGGGAAGATGAGCAGTCCCAGTTTTTTAACAACATATGTTGTATCCACAGCAAAGTAATACTTTAATTTTGATACTGAAACAAATCGGTCAATCTGCAAAAAAAAAAAAATGGCAAACACAATTAAACATTTAATTTACTACATCCACATTTAATACAGTTGAACCTGAACCCAAGGGGAATGGCAAGGTGACCACCTAACCCTTTAACTTTCAAGTTCTTTTTAGTAATTCTCCTTACTGTCTGCTACACAATTCTTCTGATGTTGCTTCTGAGAATTTGGTACTGCATCAACTAATAATCCCGTAATTGATATTTTTCTTTATTCTCATCACTCGTCTTCTTGATTTTATATTGATATCGTAAGGAGAAATTCTGTTTTGGTCACTCATGGGAGTTAAAGGGTTAATACAGGTTCGAAAAGATAGAGGTCAAGCATGATAAAAAAATAACCTTTTGTCCTAACAGTGCTAAAAGGAAAGATAATCTGTACTGCATTGAGGAAATTTGAATTCAAAGTGCTAACACTGACTTAGGGAGACAGGCATGGAATAATTTTGACTTTAGAGATTATTAGACTTTAGTTAGTTTAATGACCAGTTTTAAATGGTATCAAAATACAGATGGAAGAACGTATAAACAGGCTCTTGGAACTCAGTTAAGGATGACTATAACTACTTTATGGAGGTGACAGCTTAGTAGGTGAAAATTACAGTACTTAAGTGGAAGAAATTTTACGACTTTGAAAACCAACAGCTTACTACTGGGTGGCCACTTAATACAGATTCGACTGTAGTCACAAAAATGAAATTGAAAATGAAACTAATCAGTTACTAGGAGTTATTACAAATACATTTTGATGACAGGGAATGATCAGTCAATAAATTTTAATTCATTCCTATAACTTCTCTCCATAATTTCCATATATTATCCAGCAAACAAGTAACGAGAAGACTCAAACTTATTTGGTAGAAGTTGTTATGTTGATCCAACACCAAATTCTCATAGGCAATTAATGAGGAAATGCAAAGCAGCTAGAGGGGAGAATAAACAATCAGATCTTGGGAGTTAATTGGTTAACCTAATTGTGAAGATGGCTAAAATTTTCAGCTACAAAGCTCAATCAAAATAGTGAACTTACATGCTTTTCCACATATTCTTTGCCTTGATTAGCCATGGCTGCTCCATACCCTACGGCCACATTAGCCATTGGACCTTGTAGAAATTCATTTCCAGCAAACTGTCCAAACCCCCCTTGCATTCCTGGCATTCCCTGTTGTTGGTCTACACTTGTATCCTCAAACAGGGGGGTAGGACCACTGTGTCCTCCAAATGGGCCCCCTCGATGTTGAGCTGAAGGTGAAAATATATATACTATAAATTGAAGGGGCTATATTGCCACTATTTGTACTTCTGATTTGCTTGCAAGGACAAAATTTGCAAAATAAACTAGTTTATTAATGCCTACCTGATGGAACATTCCTTTTCTGGACAGGCATTCTCTGGTTATACATATCGGAGTTGTCTGAAGGAGACAGGAACAAAACAAAGTGGGCATTAATAACACGGAACGGGGCTTAAACTAGTTTCCATTTTCATGAGTAAATTTCTACTTGTATATTCCCAGTTTCACTCTAATAATGTTAAGCTAACAGTATTTAATTTAAAATTTTGAGGGTTATTGAAGTCTATTCAATGTTAAATCAATTTTATATATGGTCAAGTATCCATGGGAAAGGCTTAGGAAACTCTACCCTAGTGATTAAGTTACTGCTATAAATAAACATGTCCCCTTTAGATTTTAAATCATTTTAAATGCTGTTCCGATTTTTTTTACCATAAAATACTCCTTATCACATGAAGAGTTTAATAATCAAGGTGATTTTGTGAAGTCAGGTCTAAGAAATGTCCCATGCAGGATTTCATATTTAGAGATAGGTACATACATAAAAAAATTTTGCCTTTTTTGTGATTTTAGTTCTTGAAAAAAAGACAAACCCCCTACCACTGTCCTCGCATTTTAGAACATATCTTTTGGAACATATCAAACTTCTTTTAGAATGTATAACACACCTGATTATTTGTACTTTTAACTATCATATTACAATGTTTAAAATAAACATCATACAAACAAGAATTTCAAACAGATACAGAGTAATCAACAGTTGTTCCTGGGTCTGATATATGAAGATTTTAAATTATTTGATGGTAACTGTTGTTTTTCTAGTCCACTTGCAAGCTACTCAGACATTGAGCATAAACTTCCAAACTGAGGGATAGAAAATCTACAGTCTTAGGCATGAAAATTTCCTAAGAAGTCAGCATAGTTAACACAGCTTTAAACTTATAAACAGTTGAATTGTCAAAACATTTCAGTGCGTTATTGGTCTGTCAACTTAAAACACTAGAATCTTTCATTTTTCAAAATTTTTTTTCTTTTTATTTCTAAACTTCCTTATTCTGGATTTAGGTGATAGAACTGTAAAAACTATACTTAATTTAATATATACAGTTCTATAAGTTATTAAGTATTAATCATTTATTTTAAGAAATGGTGACAAACAAGATCTCTTGTTACTACCAGAGCAAAAGAATAATGCTTCAGTTTAAAAGTGTGAGTGGTATTAGGTTACTTGACAGACTAAGAAGTCAGATATTTTTAAAGATTTACCACAACTACCAGAAAAGCATGCAGTATGAAGAATGATTAGCAAAGAGATATTATACATCACAGATACCATCATATGGTGAACGTCTGCGGGGAGAGGTTTGCATTGCGAATACATTAGAGTCTAGAGAGAGAGGAAAGATGAAAACGTGAATTAAGTTATGTTCAATGACTCTTTGTCAAGTCCATTTATTTTTCGATATTGTCTGTGCCTGATCTGCAGTATAACGTGAGATAAAGTCAGATAAAGAATATAAATACCCCCATAGAAAAAAACGTTTGTTTACGTTCATGTTATTGTGATGAATATCTAGTGCACTCTCTGCGACTTGGTTCCCATCCAATGATAAAACCTACAGTACATGTACATATGGTTTGGGTAGCTGAGGTTTCTGCGAAAACACTTTCCCGTGACGATGACCGAAACACGTCTTAATAGTACTAAGGAGTAAATTTCAAATGGCACAATGTGTAACGTTCCAAGACTAAAACAATAATAGATCCCACATTGCAAACAAACGATGAAATAAAACCGATTAACTGGAACTTAAATCCCAAGAAGTCTATTGTGCAAAAAGAAGACACAATTTGGTACGACCCCAAACGACTCCAGGTTTTGAGTGTCCATTTTCGCGATCGTAAGGAAGAACAGAAAAAAAGTTGTACCTCCCATTGGTGGGTCCATGACTGCGGATTCTTTTAAATGAAGAACCTTTTCAATATAATGTTCTAAAGCAACTTTTTGCAAAATTCTTTGCAGTAGTCACTTTCAGTTTGAAGTTTGTGTTCTCGACGCTTGCGCATAAGACGTGGTAAAACGTGGCAGAGTTTGAAAAGAGGACTGGGGCGGAAAGGCGTGGGCATCACTCAAGGAACCGTCCGATTTAGGACAGTTCAGTGTGATCGTAAACGGTCCCGTCTAATTTGGGACTCTGTTATCTGATTTTGTCCGCACGATTTGCAATGATTTTGTCTGATTTAGAAATGTTTTTCCTGATTCCGGACATTACCGTGTGACTTTGAGCGGTTCCGTCTAATTTTAGGACGGTTTCTCCGATTTCGGACAGCGCCGTGAAAATGTAGAGTTTCCTTGCTGATTTCTTTGAAGTCTTCGGATTCAATTAGCATAAGTAATAACTTAATTAATTTCGGTGTTAATAAGCACGAGTAAATTTTGCTACAAGCTCGTGCAATTTTCTTGTCTTTTAAAAATTAGTTTTTTTAACACTTGTTGATAATTTACATGAATAAACGCATCACAGTTCGTCAAGACCGACGAAATTTTGGCAGCGCGCGCGTTATTTGTAATTTGCACTCGTGTCGCATGAAAATTGCTCTTGTTTTCAGCCAATCAGACGCGCGCAATTTTTTTTTTTAAACAGCTTTATTGACCATTACACATGTTACATACAGAAAATTAAACAGCCAAGAAAAAAAAAATGAAATATATGTGCAAAGTGATTTAAAGTGATAAGGTCAAAAGGGAAGGTGCGAACGGGACGCGAGGACCCATGCGAGGCACCTCCCATGGTACAAATAATAATTAAAACACGATCAACCAAAAGACGCCAATCGTACAATTGACCAGGTACAGGGATAGGATATGTCAAAGTGATTGTGCAAAAGGTGAAACATGTGCTCAGTAACAAAGTTGCGGAAGGAAGCAGTGGTTGAAAAACTGATAGGGGGTGAAAATTTACAGATATAGTTCCAGAGCTTAACAATACGATTAAAGTAAGAGGCCTGAAAAGTGTTAGTTTTGCATACAGGAGTTTTAAGGTTATAAGAATTACTTAGTCTGGTTTGGCCGTGAGAAACAGGAGAAACAAGATCATAAACATTAAGATCAGTAAAACCATTCCGACATTTGTAAAAAAAAACAAGATCTTTGAGTTCGCGGTCAAGCTTTACGAAGTTTTTCAGGTTTTGCATGACATTACAATAGTCACGTGAACGTAACGTAGTTTCCAACCTTGACGCGACATTCCAAGAGAATTTGTGTTGTTACGCTGTGGTGAGCGTTTTTACGTTTCAATAGGAGCATTTTCCAAGTGAAGTAACTCTTCGAGAAATTTTTGGGTAGAAATTAATCAACCCTACAGTTTTTGAAAAACTCAAAATAAATTGTTGTTAAATTATATTCTGTACCCAGGAGGAGCGTTACAGAGATGTTTGCTTCCGTCGTGCTACTGATTCTGAGTTTTTTTGACGTCGTGTTCTTCTTTATTCCTTCCCCAGTTGATCCGATCTTGAACAGGTAATCTACTTAGATGATCAGTAATTGATCTGATCGCAACAGAATTGAATGGAATATGGCATGGTGGGCAAATTATGGATTTTTATCCCCTTGGAGTGGTCAAATGGAAAAGCAACAATTTCAACAGTCAAGATCTATTCTTTATTCGTCTAATTTTAGTCAATAAGGACAACTGTACTACTTAAGTAAACCTTGGGCCACACCCAGATTGCCCCCCTCTTAGATGTTTCCTTCGAGATTTCTAGCAAGTTTCTATCTTAGGCTTTGAAATTCTTCGTTTGCCACAATTCGACTTAGCTCAACTTATGATCTGTATACCTGTATTTGCAAAGATCGCGTTATGATTGTTATTGGAGTTGCAACTGTTATGGTAAGAAGTGTGCATGGTTTATCAAGGGATGTTAATTTTATTTTCTCTCAGATTTTGTTTTCTCATCAGTTTTTTCTTTGTAACAAGTAGCACTTTCGAAAAGAAGACTCCAAAATTTGAGGGAGCACTGAAAGTTAACAGCATGTTAACAAAAACAGAAAGGCTGTTTGAGGGAAAGGTGTTTGGACCTGAATCTATGGCTGTCGACAGTAAAGGTAAATATAATGTACTTGTTGACTGACTTAGAGGGCTAGACTGGAAAATATTTGGCTTGGGGCCATCAAGGAATTATAAGGACTGAACTTGGCAAGGTCTCTTTGCTGTGAAGTATTAAGTACCAAGATCACTGATTGTTATGACAACACATGTCAATCAATGTGAAACAGGAATTATGTGATATACTTTGCCTACACACCCACAGGTGTGTGCACCATTAGTTAACCCTTAGAACCAAAAGAGTGTCTAGCATCTAATTTCTCCTTACAATATCACCCCTGAATCACTCATTAAGGTCATGAGAATAAAGGAAATGATTACCAACTAAATAAGCTCTATTTTTATTGCCAACACCTTAGGAAATGTATGGGCAACAGTAACAGGATTGTGATACTGATGTTAGGGTGCAAAGTGTTAAGGGAAATGAAAGATCTTAAATTCTAGATTTAGACCTAAGACAAATTACATTTTTAAGACAGTAATTACAAGTTTGATGCATCCAGCCCTTGATGAGATGCATTGATTTCCTTTACACTCAAAGAAATCAGAGCATAATCTGCCAAAACTGAAGAGATTTCAAAGAGCTACTGCCTCATCTTTTCAAGGTATTCTATACACTGGTTTAGGAGATGGAAGAATTGTTAAACTAGAGGGAGATAAAGTGAAGGAAATAAATCGAACTGGAAAGCAAGTGGTGGAATGTGGTGAGTATCACTGTGACTTTCACTGGATCTCTTCAATCTCTCATGAGCAGTTTGATATTTAGAGATTCAAACCATTAGAAATGAAAAGGGAGATTTTAAGTGTGGCAAAGCCATTAACACAACCATTATAGATGTGAGCACTTACTGGGGTTTAGAGGGACACTCCCCCCCCCTAAAAAATTAATTGTAGAAACTGTCAGTCCACTGGGTTGGCATTTTTGGCATTTTGTGATCATCATATAAATTTTTCTTTTTCATGGAAAAAAGGAGACTTAATTTGTGCAATATTTCATGACCACTTATGCTTACCATCTATATTGGAATAAGAAATATAGCTGACAATATTTTTTTAGGATTTTTAGCAAAGGAGGTGATAACAAATAAGACCCTCTGTGAGGTTAGCTCTAAATATGTATTACCAATGTAGTTACGATGTGGTTCTAGTTTATGTATAGTTCCAATGTTGACCCTAAATATATATTGCCAATGTAATTCCATTGTAGTCCCAATTTATTTGTAGTTTCAATGTAGTTTCAACCTATAAAGGTGGTAAGTTTCTGAAGAAACTGTGGTGCTGCGTTGGTGAGAGAGTATAAAGGTAATTTAGTGTTATCAACTGAGTTGAAAACACAAATTAGCTATGGTAAAATTTAAAGGCTTACATTTCAAGCATTAGCCCTTCATTGCTCTGACAAAGGGCTAATGCTCAAAGCGACAGCCTTTGAACTCTTTTCGGTGGCCAATTTACATTTTCAACTCAGTGGAAAACACTAAATTACTTAGTTCCAATGTAGTTCAATGTAGTTCAATGTATGCACAGTGCCATTGTAGTTCAAATGTAGTTCCAATGAACGCATAGTGCTAAGGTAGAGCCAATATCCATTTCTACTACAGGGACTGTGGAATTCTGGTCCAAATGTGGTCGGCCATTGGGGATGCGCTTTGACAGAAATGGAATCAACCTCATTGTTGCTGATGCATATTTTGGTTTGCTCAAAGTGAACCCCGAGACCAAAGTAGTGAAAACACTTTTACCTCCAGCAACAGGATTCAACGGCAAGCCCTTTCGATTTGTAAATCATCTGGACATAGATGAGGATGGTACCATCTTCTTCACAGATTCAAGTGCTAAGTGGCAAGCACATCAAGCCTCCTACTCTTTTTTCGAAGGAGATAAAACTGGAAGACTAATGGCATACCACCTGAAGACAGGTGAATTGGAACTTCTGATGGATGGTCTTTACTTTGCTAATGGTGTCCAGATTTCACCAGAGGGGGACCATTTGCTTGTTGTGGAATATGCTGCATCAAGGATAATGAAGTATGTTTACAAAGAATTCATGTTCTCTATAATATTTTTATATTGAAATGGGTTTAACAGAAAGACCTCAAATATTTTTGCTGCATATGAGTGAGCCACAAGATGAAAAACCATTCAGCCATTACTGTTTGCAGGACAGCTTTCTAACAACTGACTGACTTCTTTTTCTCAACATAATCACATTCCTGGGATAGCTCAGGTGTTCATGGTTTTCTGAGTTTGACAGGTTGTAGTTAATCTACAGCTCTAACCCAGAATTTTTGAAATGTATCATGGCAGGTATTACATTAAAGGGGAAAATAAAGGCAAATCAGAAGTGTTTGTTGAAAACCTCCCTGGATATCCTGACAACATTCGTCCGAGTAGCTCTGGAGGATATTGGGTCGCTATGTCAATGGTCTTTACGGAGTTTAATGACATGTTGATGTATTCATACCCCAGGGCCAGGAACTTCTTAGCTAAGGTAAGCTTTGTATAAATATCAAACAGTCTTTTACTTGCCTTCCACGAACAACCTTCGCCCTTGGACTGCTAAATTAAGTTTTCTCTCGAGAAGCACAAATCCCTTCCTCTGCCATTATGTCATTACATTTTACCTGTACAAAGGTATCTACCGCCGGTTAAACCATCAGCGATCAAAAAAAAAATCATCTGGTTACCGTGACACAGAATTCTTTCATTAAACCTCTATTGTCTGAGCTATTTTTTATGCAACCATGGATAGTTTCCTCCTTTTACTTTACCTCATTCTCTCGCTGCCTTATTTCCCAATCAAAAACCTGCTTCTTTACTCAAGTTAGACGGTAGAATCTTAGCATAAATTACTCAAATAAACCCAAACCAGAGAAAAGACCAGTTGAAATTTGGAAAATACTTCCCACTTACACCTCTTGCTATTCAATGCCAAAGAATTCAAGTCCTATTAATGTTTTTCTGGAAACCTTTCATGATATGTAACTGGAATGTTTGAGCAAACTAAACCGTGTTGATTTTGCATTAATGTTACAGGTGTTTTACCTTCCATGGTTAGTAAACTTTGCAGGCCCAAATTATGGTCTCATACTGGAGTTAGATAGAAATGGTCATATCACCAGGAGCTTCCAGGACCCAACTGGCAGTGTTGTACCTGGTCATATCAGTGAGGTTTATGATGATGGTAACGTGCTCTACCTCGGTAGCTATCAGTCTTCTTTCCTTGGTAAGCTGGAGTTGAAAGACTGATGTACAAAGGCTTTACAAAAATCTCCAAGTGAAATATTTGCATTTTTGGAGCTCTACCTGGATAGCTACTAGTCTCCTTTCCTTGGCAAACTGGAATTGAAAGATTGATCATGATGAACGATTGCAACACAAAAATCTTAAAGTGAAATATTAAAGAACCCTGACGGAACATTATTACAGCCAATTTTCATTTGACTATTTTCTATATTAATTTTTAACGCTGTCAGTGCTATTCCTTTACTATATCGTCCAAAGAAGCTTTTAACAATCTTGTGATAGTCAAAGAACACTGAAGAAGCCGATTTGTTTTCAAAACTTGAAGTTTGATAAAAAACAAATCAGTATTTGATTAAATCTTACATTACGTAGATTTATTTTTATGGTCCTTTTTGTTTGCTTTGGTCCAGAGTGAAACCGGATGTCAGTATCAGTCGATTTCTTTTACGAGTTACATGGCTTCCTATAATTCTCTCGTCCGTCTTCTTTTATCAAAAATTATGTGAGCCACACCCACACTCACACACGTGCCCCAGTTTCCGTTTTCAACGAACAGTGACGTTGGATGCAGAGAGGAAAACACATCCTTATTCTTGTTAGAATGTTTTCTTTTCAACTGGCAACTGTAAATTTCATGAATGTCTTTAACAGGAGTTTCTGGTTATTCGTTCCCACTGAATGTATTTTTGCATGTGCATTTCGTGTTCCGAACGTAACAAATTTCGCCTCACATAATTATATAAAAGCGCGTGGCTTATATCATAAGAGGATTTAATCCATCCAACAAGACGCTTTACTGCGTTTTCCAGTAATTGAAAAAAAAAACATAGAAAATGCGCGTACTATACTAGCAACTATGTTTATGGGAAAAATCCAGTCGCTTGTCACGCAACTTCATTGCCCCTGGCTCCCGCTAGAAGCTCCAGTAAGTACGTTTTATTGCAGCATGTTGCAAATAAAAATTAGTCAACGATCAATTCAAGGAGTTCTTTTAGAACTAGCGTCCACGGGGCATAAAAGTCTGAGGTCGACATCGGTTGCAGAGATGTCTGATATGTTCTGACCAATCAGAGAGTGACGTTGCGTTACTTTTTCCTTCACCATCTTCCTCTAGTTCTACCTTCGGTCCAAGGCCACGTTTCACGGAACTGTAGGCTGCAGGGGAAGAGCTGGTGGTCAGTATTCAAGAAATACAGCAACATAAAAGATGTAAGATTCCAATCTATTTGCAGTTTTCATAAGGGTTAATTAGTTCAAAACTAGTTGATCAGCATTCAAGTACCATTACCGTTCGAGCGACGAATCCAATATATCGTGTCGTCTCCTTGTAGGTTAGTTATTGATATTTCAATTTTGAAGGCGCGCAGAACCCATCCATTTTTTCGCGGTTTGTATTAAAGAAAATGAGATATTTTTACAGTTTTTGAGAAGTGATGGCGAAAGACGCGGATGGGAAGGGGGAAATAGCCACAGAAAGCGCCGAGGGTATGGCAAATTTGGTTTAGAGGTTGTCCCGGTTTCGTTTTTTAGACTCCGCTTTACAGTAACAAGCTATTACTCTTGGCCAGCCTTTTTCAAACACGATTATGCTAACCCAAGGTTGCATTAAATTTTTGCTTCAGCTTTATTGTTTTGCATCCTGTTAAATCATTTCTATTTCGTTTCCTTCTATCGGTTTTGCCCCATAGAATAGGAGCAATCAGGCTTATGATTCATTTAGTAAAACGTATGTTCTTGGGTAAAAATTTAATTTAATTACTCACAGTTACTTTAATTTATTTACAGGGGTGTCACAGGGATGTTAATTACCTTGTTTCTACTGATTCTCAGTGCTCTTGATGTTCTGTTCTTCTTCTTACCCAATTCAAATTTTGATCCTAAGGCAGTGAGGTGAGATGCAGTGTTCTTTTCCTAAGAGGGAGATTATTTTTTTTGCTGAATTGAAACTGGGATAGTGCATAAAGGAATGGGTGTACAACAAAAGTCTAAGTGACTTCTGACAAACTGTTAGATTCTCCTTTCAAACTGTATGCTCTCTCTACGAGAAACAGTGGAGAATTTGATGTTGGATCAAACTTCACTTGATAGAGCTTTATTCCACATCACTTTCACACATTTGTGCTACCTAACTTTTAAGAATTATAACACAAGTCTAAAATGATCTCTCTCTAAAACTTTCCCTACAAGTCATTACTTTTGATTAGTTCAAAGAGACTTTTTAAATAAATATACAAATTACTTCTTAAAAGACTGACCCTTGGTTTTCTTTTGTGATTGGAAATAACCATGTGTCTATACCTTTTCAAGGAAAACATCATGGTCATGTTTTCTCCATCCATCTTGGCCCCAGTGCTTGTATAAAGTAATGACATTTGATATTGGTGATTATATTTGAAATTGTTCTGTTTTCTCAAAACATGTGGGATAAATCAGTGTTTTTGAAAAGACCAGACCCAAATTTGAAGGAGCACTGAAGGTTAACAGCATCTTAGCAAAGACTCAGAAGTGGCATGAAGGAGATCTAGTTGGTCCAGAATCTATAGCTGCAGATAGCACAGGTATTTATATCATGTTGAAATACCAAAAATTTTCATAAAACTTTATTTCCAGCTTAAAAATTGTAAGTTGTTTATAGCAAGGAGCTACTGTCCTTATTTTTCCAGGTACTTTGTATGCTGGCTTAGCTGATGGGAGGATTGTAAAACTTGAAGGAGATAAAGTGGTAGATGTTGTTCGAACTGGGAAGCAGGTGGCAAACTGTGGTAAGTTAGGGTTTGATGAATGAAAAAGGAAATAATAGATTTATGGCCTGCGTAGAGACAGATATTAACCATCTATTTATGCTTTGTAGGATTCTTACAAATTGTGAGTATTAGGTAACTGAGTACTGAAGTGTGTTCCAGGCATTCAGTTAGTAAAATGAAGTGGGTAGTAAATGGCATCATAGTGGAGGAGGGTTGAAAAAAGAGAGAAGTCTGGGTCAGGTTGACCCAAAGCAAACCTCCCTTATTTTGAATAGAGGGGTTAACTTTCTAAAGAAACTGTGGTGCTGTGACAGTGAGAGAGTATAACAGGGTAATTTAAGTATCATCAACTGAGTTAATAATGTAAATTGGCCAATGCAAGGGTTTTAAAGCTGACATTTTGAGCATTAGCTCTTTGTCAGGGGGTTATCTACACAGTTAATTATACTTAATCTTCCTTTTTATACTCTGCTGCTACTACCCCTCCTTTCATATCTTGTAAACCTATTTTTGTTTACTGTGTTTTATTAAATGAATGCCTGAAACTGGCTATGAGCATTGTTTCCTGCTGTCCTCTCCACCATAACCCATTGTTCCCACTGGTTACAAATTGCTTGAGAATGGTTGTATTTGGACCTCTCTAATACAGATTTTCAAAGGTTCAGGTCTGCCTTTGTGGATAGACTTTCCCTACAAAAAACCTCCTTCCAGGACTATGAAAGAATCATACCCAACAAAACTTTTCTCAGAAAAATTATTATAGCACATGAGTGTGTTGGATATTCAGTGGTGTATCTGGGGGAAGGGTCTGGGAAGGAGCAAATTCCACCCCCATCACACCAATGGGTTTTTTGCTTTTTGTCTGACACCATAATTCTTGCAACGCAGGATCACATATTACTTCTGAATATCATGTAATTGTAAAATTGACTTTCTTGAAATATATTTCATCATGAATGTATTTGACTTCCTAAGACTTTTGTGTGAAGAGAAAATTCTGTGTTTTCTGAATCAAATTTTTGAACCCCTTCATCAAAAATTCTTGGTTCCATACTTGGTACCACAGAATAAATACTTATTTCTTACACAGGGACACCAGAAGCTGAGCCCACCTGTGGACGTCCCTTGGGAATGCGCTTTGACAAATATGGAATCAACCTGATTGTGGCTGATGCTTATCTAGGCCTGTTAGAAGTCAACCCAAAGGCCAGGACAGTCAGCACCCTTGTACCTCCCTCTCCTGGGATGAATAATAGGCCCTTTAGATTTGTGAATGATCTTGACATTGCGCGAGACAGAACCATCTACTTTACTGATTCAAGCAGCAAGTGGCAGAGACGTCAGTTGCACTACTCTATACTAGAAGGAGATAACACTGGAAGGCTTATGGCATACCATCCTAAGACAGGAGAAATGGAGGTTCTTATGGATGGACTTCATTTTGCCAATGGTGTTCAGATTTCTCCTGATGGAGACCATGTGTTGGTAGCAGAAACAGGAGCGTTAAGGATAATGAAGTAGGAACATGTGATTTTTAAGTTTTTTTCTAGCTTTATAAATCTCTTTGAGCATTCTCCTACATGATGAACAACCGTCCCTTAGTTCTTACTCACGGAGACAGTCTTTTCTGTTTAAATTCCTGGTTAGCTACAGTTTGACTGCATTGTAGGAAGTTGAGGGTTTGGGCCAAAGACTGGGCCAACACTCAGGGTCTTATAATAACTGAGGAGAATGTGCTGCCTTTGCTATGACATTTGCCAATGTTTAGCAATTCTACTCATAGGTCTACTAAGAGTAGCAATTCTTCTCTTAGGTCTAAACCTTAGGTCTTGTCTTCAGCATCTTATTACTGATCAGCAGGGGACATTACAAAACCCACACTCTTCTTGCAAAGAGTGAAGAATGTAGCTCTTGTTGTTGTGGTCTGGCCTTGTTTCCTAAAATTCCTAAATGGAGTTATCTGCTAAATTTCTTTCAAAAAATATAAGCTGTATAATGCAGTCTGGCCAGAGTCTCCTGCAAAGTGTTTTAAAGCACATCAGAGCATATTGATATAGAGAATGTATTCTGTAAATGCATCATTATCATTATCCTTATCATTAGAACCCAGCTCTTCTCTCTCTCTAATATGTTTATTCAGTTCTTAGGTTCTAAGGATGTATGTTACTAAGGAGTCAACATGACAAATCATATGCTGCCTTACTGTTAGTGGCAGATTTAAATTTATTCAATAATGTTAGACGCCCATATTTACTAACAATTGTTTCAGGTTTGGCTTTGAACTTTCGCATTCCCATGCTGTTGAAAAGTGTAGTGAATTGTATGGAGAAATTTGGAATTAGTTAAAATTATATCTGGATTATTTTTAGGTATTACATCAAAGGGGAACATGAAGGCAAATCAGAAGTTTTTGCCCAGAACCTTCCTGGATTTCCAGACAATATTCGGTTAAGTAGCAAAGGAGGATACTGGGTTGGTATAGCAACTGTGCGTACTGACTTCTTTGACTTGTTTCAACTGTATCCAAGGGCAAAGAGCTTTACAGCAAAGGTAGGAATGAGTTGTGTGGAGTGATTGGAAAAGTTGTTCATTTTGGATTTAACTGGTTAAGCTTTTCTTACAAGAACAATGCTAACAAATTAAAAAAAAAAAAATTTAGCCAAGAAACTTTCCTGGTGGAGAATTTAGGTTATCAACTCAGTAATTTGTTGAAAGATGTGTATTTGTTTGATCTAGTCTCTTTTTTTTTATTTTTTTTCATATTTTCTATACTCCTTCAATCAAATTTCAGAATTTGGACACTAGTGTCCAATTTTAGACTCCAGTGCCTAAATTTAGACACCAGTGTCCCACTCTAGGCACTAGTGTCCAACTTTGGACACCAGTGTCCATTTTGGGCAAATGTAACACAAATGTCTGATTTAAGACACTGATATCTGAGTTTGGACAGACTGTTGTCCAAATTCTGGGTCCAATCTTGGGCATTAGTGTCTGATTTTGGACTGTAGTTTTCTATTTTTGGACTTAAGCAACGTATTTTGGGCACCAGTGTCCGTTAAAGGGCTCAAATGTCCAAGTTCTGTCACTATAAGTAACGAGGGTTGTTACTTGATTAGCTTTGAATTTTTGTCTTACTCTGAAATTTTAGGTTTTCTCCTTACCATGGCTAATTGGTAAAACATCCCGCAACTATGGTCTCCTCCTGGAGCTGGATGAAAATGGTCATATTACCCGAAGCTTCCATGATCCAACTGGCAGTGTTATACCTGGTTCCCTCAGTGAGGTTCATGATGATGGGGATGTGCTCTTCTTTGGAAGTTTCAGGTCTCCATTTGTCGGTCGGCTGGAGCTAAAAGACTGACTTAGGAATAGATGTCAGGGTTTCTTGGTTCTTGAAAGAAAAACTGCTGGCTCTCGCAATTTATGTTTTCATTATAAAAGATTTTATTTTTGTACAAATTTAAACGCATGCACGTAGATCACATTGCAAGAGAGAAAGGCTATCTCGAATGAAGTCATCTCTGTTGTATTAGTTGCAGTTCTGATGAAGTAAAATATTTTAGTTTTTGTTTCTTGGTGTCTTTCATGGAGATAAAATCATCAAGGGAATTTTTTCCAGTAAGAAGGTTGGAGAGAGGAAAAAAACTTCAAACTACACTTCTTCAAACTTCAAACCAGCGGCATCTAGATTCTGTGGCTTATCATTGCTACTAGACACAGTACAGTGTTGATAATTGAAGTGCGGACGTCTTGTATTCTGCAGCATACACCTTTCTTGATATCTGACGGGCTATACCAGCAACTAAACTACTCGCTACATCTAGTTACAAGCTCGGCTTTTATAGGTACGGTTGAGGATCTGGAACGTTCCGTAACATTAAAACAGGTTCTATTGATATATAAATTTGGGGATGACTCAGCATAACACAGCTACTTCTAGAACATTCTTTAACGTCACACTACAATAATATAGAGACAGAAAGTGTTGAAGGACATTTGTAATCTTTGAAATGCAACTAGCGGTATTTTGGCAAATTTGACGCTGCGCTTCTACTGTAAAAACTAAGATAATACGAGTGCCCTGATTGGTTAAAAAAAATTCCGTTTTGCACCGGTAAATTTAAAGTTTATTTTATAAAACCAGTGAGCCGCACTTGTTATTGGTTTACCAGCATAATAACCAGTTGAAATGTTGTGAGGACTCGAGAAAGGTTTGTAATTCCCTCGCCTCTGGCCTGTGTTTTACAGACTTTTCTTCTCTTTTCTGGAGTTCTGCCAACATCTTTCGTGGGTTAGTATGTCGGTTAACTGATAGAAAGTGTTTTCCATTGCTTAAATAAACCGCACTTTAACAACCTTTAACGGAATACGGTTAATCCCTGATTTACGCCGCATGGGCATGGACCTCGAAGGGTGCGGTTTGTAAACCGTTTTAAATTGAAATACAGTACAGATTTTGATTGTACTTTTTGGCATGTGTGACGTAAGGTATCTTGTAAAAAAAGTCCATCCACAGCATTTTTAAAAATAATAAATAAAAACGAAACCAGATTAAAAAAAAAAAAAAAAAACCGCGCGTCTCTTAACAATTGTTCGCGTGACGTTGATTCAGTCTCTCGTTACGCAACTTCAGCAGTCCTCGTTTCTCTGATTCGCAGGGCCGTAGCTAGCATGGGGCAAGACGAGGCAATTGCCTCGTCTTGATTTGGGCCCAAGATTGACTTTTCTGAAGAAAAATGCCACAGAAAATGCTTAAAAGAGCATTTCTGAGCCTCTATATTTCAAAATTTTCTGGGAGCACATGCCCTTAGACTCCCCTTGCGGCTCGCGCCTTCAGCGCTCGAAAGTTACGTATTCGTTTTACTTTTTCTCTTCTATGTGCTTTATTTAAAACTAAGAAGCGACCAATTCCTCAGAGTTAAGATGTCCTAAGTCGACATTTGAAGCGGAGATGTGTGATATGTTCCGGCAAATCGGAGAATGATGTTGTGTTACTTTTTGCATCATCGTTCCCTTCTTCGCTATCACGTGCGCGTAGAATTCTCAGAACTTGCTATCTGCTACTCACTCCAGTGCACGTTTCAAACGACTTCCTTCTTCGCTGGCACGTACGGTGGTGAATATCTTTTTCCATTCTCAGTCCAGTGTTGCTTTTCAAACGACTAGAGACTGCAGACGGAGAGCTGGTTGTTGACGTTAGAGAAAAAGAGTAGTGTAAGAAATGTAAGATTTTACGACTTTTGCATTTTTAATCAGCTCAGTGAATAAATAGATCCTTTCACGGAAATCAACGATAAAAAAAGATATTCCCTTGTATATTCTGGCCAATCAAAAAGTAATGTTGTTTTTTCTTTCTGTCATACCACTTCCTCTTTCGATATCACGGTGAAGGATTTGTAGACCCCGTGTTGTCCTGCTCGGTTCATTGCTACGTTCCACACGACTGAGGGCGGCAGACGAGGAGTTTGTGATTGACGTTCGAGAGAAAGGATAACCCAAACGATGTAAGAGTTTAATTCTTTTGCAGTTTCTTTTTTTAATCATTATAACACTAATTGACACTAGTTGATACCATCCTGGCACCTCTAGAATTCCTGCGACAGATTCTGTATGTCGAGTTGTACCCTTTTAGCGTTTGTTGTCGCAGGGTATTTCAAATAATAAAGCGCGTAGAATTTATTCTCTATTCATGGTTTTACCACAAATCAAGAGATTTACGAAAAGCTGATGAGAATTGAACGTGAAAGACGAGTAAGGGTTTGCTCTTTCGTGTTTAGAACAACAGTTTGCTATTACGTGAGAGCCATCATTTGAAGTTGGAGTAATTTTTTTTTTTTAAAGTTTTGTATGTTCTGGCTAATCAGAGAGCGACGTTCTGCTAGTCTTTGCTCCACCACTTCGATTCCTCTTTCGCTTGCATGGTGTTTTTCTATGCCTGTTCTGGCCAATCAGAGATTGATGTTTTTTTAGTGTTTGCCACACCTGCCTTTCTCTTTCGCTATCACGGTGTAGAACTTCTAGGTTCCGTGATTTACATATCCTTTCAGTGGTGCGTAGCTAATTTCGGGAATCTTCTGGTTGACTTTGGAGAAAAGAGTAAAAAGAGATGTAAGATTTTATTACTTTTTCAGTTTTATTTCCTAAGGGTTATTATAATCAGTCCAGAATTCGAACTAGTTGATTTTCATTCTGGCGCCTTTACCGTTCCTGCGATGGTATGTGGGCTTGAGCATGTAAAATGTCTTTTGAGACCCGGACAGAAGCCGGAGGTTAAAAGTTCCTATTCCCGGTGCACACTACACTTTTATCGGTCAACACAGTTTGGTTTAATATGCTAAAACGAAGACTTAACAATCAATACATTGGCGTCAAAGTACGTTTCTCTTCTTCCGGTTTCCTTCCGCGTCTCTGCATTAGTTATGTATTTTTATATAATATATTTCGCGTGGCCTCCTATTAAGTTTGGTGCTTAAATTTCAAAGAAGAAGGCGCGCAAAATTTATTCCCTATATATGGTTGGTATTACATAGCAAGAGATTAATTAAAAGCTGATGAGAACTGAAAGTGAAAGACGCCACTGCTGGAATGAATTAGTCAAAATGTAAATCACAAAGTGGGGGGGGGGGGGGGAAGAAGAAGGTGAAGGGGAAGGGGGAAAGGAGAAAGGAGAAGACCACGCATTTAATGTTGGGGTACAAAATTTGGGCATGCTTGGGCTAAGTGTCCCAAAACCTCTGATCATTACGATACACCAGGGTAAATGTTTAAGTCTGAGTGTTTCTAAACTGACTTTTTTTTATTATTATTATTTACAGGGGTGTCACAGGGATGTTAATTACCTTGGTGTTACTGATTTTCAGTGCACTTGATGTTTTGTTCTTCTTCTTGCCAACTGCAAATTTTGATTCCAGGGTAGTAAGGTGAGATGACTGGTATTGAGATTATTTTACTAATTCTTTTAAGGCGTAAGGGAAGGGAAGCCCGGAAAAAGAGTCTTAAGAGACCTTGATAGATTAATAGATTCTCCTTTCAAACTGTCTTGCATTTTCTTGCAAAACACAGGAGAATTAAATGTCGCATCAGAATTTCCTTACTAGGGCTTTATTCCACATAGACCTTTGTATGCATGTCATTAAACTGTAGAGAATAACACAATTACTCAACCATGCAATCTTCCTTAAGCTTTCCAGAGAGCTCATCATCATCATGTCCAACCACTTGTAAGAGATTTTTGTTATTTAGAAATTACCTCCTAGAAGACTGACCCTCAGTTTTCTTAGCAGAGAGGAAATAATCATGTCTTTACAGGCTACCTCGCTAGAGCTTAATGTTCTGGTATAAATTAATTAAATTAATTATGTTAATGCAAATGATGATAATATTTGAAAATGTTCTTAATTCTCAACTTTTGATCATAAATCAGTGTTTATCAAAAGGAAAGTCCCAAATTTGAAGGAGCATTAGCAGTTAATAGCATCTTAACAAAGACACAGAAGTTGTATGAAGGAGATCTGGTTGGTCCAGGATCTATTGCTGCTGATAGTGAAGGTAGTTATACAATTTCCAAATAATTTCTGCACAACTTTTTTCCCAGGTTCTCTCCACTTCCTCTTCCCCTCCCCCCCCCCCCATGAGCAAAGTTGACTTTCCCCCGTAACCAGCCCCCCCATAAACCCCCCAAGACAGAATTTCTCTGTGGTAAGTTAGGGTTTTATGAGATATAATTGACAATATCAATACAATATCAACCAGACAAGTGATGAGAATAAAGAAAAATATTAATTAGGGGATTATTAGTTGATCCAATACCAAATTCTCAAAACTAACATCACAAGCACTATATGGCAGACAGTAAGGAGAATTATTGATGAGATTTTGGGAGTTGAAGGGTTAAACCACTGTTCCCCACTTGTAGCAAATAAGTGATTTACCAAATGCAACCTGGTAGACTAAGTTTACTTTTTCCTTACACAGGGAAACCAGAAGCAGAGGCCATATGTGGGCGTCCCGAGGGAATGCGCTTTAACAAATTTGGAAGCAACCTGATAGTGGCTGATGCATATCAAGGCTTATTAGAAGTCAACCCAAAGGCCAAGACAGTTAGCACCCTTGTACCTTCTTCACCTGGGATTGATGGCAGGCCCTTTAGATTTGTGAATGATCTAGATATTGCACAAGACAGAACCATCTATTTTACAGATACAAGCAGCAAGTGGCAAAGATACCAGCACGACTACTCTGTTTTAGAAGGAGATAACACTGGAAGGCTTATGGCATACTATCCTGAGACAGGGAAAATGGAAGTTCTAATGGATGGTCTTCATTTTGCCAGTGGTGTTCAGATTTCTCCAGAGGGCGACTATGTACTGGTAGTGGAACTTGGTGCATCAAGAGTAATGAAGTATGAAGAAGTGATTTTAAAGTTTTTGATACTGGCTTTAATCTCTCTGATCTCTGAGCAGACCCCCTAATATTTGCATAATTGGGAATTTTTGAGAATTCCTAGGAATTCCCAGAAAACTGGGAATTCAGTTTGCAAGGGTTGTGCCACCCCTCTCCCAAGTCTAAATTCCTAACCTTCCATCAAGAGATGGACCACTTGTCCCTGAATTCTTACTCTTGCAGACACTCCTTGGTGTTCAAAATCTTCATTTATTTATTTAGAACCCAACTCTGTTTTAAAGATGAAGTCCCCTCTTTCTAAGATGGTTATTGGGCAATGTTGTTCCCAGGTCCTCTCTCTTCCTCCCTCAAGAAAGGACCTTGGGTGCAGCTGGTCATGTGTCTCCCAGAATTTGGGAGATTACAAAAAACAAATTGAGAAAGGCCTGGGCTCAGGTGCAATTTGTTTTTCAGGTCTTACTGGATGAGTAAGAGGAAACTTTTTTAAAAAAGCACTTGCAATTTGTAGCTCTCACTGATATAATTAGATTGCACTGATGACAAAATTAAGTAGAGGACATATCCACACCTGCTCTCTAGTGTGCATAGGCACAAGACCAGCTGCAACCACAGTCCCCTCTTCAGGGAGGAAGAAAGAGGACCCTGGGAATGAGGTTGATTATTTGGTTCCCAGGCCCCATAAATGTATCTTATTAAGCAATCAACATGACATAGTTCACAATTGTTCTCGTGTTGTAACTAAAAATTATAATTTTCTTCCAATATTGACTGACACCATCACATAGTGATAACTGTGACTGTCAAGTCTGATTGTGAAATTTTGCATTCCAGTGCTTTAGAAAAGCACTTTAAATGGGAGTGAAAAATTAGAATCACTTAAAATACTGTCTGTATTGTGTTTAGGTATCACATCAAAGGGGAACTGAAAGGCAAATCAGAAGTGTTTATCCAGAACCTTCCTGGATTTCCAGACCACATTCGCTTAAGTAGCAAAGGAGGATACTGGCTGGGTATTGCAACTATGCGCACTGACTTTTTTGACTTGATGCAACAGTATCCAAGAGCAAAGAACTTTATAGCAAAGGTAAGAGTGATAGAGTAGTTGGTAGTGGTGGTAATGAAGTTAATTTTGTGAATATGGAAGCTAAGCCATCCTCACAGTGATGAACACTACTTATTAAGTAGCAGTGAAATTAAGGCCTGTATGGGATTTGAACCCATAACCTCTGCAATACCAGAGCAGCACTCTACCAACTAGGCTAACAAGCCAACTGGGAACAGGGCATTATGTTGGTTCCAAGAAAAAAACCTTGAAGTGGTGAATAAATGAATGTAAGTATATGAAAATCACATATGTGAATTGCGGTTGAAGAAAATGTGGAATTAAGTGATCCTCACAGTTATGAACACTACTTAAGTGGTAGTGAAAATAAGGCCTGAAATATATATATGATTTTCACATATTTACAGTTATTTATTCACCACTTCAAGGTTTTACTTAGAACCAACATAATGACCAGCTCTCAGTTGACTCATTAGCTCAGTTGGAAGAGCGCTGCACCAGTATCACAGCTCTAGGTCATGGGTTCAAATCCCGCTTAGGCCTGAAATTTTTTCAGGCCTTATTTCCTCTACTACTCAAGTAGTGTTTATAACTGTGAGGAAGTTAATTTTGGTTTTATCTCTTTGAGCCCCCTCTTACATCTAATTTCTCCTTACAATATCACCCCTGCAACACAAATGAAGGTCACAAGAATAAAGGAAATGATCACCATGCAACCAAAGTAATGCCTAAAGCACTCAACCTACATTTTAAATAAAACAAGGGTAGAGTAGTGTTTAAATTCCAGCCTAATGAGGGTTGTCGCTTGATTATTTTTAAGATTGTCTAATACATTGAAATTTTAGGTTGTCTCCTTACCATGGTTAGTCACCAACACAGCTGTCAGGTATGGCCTTCTCTTGGAGCTGGATGAAAGTGGTAACATTACCAGAAGTTTCCATGATCCAACAGGCAGTGTTATTCCTGGTTACCTCAGTGAGGTTCATGATGATGGTGATGTTCTCTTCTTTGGAAGTTTCTTTTCTCCATTTGTCGGCCGACTGGAGTTGAAGGAGTGACTTAAGGTGTCAGTCTTCTGGACTTTCAGAGTGGGATGCCTGTGGGGGCATTAGGGAATATGCATACAGAGAAGGGGATGCTTTTCATTTCTGTTTTTTCCTTTATTTGAAATTTGTTCATTTTTATTTGAGATAAATGCTTTCATTGTGCATGTATATGGCAAAATGCTGACTGATTTTGTTTTAATTAATGACATTTGTTTTGGAGCACTTTTCTGTGGTGCTTTCAACAAAGTGTAAGACTCTTCCTTAAAAAATTTAACACCATTTTCTGAGTTTTTAGAAAAAATTACATCCCAGTTGTTTAAAACATTAAGTTCCTCTTAAGTTAATTTGGTTATTCGATGTATTTTTTTTTTCAACTATAGGTAAATATACAAACTCTGAGATTAAAGCATTAAAATACAGTGTACTTTAAAGATTAGAAGGTTGATTTGACAAGTGGAATTTTTACACTCGAGTATAGGATTAGGATTGGCTTACAAAGAGACTGTTGGAGGAACAAAGTGCTTACAAAAATTAGCAGGAACACCTGTTCTGCTATTAGAGAGTTTTAGATCCATGTTTGGTGTGTCAACTGCAGACTGCAGTTGGCAGTTTCAGGTTAGAAGTAAGAAGTCTCAATATTTTTGGTTTTGGATGTCAACGTCAGTGTTCACTTGAAAAAATCAACAAGTGTGCTGCCATCTGGAATTACAGAAAGGAAGGGGGTCCTTCATTTCAAATACAAAGTGTGGCTGAAAGTTTGGTTTTATAGCATCCCAAACAGATTGGTTAAAAAGAAAAGCCTTCTTCTCACATATATATTAACAGGACATACAGGAAAAATTTTGAACAGAAAGAAGAAAAGTGCTGAGGGAGTTGACCTACTTAAAACTGCCTTGCCCAAAGTTCAAACATGAACTGCAAACTGTAAACATGACCATTGGAGCCAGGTCAGGTGACTCCTTGTGATTCGTGGTCACATGTATTCAGGCACAAATATGGATCTAAAACTGTCTAATTGCTATGGAATACTTTGTTGATGTGTGCCTTTGATTAAAACTCTAGTCTAGGATTCTTAAAGAGAATGTTACAGGAACAAAGTGTTGACAATAATTAACAGGGAAACCTTTTTTGCTATTTGCTATGGAATACCTTGTTTAATGTGTGACTTTGATTATAAATTTTAGCATGAAAATAAAACTTCAAACAAATTTCTCTTATACTGTCATTGCATAACATGTAAAAGCTACAGGTTATTAAAGAAAGGAACTTAAATTGTTTACTGTTACTTTCAAGAATAATTTAGATACTCAGAACTTACCAGTAGTTCTTGATACTTGACAACACATTCTCTACAAAACCTGTTAAGTTTATTTAAATACCCTTACATTACCCAGTGAGAATAATCTCTTACCTCTAGAAAGAGGCCCTGCCAATTGCATAATTCTAATAAGGTTACCTGTTGTGCACAGGGATAAATAAGGGGAATAGAGAAAGATAAAATATGGCAAATAAGCAGAGATCAAAAAAAATAAATGTCCATAACCACTGAACAAGAGTGATATTGTCAAGTAAACCTTCCTATCCAGCCTTTTTGTTATTTTTCTTGGTTCCTACACACAATGTGATTGGTCAGTTTAGCAGGGCATATTTCACTGTACAGCCCACTAAATTAAAAAGTTTGTCTAAAATGAAATCTTCTGCCCTCTATTTGAACCCAGAGATACAATAAATATCTTACTACTTCTCAGTCAGTACTGTAAGTCATGGAACCTTGTGTTCCTTCTCAAATTAATCCTTTAACTCCCAAGATCTCATTAGTAATTCTCCTTACTGTCTGTCATACAGTTCTTATGATGTTAGTTTGGAGAATTTGGTATTGGATCAATTAATAATCCCCTAATTGATATTTTTCTTTATTCTCATTACTTATCTGGTTGATATTGTATCAATATTGTAAGGAGAAATTCTGTCTTGGTCACTCATGGGAGTTATAAAGGACTACACAATTTGCACTTGGGCCATTAATCCTAGTGGAAAAACTTGGTACATAACTTACAGTATGAACCTTTAACTCAGTTAGCAGGCAGTACCATCATTTATTTGCTTCTCATACAACTATTTGCCAATTGGCCTGGGAAGTGTAAATTCTATTTCTAACAGCTCCTTCATCAAATCCATTCAAATTACACCTTACATTACAAATTACACCTTAGCCTATTATATCATTTGTCAGGCTGATAAAGTTCTGTTGGGTACTCATGAGGGTATTTTGCCACATGATCCATACACTCCTTATACTGTTTCTTCAAACGGGAAGGAAGTGTGTCATATACATCACTGAACATCTCCTCGACTGGAGGTTTGAGTGCCTTCTCAGCTCTTGAAAATGCTGCCATAACCTGTTGGCGTGCCTCTCGTTTCCATTCCTCCTCCATTTTATTATTCCACCACTCTTTGTTTTCCATGTAATGTCTGGATAATAAATGGCAAAGATATAATATGGTGGATACTAGACAAGTAAAAAAATTTGTACATAACCTAGGAAGAGCAAAACTGTGATGGAAATATGGCTGGCATGCAACAGCAAGACCCTCGATTGACTGACTTCAGTTTACACAGATTTTGTTAGGAATGACAAATAGTAAAGACAGTTGTAAGTTGAACAACCTTCAAAACAATTTGGTTTTATCAACTGAATTGATAATGTAACATGGCCATTGTAAAGAGTTTCTAAAGCTGATGTTTTTGACAATAGTCCTTCTTCATTCCCTCTTATGAAGAGCTAATGCTAACAACTTCAGATTTTAGAAACTCTTTACAATGGCCAATTTACCTTATCAACTCAGTTAATAAAACAAATTATATTTCAATACCCGCCACTGGCACAGCACCACAGTTTCTGTGAAAACTAACCCACTTAAGCCTTAAAAACAGGTATGTAAAGTAATTTACTAAATAGAGGCCAACAGGGGCAAAATTATGTGGTCTCTTTTTTCTATAACTCTAAGTAATGGAGGTATGATCAATATTTACTCCAAAGCTCCAATGTCTCCTTTTCTTGCAGATATAAATGTCGAGGATGGTGTAACAAACTAGTTGTTTGTCTTGTTATTTTTTTATTATAACCCTCAAATAAATGCCCCATTCACTATTCATAAAGAGAAAGATGGTTTACACCACCAAATGAGTAACTTTACAATAATTGTTAAAAACAATATTTTAACCCTTTAACTCCCAGAAGTGATTAACAAGTAACTTCTCCCTACAATATCTATGCCCTATCCAGCAAACAGGTAATGAAAATACTCAAATATACCAGGTAGGAGTTGTTATCTTGCTCTGACACCAAATTCTCATAACTTATTTACAAGGAAATATATAGCAGCAGTGGGGTGAATTGATAATCAGATCTCAGGAGTTAAAGGGTTAATAGATGACAAGGGGATCTCCAGAAAATGAGAGGCTTAGTTTATTGCTAATATTTTCTCCATCTCTTGCATTTGAGCGATGGTGGCCTTTTATTGAGTACAACTTGTTACCATACAGATTTGGGATCTAAGAAACAAGCTAAAAAGATCACAAGTTATTTGCTATTCTGATTTAAACATACCTAAGTCTTCCAATGGGATGGTCCTCCTTGTCCCAATAATTGACTTCCTTTAGAGAGCGGTACACAGAGGAATCATCACTAGTGCTGTGATGACCAATTCTGGGAAATAAGAAGAAAAGAATCAGTGTCGCCAAAGAGCAATTATGTTGTTATACTCATCATGAAGAGAAGGTGAATAATGATAGGTTAAATAGTTCTTTTTGCATCGCTAAAGGATTTGTGTGCCCTCTCTCAAAAGTGCTTATTTTGACTTGTGCTTCTTACCTCTAAACCTAAGATTTTAAGAGGTGGTAAACCCTTTAACTCTGATAAGTGACCAAGACAGAATTTCTCCTTAAAATGTCAATGCAACATCAAGCAGACAAACGATAAGAACACAAAAAAATGAAAAATGTTTATTAGGGGATTATAAGTTGATCCAACACCAAATTCTCAACTAACATCCTAAGAATTGTATGAAAGACAGGGCAGAGAATTACTACATTTAAACTCTTCATAATTCTATTCCCTGCAGGTAGTGGTAAAGTTGGAGCCATTATTTCAGAAGAGTTAAAAAATGTAAATGTGCCACTTTTTGTTTCCTTCTGTAAAGGCAAATTGAAAACTTGTTTTTTACTTTTCTCTAACTTTGAGGGGCTACAGAGACTGTTACTCTATCTAACCTGTAAGTCATGGCTTCCACCATGATTGGTTGTGACTGTTCGACTGCAATTTTCCGAGCTGCTTTAGTGACATTGTACACAGCAAAGACATCATTTCCATCCACACGAATTGCCTTCATTCCATAACCCCTGCCACGTCCAGCTAAACACATGAAATTGTGGGTGAGTAGAAAAAGAAAATTTAGTGAGAAGCATTTATTTATTTTAATTAAATTATCATTTGATGTCAATATCACACTGGCACATGTGGGCAATTAGTATTCACATGTTGCTTCAAGCAGCCTGTGTTGAATTTTAATCATCAAACTAACATTGCCTTGCTCCTAATGTGTAGCTTCATAGATCAGTTGTTAGTAGTCAGTGGTGGATCCGAACCTTAAGTTAAAGGGGGGGAGCCTGGTTTTTTGTCGCTTGCTCTGCTGTCTATTCTTCCTTCTGCGATTCTTATTTTTTTTACCAAAATAAGAGGGGGGCCTGGGCCCCCCAGGCCCCTCCCCTAGATCCACCATGGATAGTTCCCAACTAACATCTGGGAGGAACATTGAAGCCAGAATTTTTTTCATGTTGTGTTGCTTAGGTTAATTTTCTGTTTGAAGGGATGCATGGAAGTTACTTCTGATAAACTTATGGATTCTCCCATCAAATTGTCTTTCATTCCTTTGTGAAACATAAGGAGAAGTTGAAGGTACATCCAAAGTCAGTTCAGGTCTTTAAGCACCCACTCCTTAATATTGCCCACTAAAAGTGGCATGTTAAATAGAACAGCTATTTAACATAGCTGAGATTTTGAAGGGTTGATATGACAAGAGAGGAGACATAAAACAAAGTGCATTACAAAAAACAGAGAAACGATAACAATTACCAATTCCATCCCCTCTGTACTGGTCACCTGTTGGAGTAGATATGGCATAACCATTGTTGCGGCTGTTGGCAAAAGATATCAAAAGGTCAGCCGTTCTGATACTCCACACAGAAAAACATACATAAAAAATAATCATCACAATAACTCAAGAAGGGGAAACAATACAAAAACATAAATAGATTCACACTAAGAGTCAATAATGAATTTAAAAATTTATGCCAAATCAAATGATTTAGTTAAGATGTACAGAGTTTCATGTTGTCCTCTTAATACTTTAACTCTCAGAAATGCTAAACCTTTAAATTCTCCTCAAAAATTCCAAAGATTTTTCAGCAGTGGGTAACAAGAATAGAAAATCTGAACAAATTCTCTCGACCAGCATAATTAACAATTAGATCCTTCACTCTTGATTTCTATCACAGATGATAACTATAATGAGAATGACACCCATATCAATTAAACTTAACAACAAGACAGCCTAATTTTTTTAAATATTTACTTTAGTTTTAAACTGCCAATCATCAGGCTTCTAACTTTACACACAATCTATTTAACAAATAGATTCCAAGTTGCCGTGCGACTGTGGCACACGAGGCACAGCCGAGTGTGTCACTGATGTTCTTACCACATTTTGACGTCCTCTGTGATCTATTACTGAACAGATGCACGGCAACTTGGAATCTATTTGTTTTATATAATAAAGAATTTAAAAAAGTTTTAATGATGACGTCATCTATATGTCTGTCCTCCAATAGATCTTAAGTGAGAACCAATCAAAATGCGTGCATAACTGAGCTTATTATATAATGTGGAATAGATAGTAACTAGGCAAGTATAACCACCAGGTTCCAGCATTTGTGAAAAAATGCTTATAGATCTGGACACAAAGAAACAATAATGCATTTAGGAGGGAGAACTACATGTCAGGGAGCTAATCAGCTAAACAAAAAAAATTTGAAGGTCTCTAATTTTTATTTTTACCAGAAGAAAATGACAGGAGCTTCAAGAGTTGCAGCAAAGTTAAAGGCAGCATGGGCATCTCCTTCACTTGCTGCTCCTTCACCAAAGTAGCAGATGACACAATTTCCAGTGCCTGCTCGCTTTACAGCATATGCATATCCAGATGCTGAAAATAGGTTTTGAACTATCACTCAGTACCAGTACTACATTACAATTAACAACCTTAGTCGATACAACATGCAGCAGTGTGTTTACCCAGATATAAAGCCTTTGGTAGGTTTGGAGGGCCCTCAACCCTTTAACTCCCATGAGTGACCAAGACAGAATTTCTCCTTAAAATATCAATACATTATCAAGCAGGCAAGAGATGAGAATAAAGAAAAATAAAAGTTAGGGGATTATAAGTTGATCCAATACCAAATTCTCCAAACTAACATCACAAGAACTGTATGGGAAACAGTAAGGAGAATTACTAATGAGATCTTGGGAGTTAAAGGGTTAAAAAGGCAGAGTTGCCCTAGGCTGCATCTCGTGCATTTTTACAATCAATATTCATGCTCCCTATACTCTTTGAGAATACTTCTTATCCTAATAAAAGCAAGCCAATGTGTAAACCAATTCTTAAATCGTCAGCAATTCTCAGGAGTAATGAGAAAAACAGAATACATCACAATTAATTTTCTTTGGCAATTTTGTGCTCTCTCAGAGGTGATTCAGTGCCTAAATCAATAAGGAGCCCAGCCCTTTACAGCTTTCATAAAAAGAAAAGTAAACAAGTTGTCTGAAGAAAAAAGTCACTGCTGCAGTATCCGCTTTCTACAAAAGCATAGCCTTGTTAATCCTCTAAACCTTGAGAGTGATCAGTATCTAATTTCTCCTTACAATAATACTGCTGAATTACTCATTAAGACTGTGAGAATAAAGGAAATGATCACCAACCTCAGAGGTTTTGATTGTTAAATGAATTTCCTTGGAAAGGAAATGTAGGAAAGGAAGGAAATGTATAGAGAAAAGTATAGAGAATGAGGATACTGATGTTAAGGTGTATAGGCACAAGAGTAAAAAGGTTTCCTAAAAACTCACCTTGAGGCATCTGAGTTGCCAGAGGGGATGATATTGTGATAAAGTTAAGGTCCTTTGAGCCATAATGAACAGGCATCTGTCTACCCTTCCCAAAGTCATGCTGATTGGCATAACATTGATTCATGAAGTCATCTAAAGTGAAACCTCTCCACATTAAGACACCAGCTTCACGGTACTGACCAAGCACCATATCTTCAGGCAGAAGAGCTGCAGCACTTCCAAAGTGAGTGGCTTCTTCACCATAGTTTGTCATGTAAAATGATATCCTTCCCTAAAGAAGTCAGAAAGGGAGTCTATTCTTCATGATTACTAAAAGTTAGATACAGTTGTTTGCAAAGAGGTTGTCAGAAAAACAAAAGTGCTTGGGACAACCCCATAAGGAAGTGTGGGTAGTTTTCCAGTCACAGTTCTTGACCTCAGGATTTTAAAGAAATCTGAGAAAACATCACCGTAAGGGAGAGGCCTTGGCTTAGCAGGTTTGATTAATTTATTTTGTTTGCAACACTGAATTTTAATTCTAAACTTAATTGATAAAAGACTAACTATAATGAATGACAAAAATGATGTAAACTCAACAAGAGCAAATTCAAAGTGACCTAAAGACAAAATGTTTACGATGTAATATTCCATTTTTTGTCCCTGTCGTATTCACATGCATGTTGGTATTCATACCCTGTTCATTTTTACTTTTCTCCATACTTATTTGTTCCACTTATTAAAATTCATTTATTTCCAGATAACTAGATTACCTTCCACAATTGTTGTTTGTAATTTGTCCTTTTTCTGACAACTTTTATGCAAACAGCTGTTTATTTTTTCAGTATACATGGAGCCTTTCCAAAGAACTGTCCATATATCATAGAACAATCATTAACAGTCCTTCACTCTACTTTCTACTATAATGAAGTGCCCAAACAGCCTTGTATAGAATCAGTTCATTTCTCTCAATGAATACAAAATTCCACTTGCAAACCAAACGACTTTTAAGGAGTAAGGTATAAAGGGATTTAAAGTTTATATCACAGCACAACTGAAGGGGAAAATGAGTTATAAGCTATAAACTAGCAAGTAGTTAAACATAAGCAAATACTGTTGGAATATAAGCCTTGGAGTATTGGGTCTGAACTCCCAGGTGGGCAGAGTACAAAGATTTGACTCATGTTCCCAGCTGGCTCTTGAACTCAGTATACATCTTTCAATGCAGAGTCATTAAGCAGGCTAACTACAAGGACACAACATCTCCCTCTGATTATATATCTCTTAGCTTGTCTAACCTGTCTTTGTGACTCATAGAGGATACGGTCCATGGTATTCAAGAGAGTCATCTGCTTGTACATGTTTTTTATTGTTTCTTTGTCAAGCTACAACAAAAACAAAATGCCTTAGCTGAATAATAAGAGGTATATTATACCATGGTAATTTTCCCAAAATATTTTTTTGGCTGCCTAAAAAAAATTCATTTGACTCAGTATTCTACAGTGGCTAAGAAATAAAGAGATGGTCTGTATGGAACTCATTGTGAAAAAAAAGTGTGAAGGAAAGAAACATGTAATGGAAGAATGTCATATCACTACTTCAAAGCAAATTTCTACAAACATTCAAAACCATCATCTAAGAAAAACAGGTAACAATGTTATCAGTAATTTTACATTAATGTTTTAGAAATTTCAGAACCAAAACTTATTTGAAAAAAAAAAGGGAACAACGTAAGGGAAATGGAAAAGGGGAAACAACTCTCATATGACCCAGCCCCCAACACACCCCCAAGGCAATGTCAAGGGAACACGTCGATTAATACAACAATAAGAAAACTCTTCTCCCTGGAATCTCGAGAATCTGTCATTTCGGGAGAGGCAAAAAAAGAGAAAAGCTTGTCTAAATGTCTGGGGGAATGATGACGCGACAACTTCTCGATCTCCCTGGAAAAAAATCAAAGAAAAGGGAGGTAAAAAAACCAGCAGCACACCTTGGGGTCATGGGCTTCGTTAAAGACTTTTCCATTTCGATCCATGACTCGATAGACCGGGATGGCTTCTCCATCGTCTGGATCATCAAATTCCAATTTTTCTGTGTAATATGAGTTCAAAGCGCCTGGAAATCTTGGCTTGTCTTGGTATTCATGTTGGGGTCTTCCTGCACTGGAGCTAGACGAACACAACTGAAAGGCGTACAAAAAGTTCAAAGAGAGTATTTGCGAAGTTTCAACAGGTGTTTTGGCACCCATAACAGTAAATCACATGGAAAACTTACTCTCAGTGCCTTTAAAGTGTTAGGTAGCTTTTTTATGTGATATGATACACCACGGGACCCAACAAGCGCTCTTCTCAAAAGCCACGTTGAGGCAGCCATGTTTAGTTTATCCCGACACCTTACTCACCCCCTACTGGTAGCGATGAGAACTATCGACAACAAGAAATGTGCAAGGTGTACCTGCAGCTTAAGGTTTAAAACCAAAATCGTCGTTTTTTAATGATTTAAGGAGAATAATTTCTCTATTTACTTACAATTCATAATTTTATATATCGTCATATCTTTACATGGAGAAATAAGAAAGATGAGTAAGATAATACTTAACCAGATGGGGGCAAGTAAACTCCAGTAGGGAGGTACAGGGAAGCAATAGATTTGACTTGGAAACGACCACGAGCCCGCGAACACGCTGAAATCAAAATGGCGGATGAGGCAATGGATTTGAATATTCCACGATTTTCATCGGAGTTGAGGTCTCTGCGATGTGAACAGAGCCTCTTGAACAAAACAGATGGATCAGCAAGCTTTTTTCAAGGTTTTTCTCTAACTCCAGTTTTATACGACTTTCAGAAAGACATTGGATGTTAGCAATCTAGTGACATTTTGATACTTTCTTTTAGTTCATGATTTTTTACATCGTTTCAGGGAATACCCACGTGATGGCGGCAGCTTATGGTCCGGCAGAAGTCAGATCAAGTAAAGAACTCATTGACAAGGCTACTCTAGAAGTTGTTTTCAGACCCAAAGTTGGCTTACCAGGTACATAAAAACAGGGTGACCATATATACATCATTGTTGAGTTTGAAGTCTCAAATGAATCTCAGCTCAAAATATCTTAGATTCTAAGCTTATTTCTCTTTCCGAGAGGATTGTGACCTATTATTCGTCGAGGAAAATTAAAGTGAAAGAAGTTGACAAAGAACCAGATTTAAAGGGCACAGCGAAGTCAACTTTCTTTGTCAAGCCTTCTGCTCTTTGGGCTCATCAGTTTCATATGTGTAAATAAAGATTGATTGAATTATTGATTAACTTAGCAAGCTTGTTTCCTATTTTCTCAATTCCACAGGCTGTGCTGAAAAACTTTTAGAGAGAGTTATCCGCAACAGTTGTGAGCCAGTTGTGCTTACCTCCAGACATCCCCGGTCATCCCTCACAATTGTTGTTCAGCTTGTTCAGGATAGTGGATCAGTATCCTTATATTTCCTTACTTACTTTAGTTTATTAAAGCCTATTAGAAGCTTATTTTAATCCTAAATATTTGATCAGTAATCTTCCCCCTCAGGATTTGTTACCTTTCTCTGCAAATAGAAATATGTTTACTAATACTTCTGAATCTTTGATCAGGGGCAGAGCTAGGATTTTTCAAAGGGGGGGGGGGGGTCACACTGTGTCAAACAGAGGGTACTCACCAGTTTTTGCCACCTGAATATTTTAGGCTGTTTGCTTAAAAAAAGGCTTACAAAGGGGACAGGGTGGGTCACAGGCACCCAAGACCTCTTCCCCCCCCAGTTATGCTCCTGTTGATTTTTGGCTGTTTTAGGAATTTTATGCCTTAAATTAACCATGATCATACTTCTTTTACATGTTCAACAACTACATTAATTAGAAATACTGCTATGTATGTTATTGTTTTCCCTAACTGCCAAAGTTACTGGCATGTGCAATCAATGCTGCTTGCATGGCAATGATTGATGCTGGTTTTCCAATGAAATGTTTAGTTTGTGCTGTATCATGTGCATTAAATGAGTCTGGTGACATTCAGCTGGATCCTTCCCTGGAGAAAGAAAAGGTAATAGGTAGAAAATGATTAATTTAATGTTGAGGATTTTTTGATGAAAATGTTGAAATTGTCTGATGTAAGAATGTAAGCCTTTTTGCGAAGTTTTCTCTCTCAAAAGCACAAATTGTTAAGTGTGATAAAAGTTTTTGTTCATACCATAATTCAGCAGTTTTGTTTAACCCTTTAAACCCCAGGAGTGATTGGTATCTTATTTCTCCTTACACTACCACTGCTGAATCAATCACTAAGGCCATGAGAATAAGGTACATGATCATCCACCAGAGAAGCTCTTGATTATTTAACAAATTCTCCTTGTCAGCACCTTAGGAAATGTATAGAGAAAAGTATGGAGAATATGCATACTGATCTCAGGATGCAAAGGGTTAAAAGTACCATCAAAGAATGGACCATTGATCTTTGATTTTTTTTTTCTCACAGTCAGCTGGTGCAGTGATGACATTTGCATTTGATAGTGCCAACAAAAATGTGATGACCTCATCAACAACAGGGAGTTTTACAGTACAGGAGGTAAAAGATTGTTTAATTTCTCCTTACAATATCAAATACAAAATCAACTAAATATGTGATGAGAATAACAAAAAATATCAATTTGAGGATAATTAGTCGATCCAATGCTAAATTCTCTGAATGTAATTGTAAGAATTGTATAGTTGACAGTAAGGAGAAAGACAAATTTGATCTGGGAGTTAAAGGGTTAAAGTTTACGTTACTTTTTTGTGGCCAGCTTTGTACTATTTTGCTCTAAGATAAAGAGAAAACAGTGCTCTTGCTGTTTTGTGGCCAAACAGACTGGAAATGAATTCTCCAAATTCTCTTTGTCTGTCAGCACCTTAGGAAATATATAGAGAACAGTATGGAGAATATGCATACTGATTTTAGTGTGTAAAGGGTTATAGGGTACAACCACTCTTTGATTACTTCCTTTTTATAGTACGACAGGTGTCTGGAAGCATGTCGCTCTGCTGCTACTAAGCTATTTGACTTCTTCAGACTATCTGTGGAAAGGAAGCTTTCCAAGGTAAACTTTCTTTTGTCTGCTTAAGTTATTACACTCTTTTTTCTTCACCAGAACAGCTAATTCTAGAGCTGACTTTGAGCATAGTTAAAACTTACTGTAATTTTGAATGTGTTTGGAGCTTTAAAACTGTCTTATGATGTTCTTGAGGTTACATTCCAACAAGACTTGAAAACCTTTTATCAAGATTTCTTACAAGACATTTATTGCCCTAAGTGTGAGACAAAATGTTTATTTTTATCTCAGGGAGATTGAACTCAAGGGCCTAGGCATTTTTGCTGTATAAAGCAAATAAAATTTCTAAGGTTTTTGGATATTTCCCCCTGAGGGAAACCATGTATTCTCCTGTATAACAATAAATAATCCATTACTGAAAAAGATATAGTTACCAGTACAACTTCAAACTGAATGATCCTTGTGGTACTGTTATATCATTTCTATCAGAGTTGTTACTTATCAGTTTTAATTTTTCTTTCAACAGGATGCTAAGTTTATGGACATAAACATTGCATAGTTATATCTGTGATATTTAACTCACACAGTCTGCAGTGCAAAAACTGCACAGGAGTGTGATTCAGTGTTTAACTGGGTCACATATGAAGAGTAGTCCAGGTTGACTGTTTGTTAATCATCAATGGTCTTTGGTTGAAGAATCAAATAGAGAAGCAATCTTATGGCAAGTCTTATGGATCAAATGAACTACAGTCTTGACCAGTTGGATCACTTAATCAGCTCACGAAGTTCCGCAGGATATTCCTGAGGGTACTTCATTAAATGATCCATGTACAAAATAGATTTGAATGTCTGTGCATCTGTTCAGTAACAGATCACAGATTAATATTGGCACACAAGGTGTAACATTTTGATGTCCCCTGTGCTCTAGAACTCAACAGACCCATGGCAACATGGAATGTACTTGTTTCACATAATAAGAAATAAAAAAAATTGTTTATGGTGACTTTATTTGTGTCTATCCTCTAATAGATCATAAGTAAGAATCAACCAAATTTTTAATTATTCAGCTTATTTCCCTTATACTATTTCTTCAAGTATGGAGTATCATGTACCCCATAGGGCATTATTTTCACCCTTTAACTCACAAGATCTAGTTGTTAATTCTCCCCTCTGGCTGCTACACATTTCCTTGTAAATTAGTTGCAAGAATTTGGTATTAGATCAAGATAAAAACTTCTACCAAATAAGTTTGAGAATTCTCATAACCTGTTTGTTGGATAACGAATGGATATTATCAGGAGAAGTTACATATTAATCACTTTTGGGAGTTAAAGGGTTAAAAGGAGGCCCTAGTGCACTGTCAGCTCTCTCAAATGCCCACATCATGGATAAAAAAAGTCAGTGTTTATCTGACTCATAATATCATGATGATACTTGAAAATGTGCTGGATAACTTCTTCTTAAAGTACCGTCCAAGTATTATGAGCCAGTTACAGGCATTAACTCTTTAACTCCCAAGATTGGATTGTTAATTCTCCCCACTAGCTGCCACACATTTCCTTGTAAATTAGTTACAAGAATTTAGGGTTGGATCAAGATCATAACTTCAACCTGATAAGTATGAATATTCTCATTACCTGTTTGCTGAATAATGTACATGTTGTGGTTCAATTTTATCCTTGGTTCAAATTGTATTTTTCTTGTTTCAAACTCATTAACATACATTACAATACCCAAACACAAAAGAAAATAAAATTAAAACAAGGGGTTAAATTGAACCACAATATATACATATTAGAGGGAGAAGTTACATGTTAATCACATCTGGGAGTTTAAGGGTTAGAAGTCAATTATTAGAACAAATTCTTCACTAGGCCGTAGATTCAGAAAAAGTAAACCAGTAGATAAACTTGTTTGTCAAATAAATTTTTATTTTTGCTAAGATTTGGTGAAATGAGCACAAGAGCAATGGTTTGTTCTTTGGTCAAAATTTTCTTACCTTGTTTTGTGACTGTTTAATAAAAGAGCTATTGTGTTATAAGTAAATAAGTCTAGTAAAAATGATATTTAAAAAGGAAAATATACACAATTAAAATATGAGCTTCTGTGTCAACAAATCTTCATCCATCTTTCTAAACCTTTTTTAAATTTGTTAATGCTAATTACGTCAGTGAAGTGATGGTTTGGCAAACTGTTCCACTTGTCCACTTTGACAAAAGGGCTGAGTTGTTTGAAGAATAATGAGCATGATTCCATGTTTATCCCTTTGACCCCTGTGAATGACTAAGATCTAATTTCTCTTCACAACATCACCCCTGAGTCACACATTAAGGTCATGAGAATAAAGGAAATGATCACCAACTAAAGAGACTCTTAATTGTTAAACGAATTCTGTTTGGCAGCACCTCAGGAAATGTATAGAGAACAGTATGGAGAATCTTTATACTAATATTAGGGTATAAAGGGTGAACTGCCACATCAATTAATAGTTCTTCTAGGCACTTAACCTGGGATCAGTTTCAAAACACTGCCCAGTGCATTTATTTATATATTAACTGTTTCAATTTATTTACAATATGATATCTACAGCTTAAACTTGGCACATGAAATAATTTAATTTGTTAAATATTTGTGTTTTAAATATGTCAAAACCATACGACCCATCGTCTCGCAGGAAACACACTCTATAATTTAATACTAACACTAATGATGAAAGGACATAACCAGTAGGTATATAAGAAAATTTACATAACTGTTTCCCTCATCTGCTCTGCAATTATTGAAAAGATGTCACTATAACTACAATCTCAGGTATCCCCTCTTACCCCCCTACCTACCCCAGCTAGTCCCTCTTTCCCTCCCCTCCAAAAATATGACCCCGCCCTTTGCTTGTTTATAATCCACTTGAAGCTTCACTGTCATCAACCGGGGGCAGAGGAGCCTCTTTCAGGTGACTCTCCAGACCCAGTAAGATTTGAATAAGTTTCATAGTGTTTTGAGCAGTTTTCAGTACTTCTTCCTCAGTTCCAATGGCAGGGTTGAATTCCACTACATCAATACCGGACAGGCATCCTATACATTAACAAAAGACATGATCGTAATTTAGAGTATCAGAGGAAAGAGGGAAGGAGAAGTTACCCCTTAAAAGCAGGCAGTTCATTCAATAAAGTGACAGTGACTTTGACTGGCAAATGCAAGCAGGAGGTAACATACATGAACTCATGTGTCTGCTCTCTAATGCACGTGTTAGTAGCTAGGGTCTTATCCACCCAATCTTTCAAAAGGCAGATAATGCTATCCAATGGATAAGTTCCTATCCAGTGGATAAATGTTAATGTTCTGTGCTACCCACTGAATAGAGATTTATCCAGCAAATAGTGTCATCCACCTTTTGACCAACCAGGACCTGCTCCAGAATTACTTGCTTAAGATGATTGCACTTCATTCCCAACATCTTCCAATACTGAGGATGACTGTAGTCTTTATTAACATTATATTTATCACAAACATACCTGATTGTGCCACAATCTGAGCAATGTAAATTCCTTCATCCAGTGTGAGGCCTCCTCTCACTAAACAAAACAAAAAAGAAAAAAAAAAAAAAGGTTCCTTGCTTTATAAGTTACAAACTTATGCTAAGTTACAGGAAAAAATAAAGTTTATTTACACTTTGAATGAAGCAAAACACCCACCTGGTGTTCCTGTGCTTGGAGTCTCTTTTGGATCCAAGGAATCAATATCATAACTTACATGAATTGGACGATTGCCACTAATGAAACAGCAACAAAAATAACGAAATTACTGCTATTTCAAAGCCTTAGCTTTCAAGAGCAACTAACATCTATTCTCACCTCACAGTAACACCACTAAATTAACAAAAAGGTCACAAAAATTAAGGAAATAATCGCCTCTGAAGAAGCTCTTAATTGCTGGACAAATTCTCCCTGTAAGTACCCCAGTAAATGTATAGGAAACAGTATAGAGAATATGCATACTGATGTAAAGGATTAAACCATAGGTCTTGCACATCAGCCTTTTGGCCCTCTACTGAAACTTATCAAAATGTTCTCCTTGACATGAAGGGACAGGAGGTATGGTTACTCCTTCTTAACCTGTTAACTCTCAAGACCTCATTAGTAATTCTTCTTATTGTCTGCCAAATGATTCTCATAATGTTAGTTTGGAGAATTTGGTATTGGATCAATTAGTAATCCTATAATTGAAATTTTTCTTTATTCTCATCACTTGTCTGCATGATATTGTATTGATACAGTAAGGAGAAATTCTGACTTGGTCACTGATGGGAGTTAAAGGGTTCAGAAAGGATTCTATTCCATGGCAAAAAAAAACCCACACCCCCCTCCACTTTGCCAGCAATTGATCATGCCAAGTTTCCTTAACATTTGCTGACATCTAATATATTCCTAAGAGGGGAAGGGGTGCTGTGAGAATTTGAATTGTCTTTCTTACAAACAAAACCCAATAATGCTATCCTGAGGGTTTTGCCGTGGACATTATGTACCAAAATACAATGTGATGACTAATAACTCTCTATGGTCACAACTATTTCCTCAGGTTGGGGTCTTAAGAATACTTATTTTTCCCTATGCTCCAGGAAAAAACCTTTGGCTGAAATAGCATGCAATAGATGTTGAAATGTCTGTGCATTGCTACATAACATCAAATAAATTTTTTGAATGAAATATTTATCAACATACTTGGGATTGATTTTTTCCAGAGCTTTTTCAATTATGACTCCAATTCCATCTTTGTCAACATCATCAATGGTGTATGCAGCAATCCCCAAACGTTTGCAGATGTCCCTAGAATCATAATATATCATAGGTATCAAATGAACATGGAAAGAAAAATGATCATACAATTCTGCTGTAAATACTTGACTGCACAGACTGCACATTAATCCCTCATTTCCAACATCATCGAATATATCATCAATTAGGGGTGAAATGGTTAACTTTTTTGGTACAGATAATAACCTTTCTTGGGGTTCAACATCTCTTAGTCCAATGTAAGCAATATCCTTTGGAGACAAACTAAAAAGTGGAAAAAAAAAGGTCAATTAAACTTGAGGCTTCTCCCTATCAGGAAATGAACAATAACCAAGTTGCTCTTTGTAACTTACAGTTATATTAGAGACTGCAAAGAGATTGCGGTCCAAAGCCTTCTTGGGTTATTGATAATTCCACTTTTTAGCACTTTCAAAACCATTGTTTATAAATAACTAAACCATTTAATAGAGATATACTGGATTATAATCATATTCATTGATAAGTTTGAAAAATAGAAATTTGATACAGTTAAGAAAAGGTTAGGATTTCAAATTTCAATGCCATCTGGAAATTATTGAATATTTCCTCAACTCTGTATCCTACATTGCTTAATATTCAACAGTTTCCACTGGCCAAGAGCATTGCACAAGCCACATATATATAGAATTAGGTACTATCTTTCCCTCACTGAGTCACACTACACTCCTACAAATGAATCACATGGAAAAAGCTTGGAGTGAACAAACATTCAGCAGCAGCAATAATTTACCATGGAGAACACCATTCATATCCAGGAAGGGAAGGAAACTGCAAAATAAAGATCAAACAAATTTAAAGCGATTTGTACTAAATGTGAATTTGAAATACAAACAAATATCATTCTGCTGCCTCTGACTTTTCCATTGTTTTTTTTCTTCATATCTTTAGAAATTGTCATGGGGGGGGGAGAGATGATTTCATTACTGAGCTAGCTTACCTTAATCTTAGATATGGAATTAATTCAACCTGGAAATTGACCACTGCTTAGTGTCATGACTCAGAAAACCATCAACATCTAAAATATTTCTGCAATGTTCATTGTGTCATAAATAATCCCATCAGAGATCAAAACATGTGAGCAAACAACAACACCACTAACTTATACTGTGACTGCTTACACTTTGTAAGTTTGCTCACACTTGGAGCCCATTAAAATCTCGAAAGTACCAGTAATTTAACAGACCCAAAGCCGTATTTAAATAAAAATTTTAAGAATAGAGAAACAGCTTCTAGCAGCCTTACCAGTCCATTTTGTTCTCTAGCTGATAGTTTTATTGTATAATTTTCACACCTTTTGAAACCCCCATCTTGAATGAAATCAGAACAGCTACATAGGCCCATTAAGTTACTGAGACCCTCTAACTGATTTTTTCTCTTAGACAAAATAACATTACAGACTGAAATAACTCTGGTTTACACAGTTTTCTGAGATTCACACAATTTAGATGTTTTTTAGAACTACAATACACATGTGTGTGCTTTTCTATATTGCTATCCATATATGGATTATCAGGGGCATAACCAGGATTTTTCAAAAGGGGGAGTCACACTGTGTCAGAGAGAGGGTACTCACCATGCCCTGATTCACACAATGTGACAAAAAATGCTTACAAAGGGAGGTCACTGGCACCCCATGACCCTCCCCTAGCTACACCCTTGAGTATCTTGGTAACAAATTTAAAAGGTCAGCTATACCTCTGGAATACCCTCGATTAACATGGAGAGGGGCATTCCATGAATATTTCCAGTTTTGGTAGTAGCTGGACTGTTAATATCCATGTGAGCATCAACCTGAAATGGGAAATCAAGAAACAGATATTACCAGTGAAAAATTTTATAATTTAAAGTACAAGGCAAGCACAAGTGCAAAGAACGACTACAATATACTGGTAATTACAAAGCATTTAGAAAAATATAAATTTCTTAAAATTGGTGCATAGGTACCTCATTAAAATTCAGTGAAAAAGAGGGCTCTCAATCCTTATATTCTTATTATCAAAGAAAGTGAGGGAGGAGTGGGGGGGTGCTCATTTGACATTATAGTGGGTGCTTATTCAGGGAAGGCTGCGCATAAGAGCATGGGCACTTATTCAAGGAACACAGTATGTTATTTCAAATATACATGAGAGATGTTTACAACTAAAGCTGATGTAGAGCTGATATCCTTACACCAAATTAGACACAAACTACTTGCCAGCATGTGTACATACTATTAAGCTAAGTTTGGTTGCCTTTAAAGAGATTCTTGCACAGAGGACATCAGATAAAAATAAGGAGGCTAAGTATAACTTAAAACATTGCTCACTGCAAAGTAAAATATTAACTAACCCAGAGTAAACCTAGGTTTCTTGTAACAGATGCATGGCCAAAAACTGAACCAACTGCTATGCTGTAGAGACAAAACACAAGAAAACTAAGCAGGAAAATATACCAAGTATGAATAATCATGAATTCAAAATAAAGCCTGGCAGTTGTACAACTCTTAACCCTTTACACTCTCACATCAGTATGCAGACTCTCCATACAGTAAGTTCTCTGTAAATTTCCTATGTGACTTACAAGGAAAGTTTGTCTAACAATCAGGAACTTCTTGAGTTTGCAATAATTTCCTTTATTCTTACAACCTTAATGTTTAATTCTGGAGTGAAACTGTTGGGGGAAATTAGATGCTCATCATTCTTTGGGGTAAAATTTAAAATTAAAAATCAAACCTTAACATGATGAGAATAAAAGAAACGAGAAAAGATTACCAATGAAACAACTACTTGATTGTCAAACAAATTCTCCTTGTCAGTACCATAGGAAATGAATGGAGAACAGTATGGAGAATATCTATTCAGATGTTAGGGTGTAAAGGGTTAACTTCAAAGAGATTCCAAAGAGTAACTCAACCCCTTCCGAGACTGCTTGCATAACAAGGGTGCTATTCAGCAGTCTTCCACTTTCACCCATACTTGCAATTTTAAATTTTTGAACCTTTCACATATCAAAAACTATTATCAATAGGTTTAATACAGACAAGTAAATCACTGTGTCTCTGAAAACAGTAGATAGATAAAATCAACTTCAAAATTATGATATAATACCAATGGAAAAGAGAATACTTAAAATAGTGAGATTTTGTTGGGCTACCTGTGATCTCCTCCTATTGTGAGAGAAAGCTTCCCTTCTTTTGTAGCTTTTGCTATTTCTTGAGCAAGCTGGCAGACAAAGGAATCAATGAACATATTCGCACAATCAAAGTCATTTAAAATTTGCAGATTCAAAATAGATTTTGAAATGTTCATAATGCTTTATATTTGACTTAAGTCCTTGCACTTTATTTATGACAACTTTATTTAAATAATAACATATAACATATTATTATTAAAAAAGGGTTATGGAAGGGAGGAACTTAATCCTCGTTGTAAACTATACCCCAGACTTAAGTCAAAAACAGAGATTCTTTGGCTATATACTTTGCAGAGCTCTCTTGTTTCAACTTTACAACTTCAGCTACCTTTTTTAATTCAAATGAATAAAGAGAGTAGGTTTCTAAAGAAGCCATAGTGCTTTGTCAGTGAAGAGTATTCCAAAGTAATTTGGTTTTAACAACTGAATTGACAATAAATATAAATTGGCCACCATAAAGAGTTGCTGAAGTGAAATAAACGGTCATGGCCAATTTACAATCTAACTCAACTCAGTTGATAAAACCAAATAATTTTTAACTCAGACATATTATTTTCTGCTTGTACAATTCCTTTTGGAAAACCCTGTACCTTAACTGTGGAATACTGTATTATCTCAAATAATGCAGCATTGCATGGCATGAGGTTTTTTGTTTTTCACTAATAATGGGTTTAGATTATGATGCATATAAATGGAGGTACTGTGTTAAATTATCACCCACCTTTTTTGCAACAGTTCCACATTCTACTGAGTTTTTCACCCTCTCTCTTGAAATGTTGTGATTTTCAATATGTGGTACAGTCATCTCTCCAAAATCTGTTATTTTGTAGCCTGAGAGTTAAACAATGTGCAAAAATGTTGGTAATTTGGTCACTAAACTCTCGAGTGTTTTTCAATTAAAAGTTCCAAGAGGTCAATTTTACCTAATTTCTCTATTTTGCGAACTAAGCCTTGTTTCCTCAAGCGGACTGGTCCTTCTTCAACACCCTTCCTAGGCTAAAAAAAGACAACAGAAAAAGACATGTCTTTATCTTTAGAGATGCTGTTTATATAATGTTTTTTCACAAGAGTAGTTTTTGATATGCATGAGGATTTGAAGATCAGAAATTCTAAAGGTGCAGCTGGATCATGCTCTACCAGCTGAACTACAGGGATGTAACTGGGTAGCAAATGGTTAAATCTGAGACTTAATTGCAAGATTCCACAACTCCTCTTTGAAAATCCAATTGGGAGAGTGCCCGCTAAGTATACAACTCATGACTATATTTGCTTTAATCAGATTATTGCAAGGTTCTGGCATATTAATGATAGGAAAACATTTAGTTATAATTCTGATGCTGGCTCTTTTATGACCCTTTTTTGTGATATAATGAATTCCACATTGCCATGTTATTACACAACTGAGGGAATATACACAGACATTCTCACAACAAAAACTCAATTTAAGCCACTCCAAGCAAATTACAGATTTTCCTTTTGTTTTGTTTCATTTTGTTTTGTTTCGTTTTGTTTTGCAAATTACAGTTAGCCTGTTTAAGAACAAGGAGCAACTGCAGAATACCCTGCCACTTTTGTCCACCTCATTTACATGTGTTAGGAGGCTTTGAAGATTGAGGTATAACACAATAAACATTATACTTATTCAATGACACAACATTAATTCTAAAATTCAGCCATTCCACGCATCACCTGCATTGCCTGACTCGTCAATGACATTAAAATGACATGCAAAGCATTATTTGTTATGATCACTACATACTTTGATCAGGTATTGTTTGACAGTGCTGCAAATTAGGGTGGTTGGGTGGAGGGAAATAATTAGAAAAAAATTTCTGGGATTTGTTCTTGGCTTAACTGCAGAATACCCCGCCACCCATTTACATGTCATTGAATAGGAATAACGTGTATTGTGTTATGCCTCGATCTTCAAAGCCTCCCGACACATGTAAATGAGTTGGACCAAAGTGGCAGGGTATTCTGCAGTTGCTCCCAACAACTTAATTAGTTGAGTGGTTGGAAGTGAATACTAGGCAGTGCTAGGGAAAATTTAGCTGGGAGAGGGTGGCAAATGGTTTATATGTGATCCGTGATCAAGCCCAAAATAGATACGCGACATATAAATTTTACAGAAAGGAAAAGTAAGATAAGATTTGAAGTTTTCCCTTTAAAATTTTGTGACGCTTGAAATACTGTTTAATGTACACGTGATGTGTGAATTTTTCTAGATTTCGTACGCGAAACGTGATCAGAACCCCACTTCGCTACCCTTCTGGGAGGGTACCGCAGGGGAGGTTACTATGCCTTCTAAAAAAAATATCATTGACTTTCCTTTCGGCTGAACGGACCTTTCGAATGCATTCTAAAGGGCAAACCATCTAGACATAAATATACCACACGATCTTAATGGTATATACGCTGAAATACGACTTTACTCTTCAACTTCCTAACTTCTGAAAAAATTCATATGTCATAAGTCATCTAAGTGACGGATCACCTGTTATATTTCCTTGGTCGGAAGGTTTTCAAGTGGAAAAAAAATTCGTTTACTGTTCGACTTATTTTATCACGTGCGCAAATTTTGATGCCGCTGAGGCGTAGATTTTTTGATGACACTGGAAACGACGGTGAAAAAGGAAAAACAAAACTGCTTTAGTTTTCACACTGCGGGACTGCTCTATTTTAAAAAACAGTCAAGTATATATTAAATAATGGATATCGCCGTAATCCCATGAATAAACTATAAACGTTTACTAGTTAAACAAAAACATTTTATTTACCTGTCCGCCTGAAAAGGGAACCCCTATTAAAAATAGCTCTTGTTTTTTCCCTGAGTGACATAATCTGGCAATTTTCTTTGCCACGATAGGTCGTAGACGCCACCGATGTACAATTCTCGTCACATTCATCACAAGGAGAGTTCATCAGAGCGCACCTGATTGTGTAAACTGTACACCCTCCAGCACACCTTTCATTTGACCTCGTTCCAAGTCTCCTCGTTTTCTTTGAAAAACTGCAGAGGGGACGGCAGGGAAGATCATTTTCTTCTAGGATTCATTCATATGTCCCGAGATCTACTAAAATCGTGACGAAAATGCTTCTATTTAAATTTATTAAAGATCATTTTCTTTAATCAAGGCACAAGCAGTTCTGTTTTATGAAAAAGCTCGCTGATTTTAATTAGTCACCTTCATTCCTACTCCAGAGAGTATTGAAATTTGCACTCTTTATTAGCTTAGTGGCCATGCAGACAGGTAGGTAAGGCTACCCAGCGCTGCGATTAGGTTGCCATAATTTGGCATGTTTTAAGGCGAAAAATCAACTTTCAGCGAGAAGAAAGCTTCATTATGGGCTTAAAATCTTCCATACTTTTGCATGAAGAAGATATTGAGGAACTGCACAATGAGACTGGTTGTAAGTTGAAAGAATTTTGCTGGCAAATGGCAAATGCATAATGCTCTCCCTTGGGATGTACACTTTTTAAATCGTTTTTCACTACAAGTTATCATCTAAACGAATGTTTGATCGTTGTGTCCTTAGTTTCTCCAAATCAAATAAGAAGACTCTACAGTAGATTCAAAAGTCTTGATAAAGCAACAAAAGGCACGATAAGGTTGGTGAAATGTGTAGATTTAGAACCGTTCGTTTTTGCGCATAGAGATGAAAATCAGCTGTAACTCAGCAGGACCTGAACAATCGATGACAATCGATAACAATAATTAATCGATTGATATTGATAAACGATGAACAATCGAACGAAAAAGTTGCTGTAATTTTCAATTCTCATCAATTATCAATTATTATCGAAAATCAATTGAAATCGATCATTTTTTATTGTAAAACCCTAATTTCAAGAACTTCGATTTGATTTGATTTCAAGTAACTTGCATTTGAAGTCTATTCAGGGTTTTGACCGGAAATGGCATTTACACACAATCTTAAGGCCGAGCGATCACTCTCCTGACGCAAAAGCTGAAAGCAATTAGGATGTTTTGTGGAGGGAAATTTTCTGTCCAGTTGACGATATTCGATAAACACAAACTACTTTCATGTGATTATCAATCGTTCATTGATTAGCCAATAGCAGTCAATAACAATTTACTAACATGCATAGATTAAAATCAATTGATGTATTAGATTTCTGATCATGGATTTTGTTAATCGTTCAGGTCCTGAAATCAAGGAACATCAAGATTGATACAATAAAATGTTTTCTGTTTGATTAACAGTCGTGAAGATTTTATGCGCATACCTGAGTTGGCCATCAATCCAATCGGTGAACGGATTATTGATGCCTTCTTCATGAATGAAGAAAGCAAGTAAGTTCTCTCTTTGAAACTGTAAGCAGATATCAAAGTTAATGTCTTGTTCTGGCTAATGGTGTAAGCCATGTAATCAATACTGTAAAAACATTCTTAATGGGATTGGTTATCACCAGCCTAATTTGAGCACTAATAGCACAGTGCATGTGTCATGACCCAACATTAAGTAAAGACTTAAGCCCCATTCAAATGGTCATGTTAGTTTATGATAGTTCTAACTATCATGCACATTTGATCACAAAACTATCATGCATTATCATCAACTATCATGTAGGTTGGACAAGTTCAAATCTGACATGATAGTTGATGATTGTTTTGTAGTTTTATCAAGGGAGTGATACTAAATGATAGTTTTTTTGGTCAGCAGTTTTGCTAAAGACAGTCTCAAATTGAAATAGCAAATGCTAAATGAGCAAAAGCTGTCAAAATTTTGCAGAATGTCTCAAATTTCATTCTGGTCATCTCCTGGTTGGCTTCAGTATCTTCAACTTGCAACTTTTGTCAAAAATCGTCAACCATCACGAACCATTTGGATGCAAACATGGTAGTCAATGATAATGAATAACAGTTGAAACTATTATGGACTATCATCAACATTTGACTGTTTGAACAGGGCAGTAAGTCACTTGCTCAGTGAACAGGAAAGAATGGTTTAATCTGATTGAAAAACTGTAATAGACATTTATTCAAAGACAAAAAAATTGCACAAGCCCATAGGGTAAGTGCAGTATGTAGTCTTTGAAAAATTTATAGACATGCCAAATTGCAAGATAATTCATGTTGTTAATTATCTACATGAAAAAAAGTTACAGAAAGTCAAGACAGACAAAATTTTAAAAGTGTGTGGGTACTATTTGTAATTTGCACTTGTGTTATAAGTTTTCACTAGTGTTACATGAGAATGCACTTGTTTTCAGCCAATCAGAAGTGCAAAATTGTTTCATTTACATTATCATTGAGAAAACGTACTCAAAAGGTATATCTATCTGCTAAATACAATAATTACTTTTAATTATTTTTTTTCTTAGGGAAAGCGGAGAAGAAACCTGTAACTTCAGACAGTTTGTTAGAACCTTAGCGCATTTCAGACCATATGAACCATCGAAGGAAAACCCTCTTAACACCAGAGAGAAAAAACTTCAATGTATGCTGGGTTATATTTACCTGAAGATATATGTGAAATGTCTTTTCTTTAGTCAAGTTCCTTTGCAAAAAGTAAAATATTGATGGAGTGTGTTAATTTGTATGTTTTTGTTTTTGTTTTGTTAAGTATTAGCTTTTTACATCAGTACATGTAACAAGGTTTTCACTGAGAAATTTAAAATTCAACGCATCCTGAACTGAAAATGTTGAGTTATTCAAAAGATGCAGACTAACCTTCCTGTGAATGAGACACAGTTTCTAAACAAGGACTGTCACAGTGATTCAATCTGCGTAAAGGTCTTGCCCAAAAGAGCCCTCTGGCTCTGCACATAATTTAAGAGTGAGCTTACTCTCTCGACATTGTGTTGCTGTAATAACTTTATCAGACACTTATGGTAAAGATGGTGTTTAAAAATCAAATCAAAACTTTGATTTGCACTTAGTTTTGTATTATTTTTCACTTTACAGTTACCTTCAAGATCTATGATTTGGACAATGATGGGAAAATATCCAAAGATGATCTCATGCAGGTACAGGGACGTATTTTTTAACAATTATGAAAGACTAAGAGCATAGTATCTAGGGCCTACATTCTTTTTTGGCCTGTTAGACTTTTATAACATGACTCTTGCCTATGTTGAAACAAAATTTGAACTTTCCAAGGGAACAAGTGTAAAAGCTAGCTATGCCTCTGACCACAAAGGCAATTTATAATCAAAAGTTTAACCAATGCCTCTAAGGTTGTAATGGAAGGTTTTAAATTTAAAAGAATTTGTTTTGCCAGTCCTATTTTTAGTTGGTTCAAGTTACAAAGGTTGTAGATCAAAGGATTGCCTGTACATGATTTGAGCTATAGATGATTTGCACTTGACAGTTGCAACAATGCTTTAGCACTTAAACCCCCATGAATCTCCTTGTGGCATCACCCTTGAATCAAATAAATAAATAAATAAAATTAGAAATGATCATGGGAAACTCCTGATTGTCAAACAAATTCTGCTAGTCAGTACCAAAGGAAACATGAAGAAAACAGTGTTAGGATGTGAGGGGTTAAGTTCCTCAAAGTGAAGGCAATCCCAAAAAGGACTGTTGTTTGTGGTAATCAGTGTCAGAGCTTTTGACAATCCAAACAGATGTCATCAACTCAGTCATGGATGAATATTTACATGAGCTGGTGATTGTTATTTTCAAGGTCCTTCATATGATGGTCGGCAGAAATATCAGTGATGAACAACTTGGTGGGATCGCTGACCGCGCAATAAGTGATGCAGATTTAGATAAAGATGGTGTCATATCATTTGAGGAACTGAAGAGAGTAAGTGAATATCTTATGATTTACCTTTAAATAGTGCTGTTCAAAGCTTTCCTGCAGGCCAAAAATGGTACACTACATTGTGTACTCAGCACGTTGTGAGTACTTGATAAGTAATAGTCAAAAAGGACTTTTGTGTTTACACAGTGTGGCAAACACACCCATAAATATTCCAATTGAGAGATTGGAAACTAGCAAACTGCTGAAAGACATTGTAACACACATCTCGTCTTAACATGAAGTGGGTGGGAGAATTTGCTGTAGTTACTCAAACCTCAGGTGCAGCAAGGGTTTTCATAACTTTTGGAATTCTTTCAACCCTGAGTGTTTAATTGAGGTTAATATTTTAGGCAAAGAATAAGCTTCTAGTGCTCAGTAAGCACAAAGTCATAATTTAAATGTTGTAACTATGTTTTCATACTCTGACAAACCTATAGACCAATGAGAGCATGCATTGAATCTCGTTCATTATACTGTGAGGAGAAATTCCACCTTGGTCACTCATGAAGTGAAAGGGTTAATTTGCTGTCTTTTTTAGGTACTGGAAAATGTAGACATGAACTCAAAGATGAGCATACGTTTCCTGGCTTGAATTCCTGAATCAGATGTGACTGAGAGAATTTTAATGTCACTGTATAGTGAGACAATGGTGTTTTGATATTTAAGAGCTGTGTACCTTTACATGAAAACTAAAGTGCAATTTTTCAGATATTTAAAGCTCTACATTGATAGAGCTTTGTACCCTCTGGAGTATTTGAATTTACATATATCAAGTAATGTTGTTTAGGTCAGGCAATAATTTATTTACAGTTCTTTTTGCAAGAAAATTAAGCATCTATTTAGCATTTTTAAGAGTGAAAAGTAATTCTCCTGAGCCCAATGAATAAAGGGGTAAGTTTCTAAAGAAACTGTGGTGCTGTGTTGGTGGGAGAGTATAACAATGTAATTTGGTATTATCAATGGATTTGATGACATAAATTGGCCACCTTAAAGAGTTTAAAAGCTGACATTTGAGCATCAGCTTTTCGTCAGAGTAAATGGGCCCAGCTGTTCAAAGGGCAGACTATATAATGGTTATATCTCTATCCAAAGGTAAAATGTCTATTCAGCAGATAGGTGTTAACAGAGTGAATGGAGCCATCTAGCTGGAAGAGATTAATCCAGTGGCTTTGAATGATGGGAAACTCACTGATTTGTTTGAGAGGAGAGCAAAATTGTGTTACTAATACATATTACACTTTCAAATAGTATAATAGCAACAATATGGCATGTTATTCTGACTTAAAATGTTCCATGAGTTAGGCTTTAGTTTTGTAACCTTTCTGCTGTTTTTTGTATTAAAGAGAGATTAAATTTGTTGATTGATGTGCGAGACCAATCAAATCTGGAGCTTTGTTCGTTATTTTATTATTGGTGTAACCAAGTCGCTGGCTTGTATATATCTCAAAATAAGTTGCAAATCCAAATGTAGTATTTTCTGTAACTATAAAGATGAAATAAATAAAGGTAAATTGCATATGATTATCATTGGGTAGACTTTTTTTTTTGTTCATGTGATCACTTCTTTCCCAATAGTAAACTAATAATGCCTCAATTTTGTTTGTACCCATTGGATAATGATTTTTTTTTTGTCAAAGGAAAGAGTTCTGCTCATCTTCCCTTTCCCTCTCTTTTTATGGTGGGGTTTGTCATGCCCATCTCAAAGATGACCACTGTCCATGAGACAAGCACAAGAATTTTGGAGTAAAAGTAAAAGAAGTTCTGTGAAGTATTTTAAAGAAAGATTCTTTAGTCTTTATTATTATTTTTTATTTTCAATACGGATAGTTCTAACCAAACTTTAGTTACAAACTAATTAAGAAAAAAAGTATATCTCCCAACTTCTACTGCTATTTCATTAACTGTTGCTGACTTCCTATAACCATTTGTTTCAATATATTCATTACTTTGGAGATCTCCATTTTGATCATGGCCTCCAAGAATTTCAGTGTTGTAGGTAAAGAAATGTGAATTGTTTTTAGTTAATCTCTTTATTAACATCCAAAAAAGGACATTCCTATTAAAATTTATTTCTATCCATTGCCAAGTGCGTCCAATAAGTCATGAATTTGTGTCTATCTCCACAAGATTTCCTTGCATGGATTTGTTAGAATTACATACTATTCAAAATTACATAAAAACTCATGATAGTGATTAAGGGGAGATATTTTAAACTTTGGGCATTGCTTTACATTGGATCATTCTAAGATCATGTCAATCTGTTCCATCCTTAACCTGCCTTTTCCTTATTCATTTTTATTTTCTTTCCTTCTTTTCTAATGTGTATTTTTACCCTAAAAAACCAAATTGTTCAAGGTTTCCTTCACCAGGAAGGTTATTTGTCATTTTGCCAGAGACTACTCAAAAGATACAGAGAGGATCTTCTAACACAGCTCGTCTGTTGTGTTTATGATGTAACAGATCAGCAATGCTTGAATGATTGTACACTACACAAAAATTTTAACTCGAGCAATAGCCTCCTCTCCAACTGAAAGGAATCTTTTTTATGATAATTACAATTCAAAAATCAACTCAATTGTTCTGTTTTATTAACTTGTCTGATGCAGGATTCCTTGTGTAATTTGTGTGTCACACTCATTTTGATTGATTGATGTAAGTTTTGATTTACTAAGATATAATCATAACTTCTACTAGTAATATGACAATGTTGTGATTTTTTTAGCAATGATGAAAATTTTGTGTTTGAATATATACATTGTTAGGACTGGAAAAATAATTGACCATTAGTTTGTAAAATGAATGTGAGGCACAGTGTGTAAATATTAATGAAATATTAATTTTTCTTTTTCTTAAAAAATCTTATGTACACCACAGCTCCAAGGATGGCCAATTCAACAATAATGATACATAACAGGATCAACTTGTTTGTAGCAATTCTAGAAAAGAAAAAAAAAACCATCTGAAATGTTTTCACATTTTAATGATAACATGCTTTGAAGTAAGGGAGTATGAGGCTTAGAGCAAAAGTTGACTGTTACAATGAAAGTTTATATCTATAAAAATATTTCAGCAGCAGAAAGAGTGTAGAGGAAATCAGAAAGATTTACAGTTTTTAGGCACTTGACAATAACACTTGCAAGGACAACTTTAACACATAAACTTTTACATATTAAACATTTTTAAACCTCAAAACTGCCCTTGAACCTCATATTTAAAAGTAAATGCAAAAGGGCTTAACATTGGTTTGATTCCATCACCTTCTCCACATTTACTTGACTCTTTTACTCCCAAGATCTCATTAGTAATTCTCCTTACTGTCTGCTATACAACTCTTATGATGTGAGTTCTGAGAATTTGGTATTCAATCAACTAATAGTCCCCTTATTGATATTTTCTTTATCGTCATCACTTACCTGTTTGACATTAAATCAATTGGTATTGTCAGGAGAAATTCCATGTTGGTCACTCATGAGAGCTTAAGGGTTAACACAACTGATTGACAAGTTTAGGTCGTGTGATACAATTTTGCAAAGGTCTCTTTAATGTGCTCTGTATGCATTCTCCTTACATATTGTCTTTTCCCTTTACTGTTTAAAAAACCACTGAAAAGTTGTCAGTTTGTTTATGTTCTCAAAAACTCCTACCCTTTTTTTCAAATTTAACACCTCCTCAGGAATTCCTGCCCCTTTAATTTCAAGGTACCTACCATCTCCATCACAGATCATGAGAGTACTAATCAATCATACCCCAAAAATTTCCTTACCTGATTGCCATACTATTCAAAATTCTTCTGCTTTTTCCTAAGCCCTGATCAACATCCTTGAGCTGAGAAATTAAATAGAAACTACAAGTCAGTCATGCAATTAGCTTGCGCAAACAACAGTTTTGATCCCTAATTGGTATGTTTATGTTCCCTTGCTGAAAGATTGTCTCCAGATGTTTATTAAAGAGATGTGAGAGATAGATGTGGCCCATCCAACCGAAGGTTATCCTTGTTTCTGTAGCATGAAGTGACTAGAAGTATTACTACGCATGTACCTCCCCTGAATGGGATAACAGCCCATCACAAGATTAACCCCCTGCATTTCATCAGGCTTCCCTGAAAATACACCGGTACTCATTTATACTCCTGGTTGGAAAGAGGCACTGTGAGAACAAAGTGTCTTGCACAAGAGCACAACACAAACATTAATGCTAGTGTGATAAGTTATATGTTAATCATAACCATTACAAATTCCTCAAATATTATCAGTGCATTTGCAGCTTCATTTTTCACTAATCACTCTGTACAGTTGTAATTGGACAGTGTAATCAGACAGTTGGCTGTAATTGGACAGTCGAAGCAGCCAATCATACTAAGTCCACTCAGCTAATCCACCAATCACAGAAATGATCAAAATAACCATAGCAACAATCACTTATCCAAAGAAAAACTGGGGAACTCCCAAAATGGAGGAGTTTTTCACTTAAGACATTGTCTCCACTGGAGATATTTTTTCTAGGTGTATTTTTTTTTTGGAAATTAAAATGGTTATGATTAATTAGTAACAGGACTTATTTTCATCCAATTCTGTCTGTAATCATACTCATGATTAACAAATTGGACTCCCGCTTCACAGTCCTCCAATTTTGTTAATCACTTGAATGATTAGAGATTGAATTGGCTCCACTTGGTCCTTTAACCATTATTAAGTACACAGCATTTTGTATTTCAGTGTATTACTCTGCCTTGTTTCTTCACCTTACAAGTCCCTGATTTGAATTTCTTTCTTTCATGATTCAACATCCTCTAGGTTTTTCCTTCTTTTTAAACTTTAGCACAAGAATTATGCCACCTCATACTGGGAGTTTCCCTAACTTTTTTCATAGATGGCTGCGAACTGGTGTAATTGGTGGCTGTGCTTGGAAAGGGGTTGCAAGGCAATACCCAAACACAAGGGTCTGCTTACAGGCTTACCAGAAGACAGTGAGCGATCTTACAAGTGGTGGTAGACCTCCCAAACTGGCTTTTATTGAAACCCACGTTAAACCAAATTAATTTGACCAAATTAATGAGGAGTAAGATGCCACAATAGAGAGCAAAATTTCCATGCTGTGATATTGTGAATAGGCAGATCACAGTGCTTCAACTGTTATCCCTACCCTGTCTCTTGTCCTAACAAGAGATTCCCGCTGATCTCCAAGTTCGTCAATAATTTCACCACCAATTTGTTCTGCAACAAGTATTAAAATAAGAATTAGGCCATGTTTCCTTTTGGTAATCTCACACCCCTATATCAAAGAAAACAAAATTAGGTCATTTACAAAACCAAGACTGTTTGCAGAGAACAGTTTCTAATTTAGTTATAATGAGTGGTTATGGAGTCCAATGCAAACTCTGATGACCTGTCAACAAACAGATCTCCATATAATGATAATTGAAATAATAATAATAATAATAATAATAATAATAATAACACTAACAATAAAATAATTATCAAAAATTAAATAATTACCCTTGCAGCAAGAAAAAAAACTAAAAACTCAAATCAATATTACTCAAAATGGTGCAAAAATTCATATCCGAAATCATTATGAAATGGAACAAGAGAATAATATACAAACAGGATAATACTCCCCACCAAAGAAAAACAAAAAGATCTGACTTTCAATTCTCCCTTAGCTACTCCAAATTTCCTTGAAAATTAGTTGCAATAATTTGTTGTTAGATCAAGACAACAACTTTTATCTGATAAGCTTCATTATTCTCATTACCTGTTTGCTGGATAATGTATGTTTATCAAAGGGAGAAGTTGCGTATTAATCACTTCTGTGAGTTAAAGGGTTAGATGGAGAATGCTGCATAGTTGCTAAATATTCTGCAATCTCTGTCATCCAATTGACACCATGGAAACTGTTTATATTCACAGATAACTGTAGGACCAAGGGTAAAACACCTAATATATTTATTATTTGGTCTAATTTTGAGTGTTACTCAACTTACCAGTCTCCACAGCAACCCTTGTTGATCTTGCAATACTTTCTGATGCTCTGTTCAGCATATCTGTTCCTTGTCTCACTTTGCTTTTCTGAGGAGCCTTATTCAAACCCACAGAATAAAGCAAGTTTTTGCATGGTAAAACACTAATCAGCACATTTGATCCGAATAGACAATACCAAAATTACAGGATAGAGACAATACAGCCTTAACATACCATTGGGTCCTCATCTAACAGTTCCTCTCTTGCAAAAGTCACATTGCCCTGTCCTTTGGGTTTGCCCTGCCAATATAATAACATAAAAAAATACATCCCATTACATTTCTTGAGAAATTTTGTCTTGCTAACCCTTTAACTCCCAAGATCTAATTAGCAATTTCTCCTTACTGTCTGCTATACAGTTCTTGTGATGTTAGTTTGGAGAATTTGGTACTGAGTCAACTTATAATCACCTAACTGATATTTTTCTTCATTCTCATCAGTTGTCCAGTTGATATTGTATTGATATTGTAGGGAGAAATTCTGTCTTGGTCACTAATGGGAGTAAAAGGGTTAAAATGAATGCAACACAGTGGCCAGGATTTACACAGAGTCAGTCACCTTATTAACCAACAAACCACATGTCTCTTAAGTCATGAATATAAAAAATGCTTTCTTGCATTTCAAGGGAAAATTAGCCAAAACACTTATCCAGGGAACAACTATTCTTACCAAATCTCTTTTAAGTTTATCAAAATCTCTCCTATAGCTGCGTATCCTGGACATCATGGAATTTCTGTAACTGGCTGGGGCTACTCCAGCTTCCTCTTCCATTTCTTCCAACTGAAAAAAATATGATTGGCTTGAAATCAACATACAATATATTTCTACCATAAATAATCATATATAGCATTATTATATAGCAGGGATTTCAGGGCATTTACCATTTCTAGGAAGCTAACTTAGGTAGTTGTCTGTCTTTTGGTAGCAGGGGAAAGTTTAGAATGTCCTGCATATTAATAATGGTAATTGAACTGAGTGGAGTGCAATTTGGGCTGAAATCATACATGTGATTTCAAAATCGAATGAGCACACAGTGCGAGTTTGATTTGAAATCACAAGTATGATTTCAGACCAAAATTGCATGGCACAAGGTTCAATTACCACTTTATTACTTCCATTTTGAAATCGCCCAAGTACAGGACTTGGTCAGTTCAAATATTTTATTGATGCAGTACTGAGCTAGTTTGATATTAAATTCATCCATTTTTTGGGGGGAAAAAAACAAGAGTTTTGGAAACAAAGGTTACAAAATTTACCAGATGATACTCTTTGTCTTTCATTTTCCTGCAATTACATTGGTTACTTTAAACAAGCCTTGAAATCTGATTGGTTGTTTTGTTTTCAGTGTAGCATCCTCATTGGCTGGGAAAATGATGCGATTTAAAGCAAAAAATAGTGCGATTCATGAATAAATCGCACCAATTAGAGCCAGTCAGATAACAGGGACCACCAGTGATTTCAAAATGGGTGTAATAAACCCTTTAACCCCTTAGAGTGACTAGCATATAATTTCTCCCAAGTGTATAACCCCTGCATCACATGGTGAGGTCATGAGAAAAAAAATGAAATGAACACCAACTAAATATTCTCTTGATTGATAAACAAATTCTCCTTGTAAACACCTTAGGAAATGTATAAAAAACAGTATGGAGAATATTCATACTGATGTTAGGGTGTAAAGTGTTAACCTTTTACACCCTAACATCACTATCCACCATCTCTATACTTGTCTCTGCATATTTCCTCTGTTTGCAGTGGAATTCTCAGTTTAACTCACCAAATTTTGGATAAATGTTAAATTAAACATCTCAAAATGTCCACGAGATCTCTTACTTTTCAATTCTGACATTGCCTCCACTAGCACACATATTAGTTCCTAACCCTACCCCCCTCTCCAACAGGTAGTACATCTCATCATTGAAATAAATCCAGTAGAAATTGCAAGACAGGAAGAAACACAATGGTAAAAAAAGAAAACCGAAATTTTTTCAGAAAGATGGGTATGAAACAACATTGCACTTAGTGTAACTGGCACACGGAAAATTCACAAGCAGTCATAAAATAAACCTTAAGTCATTTTCCAAAATTAATCATATAAATTACTCACAATTAAGTTTGCATCTTCGATGTTCTTTTCGACTTCCCGAATAGCGCTCTTCCGCGATTCTAAGAGGAGAAACTTCAATTTAGCTCAATAGCGACGCTAAATTAAACTCTTATTGATGGACAAAATGAGAAAAATTAGACAAATGGCTGGTTACCTCCGGTCAGTCTTGGAATTTTGTTGCTTATTTTCGAACGTATGTCTTCATGGAGATTTTTAAGTTCATCCTCAAGGTCTTCGAATTTTTCAGAAGACATTATAACAGCCTAACAAAGACGAAAAAGTTATATTCTTACAGTCTTCTTCTGCCAAAACTTGTGACTTCTCAGACTACCGGAAAGCGAAAGCTGTCCGCAATGGTATTGTGTCAGCGTGCAATGCCAATCATTTGATGCGCGAAGGGCTATTCAGACATGCATGCCCACTGCAATCGATTGATCCCGAATTCATTGTTTTGATGTAATATTTCCGATTCTTGCTTCCTCTCTTTTGTATATCAGCCCACAAACTGCCGAAGTAGGTCATCAGCATTTAAAAGTCGGTTTCCCTTGTCAGGATCTTGCAGTCTAAGGCTGTCAGGCCAATTATGTAAGCCGCAAATCCGGTGCAACGAGAGGAAGCGGACTTCTCAGTACGTGCGCGCTTTTGTAAAAGCCTCAGTCAGAAATTTCATTGGATCTCAAGAAATGATTACAATTATCGACTCTGTTAGCTGTGGTTTGGAATGATATGTGATTACTGCAGGATATCATGCCCATATCTGAGTATGAAAACAATTTAACCGCCACAAAATGGAAGGGAATGTTTGTACCCGCGCTCAGAAAGGTAAGCAGTTGTGCGAGAATTCGACCCATCATTCCGCTTTCGGGGGAAAAGGGTGACATTCCGATTGATTGATCTCCTCAACCTGCATGCAGATGTGATCTTCGATCTCTGAACAGCAAGGTTCGTATTCAAGGGATGCGGTTTTTCGGCTTAGAACGTTACTGTACGGTATTGTTAATTGCTTTGCGAATTTTGTAGGTTGAGGACAAGGAGGCGTGATTGAAATTGGGTCATAACTTACTGGGCCTTTCAAATTCGCTTTTAGGTGCAATCGCAGGTTCACCCTGCGTTGAAAGTACACGACGAAGCGCTGGAGTATATCGAGTCTTTGATCGTCCAACTCATGAATCATCTGTGCGCCTGCCAGCCACGTTCAGTCGCCGACGTGGAGGAACGAGTTATGAGCTCATTCCCTCATCCGATTGATAAATGGGCAATCGCAGATGCGCAAGCTGCGATCGAAAGGGGAAGGAAGAGAAATCCTGTGGTTTTACCGGCGGACAAAGTGCATGCTATAATCAAGGTGATGTTGAGTTCGTGCTAGGAGCGCAGTTTGTTTTCCTTGTTAAAATTGAAGCAGCTGTCATGTTGGTATATCCATTTCGTTTATTGAATTGATCAACAACGTTATTAGGATTCGCTTTGAAGAACTTCCTATTTTTCTTTCACTTTGGATTGTGTACAAGTAACAAGTTGTTTATTGTTTATTTGAGATATACTTTGCGCTAGTGGCAATGCAAGAATTACTTTCAAGATGTCCGATCGATTTTTATGTTAATCTTGTAAAAGCATGTCGTTAGATCTTAATAACTTAACCCTCAGCTGCTCGTCCAATTGTTTGTGCGTGCCCCGCTATTCTTGTGAGAAACATAAACTTCCACTACCGCTACTTCCTCTTCCACTATCGGATTAAAAAAGTTGTAGACAAACTTTAACTTTTCTCAGTGTACAAAACATCCGACTGAGTAATTGTTTGCAACTCAAAATGAAAACTCACTTTGCGGTTCACTCTTTAAATTGTTCCAAATCATCCTAATTATTGTCTTAATTTTTTTGCTTATTGCTTACGTGAAACTTAGCAGTGATTCTACCATAAAATGTTGTGTTTTGAGTTGTTTCAAAGGATGTTATTAGAGTGTTAGGATTGGGAAATAGTTTTTTGTATTCAGGAACTTCAAAGTAGGCACAGTGCATTTCTTGGAAGAAGATCGCAACTACTTCTAATTTGCTTTGACTTCAACCCATTAGTTGCAGTTTCCTTGTTTCATCCTTTAAAACCAAATGGTGCTTAGAAAAATTATGCGTAGGTGTCACAGGCAAGAACTCCTGACTTCCACCTGCCATCCACACCTCAAAACATCTGTACTTAAACACCCTGACAAAGAAATTTTGTTGTGGTCTGCAGGATATTCTTGGATTCAGGGTGGAATCCCAAGTAAGCCTTTACATTGTGGCTGTTATGGAGTACATATCTGCTGATATTTTAAAGGTAAATGATTTAACCCTTTAACTCCCAGATCAAATTTGTCATTCTCCTTACTGTCAACCCTACAATTCTTATAATGTTAGGTCAGAGAATTTAGTACTGGATCAACTAATTATCCCCAAATTGATATTTTTCTTCATTCTCATCACTTATCTGGTTGATACTGTAATGATATTGTAAGGAGAAATTCTGGCTTGGTCACTCATGAGAGTTAAAGGGTTAAGAATAGTTAATGTTAATCTAGAGATGGTATCAAGGAGATTAGACACATATTAAAAAGATATTATTTTGCAAAAGACATATGAAAGGCTTATGAATTATATACAGAAAATACATGACAAAGTATTGGATGAATGCAATGTTTGATGCAAGAAATGTTCAAAGTCATCCTTCCCAATCAAATACATACAAAATACAGGGCTCTTATGGGTTGTGGAAAGTCACAGTAAATAGCTGAAAATTATATTTCATAGAATACCAAAGCAAGAATTGTCTTGACATTATGACAAACATCACAAAAGGTGTAAGCATTTTTAGGCTTACAAAATAGAGTGATAACTCATCTGATTGAAAAAAAAATTGATATTATGGTAAATATAGGGTTTTTGCATAAAGGATAGGCTTGTTTACTTGTTTATTGGGAAAACTCGCTGAAAGAAAGGTTTTGAGCTTTAGGTTCACAGTAGAGATTTTTTTTATCATGATATGTTTTTTTTTCTTTTTTATTTTAGCTTGCTGGTAACTATGTGAAGAATATCAGGCATGTTGAAATTACTTGCCAAGACATTAAGGTGGCTCTGTTTGCAGACAAGGTCAGTTGTACCTTTTTGTTCACCTCTGTAATGGCTGTGAGGATAAGCTTTTGATCTCTGAATTTGGCTGTTAATTTGTTGAACTTGGTTAATATTTTTTATTGGTATTAAATAAAGCACTGTACTCTGGCAATGAAAGCATAGAAGTCCTTTTTCATGTGATGGCAATGATATGGTCAGGGCATTACACCTGCCATCAGGTGGTTTTGTGAACTAGTTGCTATGGTTACTAAGTTGTGTTTTTGGCAGGTCTCTTTTAGCATCACAAGGTGCCCCAACAAACTGCAGTTTCATATCTATGAGAGGGTTGTAATCCAACTTATGCACTTAGTAACCTGATGCATTTTATATTTTTTTTGATAGGTATTGATGGACATGTTTCATCCTGATGATGTGGAGACATCAGTGGAAGCAGAGGTTAGTAAAAAGAAAAAAGCAATTGACAGCCTTCACTCTTTCCTTGATAATTCCAACTCTCTTTTTGATAAAGGTAGAATGATTTTTTTTTATCCCAACATAAATAGGTGAGGAATTCAGTTGATTAATTAGCATGGGGATCAGTCAACTGTGACGCAGTCAGCCAACTAGCTAGTAGTTAGGCAATGAATCAGCAAAAGGGCAAGTTAGTCAGTCAATCAGACAGACAGACAAAATGGAACTTCTTAGAACAAAGGAGGGAATTTCTATCCCTGGTGGAGTGCTATAAGATTGTATCTGTGCAGGAGCACTAAGATGAGATCTAACCATCAATATAAGATGCAAACCAAACTCACAAAATTAAATTGTTATAAATATTCCTTCTTTGTTAAAATAATCAAGTTTTGGAACAATCTTCCAAGTAATGTAATAAATTGCCACAATATTCAAAACACCAACAAGTTTAAACTAAGATTTAAAAATCACATGAATGTTTATTGATTGGGCATTCGATACTTTTTTTAATGATATTTCTGTGATTTTTATATATTTTTATTAACTTGCTTTCATGATGTAAAATTTATTTCTTTTTTTATATATCTTTATTTTTTTCAGAGATCCTTAATATGGGATTAACCTCTGGGTTTCCTTTTTCTTAACCCTTTAACTCCCAAGATCTGATTGTTAATTCTCCCCTCCAGCTGCTACACATTTCCTCATAAATGAATTATGAGAATTTAGTGTTAGATCAAGATAACAACTTCTACCTGATAAGTTTGAGTATTCTCATTATCTGTTTGCTGAATAATGTATGGATATTGTAGGGAGAAGTTTTGTGTTAATCACTTCTGGGAGTTTAAGGGTTAATAACAGGGCTTGTTATTGAAAATACTGATTATTTTGAAATAAAGTATTATATTGATATTCACAGTCAGACAGTCCGTCAAATTAATAATCAGTTATACAGTCAGTCAGTCAGTCAGCCAGACAGTCAGAATGTCAATAGTCAGACAATCAGTCATTCAAGGAGCCAGTGAGTCAGTCAGGTATTCTTTCTGTGAGTCAGTTATTTAGTGGGTGAGTGAGGGCTTTAGGTCATTGGGTCAGTCAGCCAGCCAATCTGTTATTACAATTATTATTGTGATAGCTTTTGTTCACATTGTTTTGGTGACTAATTATCAAAGTTATTATTTTGTATGACAGACATTGAGCAGTCAGGCAGCTCTGACCTATGATGAAGTTGTACGTGAAATGATGATTGCAGAAGCACAATACATCAGAGATTTGAATATGATTATCAAGGTAATATTTTCTTTAATTTGCATATGTTGCAATTAAGTGATTTTGTTAGACTTAACCCTTTACCTCCCATGATCTGATAAGTTTGAATATTCTCATTACCTGTTTGCTGAAAAATGTATGGATATTGTAGGGAGAAGTTTTGTGTTAATCACTTCTGGGAGTTAAAGGGTTAAGAAATATGACTCAGCCCAGTCCTCCATAATGCATACTCCTACCCCACTCAGATATTCTTTGTTGAGTTTGACTCCTCTGCTCTGCTCTTTATGAGGCTTAACGTAATTTATAGTTCTCTAGAAGCAAGAGGAGGCAGTGTTTTCACCAGCTTCTTGATTCTGAAGTGTGCGTTACTTTTTTGAGACAAAATAGGTGACACACCCATTTAATCTGACAGTGATGTTAACCTTTGTTTAACTTTTTCTTTATGTACTTAAAAAGATTGAATTAAACTAGAAAGAAAACAATGTGTGTAAACAAGAAGAATTGAAGCCAGGGGAATAGGTGCGTTTTCCCTGTGGGAACTCCCATGTACCTAACTGGGTGCAGCATGTTTTAACCTTATCAGCCTAATCACAACATTTATTCTTCATGTCATATGTAAAGCTTGATATGGTAGTAACAAACTGTTTGTTGGCTGTACTTGCGATAAAACTCAGAGTATGCCTTGTGAGTTATTTTGCAATTGATGTTGTTTTACTTTCCCCTCAAAGGTCTTCAGAGCTCCTTTTATTGAAGCCAAGGATCTTTTTCTGCATGAGGTACTTTTCTTACTTATGTTTTCCATAGATGCCCAGCTAGAATTTTGTCAAGGGGGAGGGGAGAGTCACTTCCTGTCACATATCAAAACTATTGATGTATGTTGATCATGTGAAGCAGACCTGAAAACTGATGGTGGGAAATTGTGAGCTGGAGTATTTTAACTTGTTGTGAATGAATCTTATTTGCAGGATATCAGCCGGATTTTCAGCAATATTACTGACATCTATGAGTTCTCTGTTACATTGCTGGGTTTGTTGGAGGCAGCAATTGAAGTTGCAGATGAAGGCAAACAGCCAGCAATCGGGGAATGCTTTGAAGAAATGGCAGAGGTATGAAGTGTTAATGACAGAAAAGTAAAAGTCAAGTTTTCCCAATTTTTTTTTTGGTCATCTGACAATCATTAGTTTTTGATCAAAGAAGTTTTAACCCTTTCACTCCAAGCTCCCATTAGAATTTCTTCTTATTGTCTGCCAAACATTTCTTTTGATGTTAGCTCAGAAAATTTGGTATTGATTCAAATAATAATCGCTTAATTTATATTTTTCTTTATTTGCATTACTTTTTTGCTGATGTTGTAATGACATTGTAAGGAGAAATTCTCTCCTGGTCACTTACACGAGTTAACCCTTTAACTCTCATAAGTGACCATGACAGAATTTCTCCTTACAATATCAATACAATGTCAAGCAGACAAGTAATGAGAATATAGAAAAATATCAGTCAGGGATTATAAGTTGATCCAATACCAAATCCTCCAAACCAACATCACAAGAATTGTATGGTAGACAGTAGGGAGTATTACTAATGAGATCTTAAGAGTTGAAGGGTTAAAGGGTTAAAATTGTCTGTTTATGGGGCTTAGAGTCATCCTTAAATTGGACCAAGTTGGCTCTCCAGTCCTGTGGGTTTGAAAGTTAATTGGTTTGTTTTTTGTTTATCCATGTTTTGATGTACTGTAGAATGCCGAGTTTGAAGTTTACTACACTTACACCAGCGAGCAGACTGCTTCAGCAAGCAAACAGTACAGACATCTTGGCATAGGTGGAAAACTTTCAGAGTTGTTGTTAAGAACTCCAGTGGATGAATACTTCAAGGTATGATTGTTTATGAGGAGTAAAATATTCTGGCTACCTTACTTTTCCCAAATTTACCTGCTTTTTTTCAAATTGTTGCTCCTTCCCCCATCTCCCCCCCCCCATGCCCCAACCCCTTCCCCCCCCCCTTACTAAAAAGAGAGTCACAATTTTGCAGAAGAATTGCCTTCAATTTTCAATTGGAGGATTAGAGGCTCCAAAATACTCCATCTTTGCTTGGGAAGTGGATAACTTTCTTTGCAAACCAGCTAAATTAAATATGGAATTAAGATGAAACATAAAGTTATGCATTTGCTGATTCAGTTCAGTTTCAAAGACAATGATCATAACTTTTTTTCCCTAGGCAAAAGGCCCAGGTTTCAAGGAAGCTGTGCAATATTGCCTTCCCAAGATGCTTATGATGCCTGTCCATCATTGCTTGCACTACTTTGACCTCATTAAGGTAACAGCAAGTGATTCTTATTGCAGAGTGCAATGAATGACCAACACAGAATTTCCCTTACAATATTGATACAATATCAAGCAGACAAGTGACGAGAATAAAGTCACAAGGATTGATCCAATAGCAATTTCTCAGAACAAACGTCATAAAAATTGTATGGTAGACAGTAAGGAGAATTACTACTGTTTTCAGATCAATTTCAACCAAGGTTACAGGGCGTGTAAACTTTAACTGTATGTCATCTTAACTCCACATGTATATTCCAACAAACATGGCAAAAAAACTTTCATTGAATGAGCTTAGCCACACAATAACCTCCAATCAGTGCTTAGGACATTAACAAGCTAAGGTAATAGAGAATCCAGATGGAAACCATGTTTACTTTCCCTGTAATTGGATTGGTCAGTATGGTGTCAGAGATTGGGTAACAGTAATCACACTGTAAATAAATCTCATGGCTGATAGCACCATAAGGTAATCCTTGCTGAAGCAGATTCACTTCCAGAAGGTCTTGTGCATAAGAATCAAGTGACCTAAATTAAGCCATGATGACTTCACTTTTTGCAGTTGTTGCTTAGGACTTCTCCTGATGAAGATGACATTGAGAGCTTGGAACAGGTATGATTTAACACACAGAAATAAACAGTATTTCCAAATTATTTAAATTAAAAGTACTCCTGTTTGATAAGTAGGTAACCCATATCAGAAAGAAAATATTTTGAAAATGTTACAATGAATTTAGCCCTGTCTTTGCAGGTTTCTTAACTTTTTCTTTATAGGCACCTAGTACTTTCACTGCAAGCCAAAAAATGCTTTTTGTCCATTCTGTTCTTATGTTTTGACCATCTCTCTCATTTTTTCCTATAAAAGTAAGTAGGACCAGCTAAGATCCATTTATTTATTGACAGGCCCAGAGTGCACTGGGACCACTTCAAGCACAGATGGAGAGAATTGTCCAATCATTGGGAAATATCACAAAGAGAAGAGAGTAAGTTGAAAATAGACACAAAAGGTTTTGATGAGGTTGGTCATTTTTAGCATGTGAGCAGACCTCTATTCCTAGGGCTTTGTCTCAAGCATTTCTTTGCCCATGGGAAAGTAGGAGGCCTTAGGTAATGTAAGTGGACAAGAGGTTTGTAAGGTGTCTGGTGCTGATAATTATCAGTGCTAGACCCCAGCAAACCTCTGAAGAGCAAGATTTGAAGTCATTCACACTTGAAGAATGAGGTATATTCCATGTCATCCACACTTGAATTGAGCTTTTTGTCTCATGGCTGTAAAACCAGGCATATTTCATGCATCCTGCATTTGTCTGAGTATTATGTTTACCTCTAAGACTTCAGTAATTTTGATGGTTCTGATGGACTCTATTGAATTGGGAGGGACTCCATTAAAAGATTGCAATGGAGTCCATCAGACAACATTTCTACCCTTCCTGATGTTCATCTGACTTCTGCTACTCTTTTGCGTCATAACTTTTGGAAATATTACTACCATTGGAAGGTGTTAGGAATAGAATTTTGGTTATTCTATTGGAAAACTACATTCTCCTTCAGAATCTACAGATATGTATGCCAACTCATTTTAAATGTTCATGTTGATAGTGAGATGCACATTGTGCAGCACCAAAAATGAGGGCATGCTGGCAGACCACATAATGTTTCTCTTTGAATTGTTTTTAAAATCATTCAGATTACTAATTGGTCACAACCTACAAATTTGTTTTTGGTAGGGACCAGTTCACAAAAGCGCAGAAAAGGAAATCAGGAGCTTTCCGATCAGCAGCTGTGATCATGAATGAATTACAGAGAAGCATTGAAGGATGGGAGGTTATTACTTGATCTGTTGCCATAAAGAGTACAAAAATATTATATTTACCCACTTGACTTTACCCAGGGATCCAAGCCTCTGCATGATTGAAAATGTTAAGCATCCAAACTTAAAAAAATACAACTTTCAGATCAGAAAAGTAGTTCTCAACTGTTGCTGAATTACTGGTCATATTCATATCTGATATAATGCTCAACTGAGTGGCTTCAGTTTTATTAGTGTCCTTTTCATAAAATATTTCCTAAGTCCTTAATAGTTTCCATTAAAATGGTTCCTTTTAGTTACTACCAGTTACATTATGGCATGATTACAATGTGATATTGACCATTTCACCAAAGCCTACAAAAGTAATATATAGAAAATAACTCTTTTCCAACTCTGCGATGAAAAGACAAGTTAGGTATCAAAGAAATAGACACCATGCTTTCTATTAGACACTCATGTTTGTTTAGAACAATGCCTTCTCATGACTTGTTGGGTTTCTAAGCTCTTTTTTTTTTTTTTTTTTGTATCTTTGAAGGGGAGAGATATTTCACAGTCTTGTACAGAAGTAATGAAAGGTAAGGTCAGTTGTAACCAATATGTCTTCAGTGATGGAGGAATCACAAACTTGAATCTACATGAGTTTCTTTTTTTGGAGCGTCTATGACTGATGTATGGAGCTTCTTTGACTGATGTATGTGGTTAATTTTTACTCACACAGAGGGAACCCTTGGTAAGATTCATCCAAACAAAAGGGACACTGAAAGATATTGTTTTCTCTTGGATGGTCTTCTTATCTGTTGCAAACAGGTAATATTTTATCATTATATATTTTATCGCGTTTTTTTTTCGTTAATTTGAATTTGTTGACTGGCCTTCCTTTTGACAAAATAAGCCATTGACCGATGAACAGCCTTAAAAAATGATCGACAGATTAATTGAAGGACTGACTTAGTGAAGGATTGTTGTAAATCCAAAAAAATCCGTAAATAAACGCAGAACTTTTTGGAATGTTTCCCTGGACATTTGATTGAGAATTTATTTTCAAAATATCGAGGAAACCATTCTTCAGTAGAAGTACCTCTTTCTCTTTTGTTCGTAGAGTAACAATGAATCAGTCTCCAGTTACTTTCCAAATTCTTTCACTTTTCAGGCTGGGAAAAGTGCTTGATTTTCCAGGTGTATGATGACTTGTACAAACCCTATACATGCCTGACTGTCTGTGTGTATTTAAATGACTGTCCCTGTCTTTTGGTGTTTTGAATGATTGATGACTGTCTAGCCATATGGCTGACTGTCTGCATATTCAGTGTCTGACTAGCCCCTATCGGTGACTGGTTATGTGATAGAGTATGTTTGATCAGTTGGGCCAACAGAAAGAGACAGGGATGTTGTATATGTGCTAGATCCCTTGCAGACTTCTCACCAGCTTGCGTTTCTGGAGGCCTCATATTTCCGAAGAAAACGCTCGTTAGTAACGAGGCTTAACCGCAAGTCAAATCCATACATCCAAACATATGTTCATTCTCTGATTAAATATTATTACTGATTATAATTAATGATCTTGTTTTCAATGCATTTTTCAGAATACAAGACTTTCATTGACAGGGCCATCACCCGAGTACCGACTGAAAGAAAAGTATTATATAAGAAAGATTGAAATCAACAATCTTGATGATACGGAAGGTAACTAGAATGCCACAGTATCTGGTCGTTTCGTACTTAGTCGTTCCGTACACAAATATGGTCGATTCGTACCCAAGTTTGAATCGGTTCGTGCCCAAACCGCCGATCGATCCTTACATTTATTCGAAATACCTCACCCGCGAGCGTGTGAACAGACGTCACTCGTTGCGTACGAAACGTCTCGACTGACTGGGTATTAAACGACCGCTAACCTCACCAAGTAATATCTTTGAAGGAGAAAGTGGAGCTGATAAACAGAGAAAGATGTTTTCGTCTTGTCACGAGCGTGGGACAAAGAAAAAATTCTGAGTCCCCATGAGGAATCGAACCTCAGATCTTCGCATTCCGCACTCCGATACTCTAACCGCTGAGCCACAGAAACTCCACGGTGAGCGAGGTCTATTACGAAGTTCATATGACACGCATCCTGCATACTGCTAGGATCAGCAATGTCGAAAACGTAACGTTTATAGAGAATTATTTTTATCTACAAACATAACGCTTTCGACATTGCTGATCCTAGCAGTATGCAGGATGCGTGTCATATATACTTTGTAATAAACCTCGCCAAAATTACTCCTGCTCTGCTCTACTCTAATTTTCACTGTAAAATGAGTTGCAGAGACTTGTAGCTTTGCATGTTGTGTGTTAATGAAACACTAGCAAACCATCTTATGAATTAAGGGTTTTTATTTTGTTAAACCAGATGTTAAGAATGCATTTGAGATTGTGGACAGAGATCAACCCAAGGCCGTCTTTACATGTAAGACAGAAGAGGAGAAAAACGAATGGATGTCAGTACTAATGACAATCTACATGAGAAGGTAAATGTGAGCCATTTAAAACACGCTTTGCATTTTACGACTTCTTTTGTTCATTACACGGGATGCGCGGTGACCCGCGGCCAGCGCACTGGGCCTCAGGTCAAGAGGTCTGGGTGCGAGACCTGGCTGAGTCATCTAGTTGTGTTCTTGGGCAAGGTACTTTAGCCTCACAGTGCCTCTCTCTCCAACCAGGACAGTAAATGGGTACGGGCGAACAGTCTGGTGGCGGTAGCTCGCGATAGACTGGAGTCCCATCCATCGCTTCATGCTATAAAAACTGGGATAAGCTCCGGGTAGATGGTGGGGGCACTTGGATCGATTGCACCTTTTACCTTTGTATATGATTCGTTTTTTTTGTCTCTGAACAGTACTCTGGACAGAATGTTGGACCATCTTCTGTTAGAAGAAGAGAAGGCAATTCCTCTTAGAATGCCGAGTCCTGAGGAGTACTGGTAAGTTCACTCACAAATTGGCATCTTATGCAACTAACTGTTCATGGCTGGAAAATCATTTTTGAATTTTTGGAAAACTCGTTTATTGAGTTTTCAAGTAGATTTTTTTTGACAGTTTGAGTGTTTCATTTCCCTCTCAGTTTTGCTGTCAAAGACGCTGAAGACAACATTGTGTTCGAGGATGGACAAGGGGTATGAATGACAAAATTGTGAAATGTTATTGACACGTTCTGGCCTTCTATGTTCAGATTTTGCTGATAGCCAAACTGGCGTCAAACTAACAAAGAAAACTAACTCCTAGTATTGCTCTGTAGCTTTCGTTTTAACCCTTTAACTCCCAAAAGTGATTAATAAGTAACTTCTCCCCACAATATCCTTGCACCATCCAGCAAACAGGTAATGAGAATACTCAAATGTATCGGGTAGTTGTTATCTTGATCTAAAACCAAATTCTCGCAACTTATTTACAAGGAAATATGTAGCAGTCAGTGGGGAGAATTAACAATCAGATCTTGGGAGTTAAAGGGTTAATGGTTATCCGCTGGGGTTTTATCCACATACAGTGGATCCCCGCCTTACGGTCATCTCGTTATTACGGCCGCCTGTTTTTTGGCCCGGCAAAACGGGCTTGCATTTTCTCAGGAAAAACTTTCTTTATTATTGTCAACAGCCAAATTTTAGAGTCGCAAACAGTAGAATCCTTTTTAATATTACCGCGTCATTACGGCCACTAGGGCTAAATTTAGAAAACCAAAATGCCTGTGACGTGTTAATTTCATTGATCTCTGTCACTCACTAATCAAACAGCCGATTTGCTGTACAAATTTAGTAAGTAAGTAAGCAACACCCCTCCCAGTTTTCAATACAAACACGATAAAGGAGATGAATCTTGACGCTAACATCTGCTTTGGCAAATTAAGATGCGATTATGAAATGTAACCCTGCCTTGGCCACTCCATTAGTTGGGCCCATTGGTGACCGTATTAGCGAGGTTCCACGTTGATTAAAATTTACAGCTTTCCCTGTGGGTCACACCTCAAAGTTACCTATATAGACTATTATCTAAAACCACCTGGGGTATTGAAATGTTGCGCGATAGTTTTCACTTGAATGTCCTTACAGGGATTTCAAGATTTTACCTTTGGAGTATTTTAAACAGTTTTTTCCGCCTTCGTCGCAACCTTTTTATTAAGTAGTCTGAACGGCTGATCATATCTTCTCACAGAGCACAAGTAATGCGCCGGTCATCAAAGGTGGAACATTGATAAAGTTGATTGAAAGGTTGACCCATCACAAGTATGCGGGTAAGTTTCATCCTCACAGGTTAATCAGTTTTAAAACTGAATATTAATCGTCGGAGGAATTTGATCATGGAAGTTTAGAACAAATTTATGTGTGTTGAAATAGAGCTATCTTGGATTGCAATGGCTTTGCTTTTCTTCGCAACATGATCGGCACAAACAAAACTCGCGTCACTCTCAACCAATCAGATGCAAGTCTTAGACCAATCGCAAATGTGTCGCTCGCATTTTCCCGCGCTTCAGTCATTTTTCTTCGCAGTTTGGTTTCTCACTGGTTCCTTAAGAAGTTTTCTTATGTTGTTATTGGCAAATGTTATCAGCCTGGTTTGGTTTTTCAACCTTCAGTACGAAACGCTCTATGTAGGCACTGAAAAAGCCACCTGAACGCTTTAACTACAACAGGAACAGAACATATTAAAGGAAAGAGCGAGTTCATATTAACATTGCCTGTTATTGCGAACATTTCTTAACCTTCCCGTTTCTTTAATTTTGCTGCAGATCCAACTTTTGTGAGGACTTTTCTGACCACTTACCGATCATTCTGCAAACCAACAGAGCTCTTAGGTTATTTAATTCAGAGATATCCTTTTACATAAATTATTCACGTTACATTTTGTTTACCATCCGAGTGATAAATATCTAAAGAAAGTACAAATTCAACGTGTGTTTACGGCTTTGGAGATTATTTCTTGCCTCTGTGAAGTTGATAACGTCTATTTAAAGATGCACATCTCAGTTATAATGCCAGCGTAGTAGTTGTAATTAACAGTGGTGTTAAACAGTTTGAAGCTTTAACTGCATCTCACGTTTGAAATACCTGAGCCTCCCCCTAGCGAACAAGATGAATTAGCCATGGCCAGGGGGGAGCCTGTTGTGCGTGAAGACCTCAAAAGATTCAGAAAGGAATATGCCCAACCAGTGCAATTAAGGTAGGTATTTGAACGAAGAGGACATCTTTGAGGTAGTCTTCTTCGAGACATTCTAAAGAACGACACCTCTTTCAGTAGAGTTATTTATCTTGTTGCATTTTGAGATATTTTTTTCATCTGATCAGAGTTTTAAATGTTATTCGCCATTGGGTGGACAACCACTGCTATGATTTTGAACGCGATTCGCAGCTGTTGACGAAACTCAACGAGTTCTTGGACACAGTCAATGGCAAAGCCATGAGACGCTGGGTGGAGTCTATAAAAAAAGTTATCGCCAGAAAGGTAGCAGTATTTTTTGATGAATTCTAACTTTAGTCTCAAATCATTCTTTTCAGGCCCCTCCTCTCCCCTCTCCTCCCCCCTCCCTCCCCCTCACACTAACCAGGTCTCTTCTTGAACTACAACACGAGTTGAATTTGACCTCCCTGTTAGGATATCTAGCATCCGGGTTCGAAATTGATTTTCTTACGCGAGCGCCGAGTGGCGATCGACAGTTTTGTTTAAATTTCCGAAATGAAGAATAAGTCGCCAGAGAGTTCGATTTTAATAATTTTCGCCTCATAGCGAAAGCGAAGTTTAGCATGTTCCTTCCCCTGAACGATAACCATTTAAGTATAAGAAAGAGCAACGAAAACAATGACGGAGTGCCCGTTTAACTTAACAACATTGACAAGATTTGAGTCAGTCGCTTCCTGGCGACTAGCATTGAAATCAGGCCTGCAATGGAATTGTGATTTGACTGTCAATCTCGGTCGCATTGGCGATGTGCTCATTACAATTTTGGACTCCCACTGCGTCAGTCAAATAAGTTAAATTCATTCAATAAAGTTCAATGATCATTTCCTTTCCTTTCAGACGAATTCCGACAATGACATTGCTCCAGAAATTACATTTGAGAAAGAGCCGCCACCGACAGAATGGCATATAGCAGCTTGCAACGACATCGAAAGATTCGACATCCTCACCGTACGTTTGATTTGGGGATGTTTTCTTTTGGCGTCGTTAATAATGAATTGTGTTAAAAAAAAACTAAAGTTTTTATATAACTAGAAATCAAGTGTCACAAATAAAGCGCGATTGCAATGGCTTTGCTTCAATACGCGCTATGATTGGTTTACATAAAAACTCGCGCGCCTTCTTAGCCAACCAGATGCTAAAGTGGAATTTATCACAACTCGCTAACCCGCATTTTCCCGCGCTTGAAGGCTTTTATTTCAATCTATCTAAAGTTCCCTCTGTCTCTCTGTGATTTTGCCATTTGTTCTGTTAACCTATTATATCATGATAACTTTGGTTTTAATGTTACGACACTTAGCCAAATAGTGTCACAGGCAGTGGATTTATTCAATTTTACTTATCACTGTTTTTCCCTTGGATAATTTTACGACCGCTTTGACCAAAGCAGTGCGTAGCTTGTCTTCAATACTTTCGTTTAGGTTTAATGATGTTTCAAACTTAATTAGTACAAACGTTGATGTATAATTTCTTATTTATTTTCCCGTAGCTGCATCCAATTGAGATTGCTCGGCAGTTAACTATCATCGAGTCAGAGCTGTACAGGTAAAAATATGTTGTCAGTAGAACAAACTGTCTTTTTTAATGGGAGATTTTTGTCGTGTTTCGAGAGAGACACTCTAATTTTCGCATTTCTTAACCCGTTACTCGTCCAGTTTGCACTCGCGCGCTTATATACAATTTATTTGTCCCCCAGAACTTTTCTCAAGTATCGCGTTTAGTTTCTCTTAAAACGATACGTATGAAAATTTTGGGAGACTGAAAAACTTACTGTTATTCCAAGTTATATCTCCGAGGGAAGTCTATTTTTCCTTTAGGAATACGTAATTTCTCACTGGTTTATCTCCGCTTCTCAGCGGAAAAAAAGAGTGAGGGAATGGTCGCTAGTTTGGTGGAAATTGTATCGGAAGTGAATACATGTGACGTGTTCTGCGGAAACCCGTATATTGCCTCAGATTGGTTGTTGCTAAGTTACATCAATTCGCGTGCAATTTTCAACCAGACATTTCCTGTCAATTTGGTTTTTGTTAGATAACGAATCTGTTACATCCCTTATAAAGAGGAAAAAAAATTATCACATTTTTTCAGTTTATCAATTTTTTTTTGTCAGAGCTGTCCGCCCTTCAGAACTTGTAGGAAGTGTGTGGACGAAGGAAGACATTAAATATCTTACTTCACCGAATCTTCTGAAGATGATCCATCACACGAACAAGATCACTATGTGGTTTGAGAAGAGCATGTTGGAGTTTGCGAATTTAGAAGAGAGAGTAGCAGTTTTAAACAGAGTTATCGACATTTTAACAGTGAGTATTGAGAAACTCCCAGGATGTGCTTGTTAACTCCCCTTTCTTGCTGCTACCCATTTCTCTGTAAATTATCTTCGAGAATTTGGTGCTTGATCAAGACCATAACCTTAACTTGATAAGTTTGAGTATTCTCATTACCTGTTTGGTGGATAATGTATGGATATTATAGGGAGAAGTTACATGTTAATCACTTCTGGGAATTAAAGGGTTAACGTCGGAGCGTACGTTGACCGTGCTAAGTGCAGAAAAATAGGGGTGTATCCACGATTCCAGCATGTGGGAAATACATGATTTGAGAATACGATTTTGGCTTGTAAGGATATCTCTTTAGTTTTTACTGTATTCTCTCTTCCATTTTTATTTCAGGTTTTTCAAGAATTAAACAATTTCAATGGTATTCTAGAAGTAGTCAGTGCAATTAATTCGTCTCCTATCTTCAGACTTAATCACACGTTTGCAGTAAGTTTGTCACTCATTTTACTTTACTCAAACTCTGTTTTGTTACAAATTGGTAGTGTGACGGTACTGATTTCTTTCTCTCCGGTATCATCCTGTTTTCACAATGCAATGCGAGGTTTCCATTCGATTTTTGTGGACGTGAGGTAGGAAAACTGGGTCTCGTGTATCAAGTCCATCCTCATTTCCAGGACCTCACTTCTTCCTGTCCCCTCCCTGCAAGGTTTCCTCTAGCTGAGATATTAACACACATAAACTTTCCTTTTACGTTTTTCTTCATTATTCTTCTCATAAGTTCCTGCCAAAAGTGCGTTTAGGTGTCTAATGGACGTCATAAAAACAGTTGTTCAGAAAGGCGAGATTTGTCTTTCAAAGTGATTTTTCAAGGGAATTTAAGACTATGCGTTCACTTGGTGCACTTTGTTCAGTTCCTCCTAGGCTCGCGTTCAAGCTTTTAGAATGAGGGTCCACCGTATTTATTCCTGTTTATTGCATTTAGGCTCATGTATTGCGTTAAATTGCGCCTGAATTCGAAGTCCCGGTGTGTAGTTGATTCTCAGTCCTACACTTCACATTTGCTAGTATTGAACGCATTAAATCGTGTATAACTTGACATACAAGTTCCGGTTTTTGGAAGGGCGGATAACTCTATCCACTGCGTAAATCTCTACCCGGTGGACAGCGCTGTACTTTTTTCATCACCTATCTGTCAGATACCGAGTTATTCGATGGAGAGTGTTTTCCTCCTTTTAAAGATCTGGACCTAGGACTATTTATGCATTCGCAAGATTTTGCTTTGTTTATGTTTCGATTTTTTCTTTTCTTCTCTGCAGGAGCTGAGCCCCAGACGGAAGCAAATTTTGGAGGAGGCGAAAGAGCTTAGCAGCGATCATTACAAGAAGTACATCGAAAAATTACGTTCCATCAACCCCCCCTGTGTGCCTTTCTTTGGTACGTTATGAGCATTTCTATTTTTGCCAATCACCCATTGCTGTGCAGGGGGGGTGGGGAATCCGAGAAGTTTTGACCAGGGGAGTGGTCAAAATTTGATTGAGAAACTCAGACATTTTAACTAGCACAATATTGTAAATAAGCAAAGAAATATTCCCAAGTAACTTGTAAATACTCTATATTGAGTAATATAATATTGTTTCCTTTGTTTACTATAGGTATGTACTTAACAAATATTCTGAAGACTGAAGAAGGAAATCCAGATTTTCTACCCAATTATCCAAAAGGGATCATAAACTTTAGTAAGAGGTGAGATCAGAGGCCACCTTTTGATTTGAGCAGTTCTCCTAACTAGTGAAAAAAACATATTATTTCCCTTCTTTTTTATTGTTACTTTAAATTTTTTTGCAACAGGAGAAAAGTCGCTGAAATCACCGGTGAAATCCAACAGTATCAGAACCAGCCCTACTGTCTTCAGAAAGAGTCCTTCATTACGGTAAGAATTAACAGAATGCGTGCGCTGTCTTTGGCGGGAAATGTCACTGAAGCGCACTCACTGGCATTGACCGTTTCTTGACTGATTGACTGAGTATGTGCAGGCTTGATAACTTTGGTTTTATTGACTGAATTGATATGTAAATTGGCCACCTTAAAGAGTTTGAGAGCTGATGCTGACCGCATTGCTTTCGACGCTCACTCGAGAATTGCTCTGTTTTGTTTTGTTGTTTTCTTTTTTCACCTTTTAAACAACATTTTGTGTATGAATCAGAGGTTTCTGTTGCTTGTCCCTTAATTTTGTCGCCTTACAGTTTGTAACAGAGTTTGTGTTTTAATGTAGGAATATCTAGAGACGTTAGATCCGTTTGAGGGACGAAGTGACAAAGAAATGGAAGACTACCTGTACGACTTGTCTCTGGAAATCGAGCCACGAAACTGTAGACAGCTTGTCAAGCATGTAAGTGTATATGTTGTGCATTAAACCTTTTACACCTTAGCGCCAGTGTACACATTCTTCATACTGTTCCCCACACATTTCCTAAGGTGCTGACAAGGAGAATTTGTTTAACATCAAGAGCTTAAGGAGGATTCGAGTGTGACATTGTAAGGAGATGTAAGTCACTCTTTGAGGTCAAAGGGTCAATTTCTTTCTTTTTCCTCCGCGAATCTTTGAACAAAAAGACCCTAGTAAGCTTTCGTCTGGTGTGTTGTTATCGTTTTCTGAAGGTTTTTTGGCTTTTTTACCGTTTCAGCCTCGCAAGACGGACATTTCCCTCAGATCGCCAGGCACAAGGCCGAGTTATCTACAGTCTCGTCTGTCAATCACATCTCAGACATCTTTGAGAAGAAGCGCCTCTCAAGCTTCGTACATTTTCTTACCAGACAGCGACATGTTTCCTTCAACGACGTCGCTATCTCCGAGCACCCCAAGGACGCCTTTGTCAACGATTTCCTTCCTGCCCCCTGACAGCGTCTCGGAAACGATTTCCGAATCTCCGTTGCTTGAAGACACAGAACCCGACTATGTTAACATCGAGAACTTTCCGGAGCAAGAGCCTCCGCCTGATATACCTCCGAGAAAACCTTCGAATCAGACAAAACATCGTGCGGCGTCGGTGAATGGCGATAGGCCTTCCGAACATGTGACTTCGCCTGTACGTCGGCAAATGTCGGATATTATTCCAAGTATCCCTCGAAAACCAACTAAGTCAGTGACAATAGATAGGTGTCAGAACATTGCTCAAGATGACGACGATGCCCCTCCAATACCCCCAAGGGAACCAAATAGGGGGCCTCGTCGAATTCCACCTCCGATTCCCCCTAGGGTACCCGGAGGGCATGAACCCATGACCGGGAATGTGGAATTAACTAATCACGAAGACGCTCCTCCCCCGGCTTTGCCGCCCAAAACAAAACGTTCATGACAATTGTCATGTCGTGACCGGATCAACGCGTGACAGGCCTGTCATTGTGTGACATGCCTTTACTAAATGACTTCTATGACACGGAGTAGCGCTTGGAATTTAATTTGTTTTTCAAATTGATCTTCAAACATAGCTGCAAATGGCTTCAATTATCTTAAAGAATAGACCTGATTTTGTTCAGGAATAGAATTATATAGAAGTATAAATCTGAGGAAATGTTTTCCCTTTTCGAGTGCGATATGTAGATACATATACCAAAATTTGGAGCAATTGGAAAAAAATTTCAGATTGAATGGACAATAAGCTTGAAGTGCATTCGTTTTCAGTCTTTTCATTAGGAAACGTGGCCGTAGAGGCGTGGAACGAGTGCGTTCACAATGGTAGATAATGATACGTTCCAGGTGAACGTTGGGCTTGCGGTGTTTCTGCAGCATGGTAGGGGTGGGAGAGTTTGGTAAAGGTGCCACAGTACCTCCCTGGGCACTCTGCAGTTACATTAAAGGCTTGACAAACTTTTGTTTGCGCGAATTTTTTTTTATAAAATTTTGCTTTATCGCTCAATGCGATCGGAAATAAACTTTAATTCATAGATATGTCAAATTGTTTCTTAATGTCCCAGAAAATAAAGGCTTATGAATTTTTAATGGCGTGTTGTGTTCTTTTGTTGATGATGAATCATAATCTGATTGCGCAGGAAGATAATGCTTTTGGATCGAGTGTCGTAAGACTAAAGCCAAAATAATTACAACGGCCAATCAGGATAGAGGAAAATACCATGCCGTGATTGGTTGAGATAGTGGCGCGAGTTTTCAGGACCAATCACAGAGCGAAGTACAGCAAAACCATAGTTATCCTAGATTACTTTCGACTCTAAATCTTGCCTAACCATTGTCAATAGATTCAACTTGTGTGCATGTGTACTATGGCGTGAGATTCGAACTCTGTATTAAGCAAAAAACATCTTCATAAAAAATTTATATCTGTTCGCGCGAGAAAGGTTAAATGTCAATGGGTTGCAAAAATCACAGCCATTCTTAATTTTTCAAACCGAGAATAGGTTAGACAAATGAGACAACATAATCAATGAGAGAATATTCGACGGCAGATGTAAGAACGTTCGCATTGTGAACATTCGTTACAACTACTCAAATTTTGAAGCTTCTATTTCTCTATTAAAAGTAAAGAGCTGAACAAATCAACTCGAACAGACGCAGATTCTCTGGCCTCCAAAAGCTTTGAATCTCTTCCTACGCTGTTTGTTGCATTTTCAATATTTCTGACAATGTTTGGAAATGAACGGGACTACACCCTTTAAAATACAGGTTCTACCCCTTTTTTTTTGTTCCTAGTTTTACTTAGTTGTGGAATTTGTTGATTACATAAAGCAGAACCCAGTAATTCATAAGGTATATTAACCGTGGAATAAATGTAAGTTTTAAATCTTTAATTACAAAAACTACCTACTTATTTTACCGGAAATGACGTATAGTATATATTTTTCAGTCGTAGCTACATAAGGTGACGGTCATTATTCATCGTCTGAGGGGTTAACTGGGGGGGGGGGGGGGGGAAGTGGGTGGATTGGAGGTTCTTGGTTTTGTCACGATAAAATTAACCTAATCCCCCAATCTGGCTGTGTGATATTCATAAGAAACACCCCCCCCCCCCCTTATATTTTGCAGGATCTTCGAGCTAAACTGTATTATTTAACGCAATCATATAATTATTGTTTCACTGGCTTGGATCCCAACAGGTTCCTACAGATTGAAACGATCTTGGACCTTCTCGGCGACCATTTTTGCAATAGCCAAAGAAGACGTGGCCCCAGGAGAAGGCGCATTTCTGACATGCAGGACACGGCTTCCTATGTCCCCTGCTCCTCCGTCAAACACGAAATCGTCTACCAAATTTCCCTCACGGTCCATCGCCTGGGCACGAACTCCTGCTGGTCCTCTGCGATTAGTCGAGGAAAAACATGGGTTTAGGCTTGCTTTGATCTGAGTCACTGGGTGCATGAGATGTGTCGGGTGTGAGAAAGTGAAAACCCGTGAGAGAAACGCGCAAGGGAGAAGAGTTGCGGAGGAGGAGGCGCGCGAGAGAGACACGCTAGAAATAGCCTCGCGTGGCACATAGATTTCACATCTTCCAAGTAACGTCACGCAACGATTGCGTGTCATTTAATTTGTGTTATTTTGTATTCAGTGTCTCTCACCTCTCTACATCTTCCAATTTCAGACTAGGAACGTATCGCTGGAGCTGTTTAACTTGGGCAGATATGATAATCCCGCGATAATACTCCCCAACACCAAACATAAAGTATTTAAACATAAGTTTCCTTAGACCCCTGAAAAACAAAAAAAAAATGGTTAATTAAAAGTTGGTTCATTCATCAGGGTGCATCAACTGTTTGACCTCTACGAGTAAGTAGCGTCTAATTTCTCCATACAATGTAACCGACATTTAAGGAAATGATCACCAACCAAAGCAGCCCTTTCCTTAAACAAATACTCCTTATTGGTACGATCAAAAATGTACAGGGAACAGTAAGGATAATTAGCTTACTGACATCAGGGTGTACAGAGTCACTCGAAAGTTTGGGAACAAAAGATGCGTGAGAGTTGCATGAGGACCAGTGGAGAGCGATCAGTTTCTCGAGTGCTGTACAAACCCTTCAACTGAATTTCATCAAACGAATTTACTATGTTTTAAGGTCCTTTATAAAAAAGTAAAGATCGTGTATTCCGTGATGTCGATCGAAAAAAATGACGCGACATTTTCAGGAAAAGAAGGGAAGCAACACACCGGTAGCCCAGGGCATCCACTAAGTCTTTCACATTGACATCTGTAAGTTTGTAACCTTCCCTGGCAAATGCTAAAACTGCGTTAGGCCCAAGCCACACGCTGCCGTCAACGCGCGGAGTAAAGTGGACCCCAAGGAAAGGAAAGTTGGGGTCTGGTACCTACAAAAACATCAAGTAAACAAATGAATAAGTAGGGTCTTCTTGACTGGTTTAAACTGGTCCAAACTAGCCCTTGAGGAGAACTGGTGTTTCTGCTTACTGGGAAACCATCTGCTACTATAGCATCATACTAGAGGGAAAATACTAACCATCATCTCCATAATGTTCTTAATACATTTCCTAGGGTGCTGACAAGGAGAATTTGTTTACCAATCAAAAAGTTTCATCGGTGATCATTTCCTTTATTCTCATGACCTTAATGTGTGATTCAGGGGTGATATTGTATAGACAAATTAGATGCTTAACACTCTTAAGGTTTACAGGGTTAACTAAAACCAAAGCAGAACACATAAATCATACTTAGCCCTTAAAACTAAGAGTGACCAGCATCTTATTTCTCCTTACAGTAATACAGCTAAATCATTCATTAAGATCATGAGAATAAAGAAATGATCACCAAGCTACAAAGTTTTAATTGTTAAACGAATTCTCATTGTCAATGCCATAGGAAATGTACAGAAAAGATTATAGAGAATATGGATGCTCATGTTGGAATGAAAAGGATTAACCCTTTAACTCCCAAGATCTCACTAGTAATTCTCCTTACTGTCTGCCAAACAATTATCATTATGTTTGTTTGGAGAATTTGGTACCAGATCAATTAGTAGTCCCATAATTGATATTTTCCTTGATTCTCATCACTTGTCTACATGATATTGTATAGATATAGTAAGGAGAAATTCTGTCTTGGTCACTCACGGGAGTTAAAGGGTTAACACTTCTTTTCCTTACTACCCTTAATTCAAATCTTTCAACCTCTCAACCATTGGAAACTTTAGGACAAAAAATGCTTCCATAAGTCAGAACTGACTAGCCAGAACAGTTCATTCATTAAGAAAATGTCAAGCAAGGGCTACATTCTAGCTATACAACAAAAAGATTACAAATTCTTGAAAATTTTTCATTTTAGATTTATTTAGGGCCCTCTGCCACTGAAACTCACTGGATAGATGTTTCCCTTCACCAAATGACTCTTTTCGTCTTTTAACTTGAGGTATTCTCCTCGGAATGGAACAATTCTTGGATCACTTTTACAACCAGACTTCTCTGCCAGGCGATCTGAGTACAGGCCTCCACATGTCACCACATAGCGACAACTAAGGGGAGACTGAAAAGGAAAAAAGGAAATTACTTTGTGGTATGCACAATGCATACACCACTCAGTTGAAGGATATCTGGTTCCACCTCTCTGTTCGGTGAGTTTCAAGCCTAGAAGGTCAATATGCAAAGGTCAATAGTTTTGTGAATGTTAAAATGTTTGTAATGTGAACACGTGACAAAGAGAAGAGGAAAAAGGCAATATCTTACAACATTCTTTCCACATACTGTAACAGGATGAGTGTGACCTGCTGAAAAAAAATTTGCAAAAATTCAGCATACTGCACCAGCATGACAAATTTGTACAGATATATACCAATTTTAAATATTCTGTCAAACCTGCTTCTTTTCCTTGGGAACGACTGCTTTCAGGACTACATGTGAAATCTGTAACCTAAAAAGAGAAGGTTGACCCTTAAACCCCTAAGGGTGACTAACATTTAATTTCTCCCTAAAACATCACCCCTGCATCAAACATTAAGGCCACAAGAATTAAGGATAAGATCAAAACTAAAGAAGCTCCTGATTGTTGAATGAATTCTCCTTGTCAGCATCTTAGGAAATGTGAAGAGAACAGTATGAAGAACACAGATTCTAATGAGAGGGTGTAGAGCATTTATCACCAAAAATTACAAAATTTATGTAATTTTTCTTATACCTTTCTGAACCAATCACCTGAAATCAAAGTGGCACTACGATGAATTCATGGTTATACTGTGCATAAAGTGATTGCATGAAAAGCCAACCATCCTGTGATTCGGTGAAACAAGATTGAGCTGTCATTCCCACTTAACAACTCCCCAATTGGTCTGCCATAATTATTTAATTATCAGGCTGCCATCTTTGAGAAGATGCATGCGTTCCCTAGACTTTTCAGGCCATGCTACTGCCACAAAATTTGCTCATTCCTATGGGTCCCATATCCAGGAGTAAAAATAATGAAAACCTTGAAATCAGCACCACTGTAGACAGGCTTTACCCCTTACAACCCAACATCAGTCTGCATATTCTCTATACTATTCTCTATACATTTCCTATGCTACTGACAAGGAGAATTTGTTTAACAATCAAGAGCCTTTAAAATTGGGGATCATTTCCTTCATTCTCATGACCTTGAATGAGTGATTCGAGGGTGATATTGTAGGAGAAATTAGATGCAAGTCACTCATAAGGGTCAAAAGCATGATGCAATAAATAACAAATACAGACAAGAATATCTTCTGACCTCATAACCAGTATATATTTCACCACCCGCCTTCTTGAAGTCTTCTCCATAACTTCGTGCCACCTCTGCCCAGTCAACTATCCCAGTATTTGGTGATAAGATAGCAGATACACCCTTAAAAAAAATTCACCAAAGTACAACACATAATTTTCTCTTTTACCATCAGATATTCTGTTACAAAAACAGACAAGAGAATAAGGAAAAAAATCTAGAAGAACTCATAATCAGACAAACAACATTTCTACACTAAAAAGTGTTCTGATGTTATTAGTATAAAAAGGAAATATGCCCTGGTGCTACGAAATTTTAATTTTAAAAACTCAGGTGAGGGAATACTCACCTCACAATACGGCTCAACTTCTTTGATTTGTTTTGAGTCTAATATTTTCAGATCTTTTACCCCATTCTCTAGGCCTCTTTGATATAACTTTTCAAGTTGAGGTAGCTCTTTCTTTTCCACTGCTACAATTATCTAGAGAAGTAAAGATGAATGTTGGCAAATGCTTGTCTTAATTTTCACTTCAAGTAATGATAGCAAATAAAGCAGCTCTTGATTATTAAATAAATTCTCCTTGTCAATACAAGAGAAAATGTATGGAAAACAGTATGGGGAATCAAGCATACTGATGTCATGGAGTTGAAAGGTTAAACAAAAAGACAAAATTAGTACCTCTTTCATCTTAGGCTTTATATTAGTTAAGCACTAAATGGGGGACTTCACCACTCAAACATCAAAAGCATACCTTTCCACACTTTTTATAGGGAATATTCTTTTCATTACAATACTTGTAGCTCAGGTCCAGTCCTTCCACACACAACTTAGCCTTCAGGGAGCCTGGGGTGTAGTATATACCACAGTGAATGACTCCACTGTTTTTTCCTGACTGATGAACAGCTAGATGCAAAATGAAAGGCATGTCAATTATAAATTTAACATGTAAGTGTAAATTTAATGGACAATATGGTGCACTTGAAATTAAAAAAATCTGACTGGTTACCCATATTGTTTACTTCATATTCATTGAGGGAGTTTCATGTTTCATTAAAGACAAAAAAACCCATAACATAACAGTGTCCCATAATATAAACAATAATAGCTGGATAGTAGCATGGAGCAATGACTCATATCATCCAATCAAAAAGCAGTGAAAAGTAAAGTGTTCTATCACAACGTCTTATTTCATGCATGACACTTACAATTTCCAATTACTATATACTAATTGTGATTAACAAATAGGGCTCTCGCTTCATAGCTGTCCGATTCTGTAAATCACTTGTGTGACTACCGACCAAATTGGACTTTATTCAATCCTATTACCATTATGAATCAGGTTGCTGATAAATAATCACTTTTGAAAATTTTGCACAGTCGAGATGCTTTTGATATGTAGTCACCTAGTAACTCTCTTCAAAACTATATGTATTATTTTTGATTGCTTGTTAAGGTACAGAGAATGAAAAATGGAGCTCGGAAAGATTTCTTTAAAACCCCATAAAACCCCATACTGCTCTAAAACAAAGCCATAGTCCCAAAAGCAATCTATTTTTTTTGTCACAATTGTTTTCTTTATCCAAGAGCTGTATGCATAATGAAGCATGTAGCTTTGTAGGAATCCTGCCTTGAGCTCCAGTCAGCTGTAAAAAGGAGTTGTACACTTACAAAGTTCATTCTCTTTCTCTACAACAGCAAGCTTTAGTGTGGGATGTCTGTGGATCAGTTCCCTGGCTGTCGCCAGTCCAACAATCCCCCCTCCAACCACAACCACGTCATACGATGCCTGAGTGGCCATACATCTGTGAAAATTAGAATTCAAGGAGCCATGAAACATTTTTTTTGCATCTGCTTAAATTTGACCCAACTGATCCAAGAGCATAATTTGTAATCCACTTTAAAACCTTGTCCAGTTCCTTGCCGTCCGAGATATGCGCCGGTTTCTCTTGACCTGCTAGGCCATCATGCGCCTCTTAAGTCTCCGTTTCGTCAACTATTTCCGATTAGTACTTTAAATGATTAAGAAAATGATCTATTGAAACTTATCATCTTCAAAAAATTATTGCCATTCCGTTTTCTTCGCATTTAGGCTTGGCTTATTCGCTGTATTTATCATAAATATTTTAGAAGGCAAATTTTTATCAAGTTACCTTTGCAGTCGATGTCTAAAAACAGAACCGGTCTTTTTCCTGAGATTTTGTATTAAAATAGAGTTTCCTCTCCCAAGCATCTTGACAAATGGTAGTGATACGCGAATTTACATGTCTAGAACGTGTATCTTGGGGACATGATCGTAATTCAAGACTGTGAATCCATCGGCACCTCAAGAGAATGTCAACTTTTTCGTCAAATTTAGTCAGGCGTCTCGTGATCATCACAGCCTGCGTACGAGATTAAAGATGTAGGCACAAATGGAGTGCAAAATAAGCAGCACAGTTCGTCGCTTTTTTTTTTTTTTTTTTTTTTTTTTTTTTTGATAGTGTAAAAAAAGAAGTGAATACTTAGCCAAACTTCCCTCGAAAAAGGATGAAGCTATTCTGAATGAAAGAGGCAACGAAAATGAATTTCATACGAGAATGAATTTGAACAAGTTTTGCGCGCAAACAGAAAACTAGTAAATTGGCCGTGACAGAAGCGCGAGGTAACGGTGTCATTCCGTGACGGTTATCACGTTTATCGGTTGCAGGTTTTACCAATACCACTCATGTGCACGAATTATTTAGATTCTAGCTGACTTGGTGTCCGTAAAGTGTTTTAAGAGTAATCTGGGTGAGGGGAGTTAACCTCATAACTCATTGTATCAAACTCTTGAGAGTTGTCCAATACCCACGAACAGATTCCCTTCTCAGCGATCCATCGTCTCATTATAGGTGACCGCTTATAACATTTCTTATGGAAAAACTAAGGATAGACAAAAACCAAAGTAAATTTGTTAAGGTATGTTTATTCAGAGCCACGAAACACACAACTGAAGAGATCGGAAATATCTATAAATTAAATAAAAATACCGAAGACATTGATAAATATGGAGAAAACAAATTTATTGTTTGAGACATTACCTGAATAGTGTTTACAAAGAATGCAACACGATCAAAAATTTTAAAGGTTTGTTCGGGGATTCTTGAGGCAAAAGTATTCACTTTAAAATCACAATTAAGAAAACCGCCTGTCTTCTGAAAATTTAGGAAATAATTTGTTATAAAAAGCAGTAACTTTCAAATTCACTATTTACATATTTTACAATATAAATTATACTTCCTGCTCGACAACCTGTCCTCACCGTTGATTCGAAAAAAAAGGAGAAGGTAACAAAAAACCCAAAAATAATAATTGACCAATAAATAACAACTTTTCACAGAGATATTGTTCCCTTAAATTGAAGATAAATTCCATTTTCACAAACCATCATTGTAAACCTTTCAATATATTACATTTCAAAAAATACACAACCTCGTACAAATAACAAATTCTCTATTTTCAAAACACACGTTTGAAACATTTTTTAAGTTACCTCAAAATTGCACGTAGTCAAACGTTTAATGATCTGTACAATACGCGAAAGAAACTTCAAAACAGGATCAGTCACAAATCCGCTTTTCCTCGCACTTAACAAAATTCTCAAGTTCATTTTACATTTTGTATTTCAGATGATGATTGCTCAATTCCCGGGATTTTTTGTATCATATTTACTCTCGATAAACGGCAACCATGAATTAACACCGCTACAACCAATCAGACCACGTCGCAGCGTATAATCCACGGCAATCTTCGTCTTCGATCGGGTTTTCCCGCGCTTTCCTGTGACTGCCATCAGTTCCGCGCTTTCACACACCTGCGACAAATTTTCCCGCCCTCGTCACTTTCAAGCTTGTCAATACAAAGCCCGCTTCGTACTCGCTGCCCGTTAAACGTTTTCCCGGGCTTTACATCGTCTCCGATTTTTCCCATGCCAATCATCGCTCACACACAAGCCTTATGAAATCTAAGTCAGTCCAAAACCTTTGCAATTTTCAATCGCCACAATCAACCGCTCCTTCAGCTTCACTCTAGTGCTGTACTCAGGCAACAGAAGCCTGTTAAAACACGTTAAAGCTGCCGGAAGTCTGTCAGAATCTTCTCCATGGCGCTGCACAATAAAAGTGAAATTAACCAGCCCTTTGAGAGGCACTCTATCACTACCAGTGACAAACATGAGAAACGCTTTCTTCTGTTCCAGAGTCATCTCATTAACAACTTTCCACAGCATTGTGATTGTGGGATGACTGTGGTTGTAACCGTCTTCGTAAGTGGCTGCTACTTCAAGCTCGTAGAAATCAATCACAGGGCACCCACAGATCAGAAGTTCCAGCTCGTCAGGACGGAATAGAGTCAGCACTTCGCCTCCACATACCTGAAAACAACCAAACCAAACAAGAAACAATTGATATCGCAATTTCCAATTGAGTGTAGAAAGTATTCTGAGTTTGCTTTCGTTTTGCTTTACTTGCTTTTTGATTGGTCCAAAAAATTCGTGCCACTTCCTCGACCAATCAAATTAAAAACTTAAGGTAATCGCGAAATGGTCGCCCGCGTTTTCCCACTCAACAGGCTGTTTGCTTGCTTGTTATCATTGGCTGCCTTATGATTGGCTATAGTGAGATCACTTTAGATTTGGTTTGACGACTGTCGGTCGAAATGCGCTATACAAGGGGCATCAAATAACTGAAAAATTTTAATAATAAATATGTCACAATAATCTGCCGGAGGCTTTTCTGACTGTTACGACGTTCAAAGCTACCAACCAATTGACGGTGCCGACGAAATTTTATCTCAATAGGATAGATCTAAGGAAAAAACCGACGGCTGAAATTCCTTTCGACGATTTCTGACTTCACCTAGCTCCCTCAACCGCTAAGCGGGCTTTACTTTCTTTACCACAAAAAAAATTTTTTTGTCTCCAAGAAAATTACATACCTTATGAAATCCTCGTGAAAATGCCCCGAACTGCCTCTCAACACATTTGACAAGAAGGTGATTGACATACAGTGAGACAAACTGCTCTCTGTTGCTGTTCGTTACAAAGATGTTTTCGCCGTTTGGTAGAAGTTCTATACTTTGAAGATTTCCGAACTCACTTGAAGAAACCTGTGAAAAAAAAAATTACAGAAAAGGCGAGTCCTAATTTCGGCTGACGGCTGTAACCGTTATCATTTTTGTATTATCAATTTTTTTTGCTTTGTACACTTTGCAATGGATCCTATACACAACCTAAACCTATCAAAGCTAAGATGCAAAATCTTCAGCCAATCAGACTTGGTTGACAATCGTTCTCCCCGCGCTCTGCATCGGCTAAATATTACCCGGCACCCCTTGACTGTTTTTTCAATCAACACACGCGACGGAATCCACTGATACAGAGGGATTGCTAGTAGTCTAGAACGAATTACTTAAAAGTTTCTCTTCAGCATTACCTGGAAAGTATAGCAAAATGTGTCTTCCACATCACCCTCGAACTGCAGTAACTCCCCTAAGCTTCTGGCGAGAGAAGGCTGTATGCTCTTTAAATCAAGTAAGTCCAGTTTCTCTCCTTGAAGCTTCTTGTAAATCACAGGAGGAAAATGCACATCTAATATGATGCCATTGTAGATTGCCAAGCCAAGAAGAATTCCAACCAGCTCAAATTCCTTCTCTGATTCAAGAGAGGAGCTGTTTAGCCAAACACAATGTGTTTCGTTAATGTTAGTGAACATCCCATAGCCTGAATAAAGAAATGACAAAAGAGAGAACACCGTCAGCTAAATAAAACCATCTTTCCTGTAACATTGCATATAAGGATCTTTGGTAAGTCACTCAGTCAAGTGAATAGAGGTGGTAAGTTTTTAAAAGAAAATGTGGTGCTGCGTCGGTAGGAGAGTATAGCTAGGAAATTTGGTGTTGTCAAGTGAGTTGATAACATTCATTGAAGTCTGTCACAGCAAATGGAGGAACTGTGGGTTGTGTGTTTGCTTATATGCAGAAGATAGAGCTATGCTATTGGTGGGAACATGGTTACGAGAAAAACGAAAATAATTTAGTTAAATGAACTAATTCAACTACTTTATTCTTATTTATTCACTATTATTTCTTTTTCAAATTCAACTTATCAGTCAGTCAGTCAGTCAGTCAGTCAGTAAGTCATTGAGTTGTTCAGTTGGTCAGTCAGTCCACCAGTCAGTGAGTCAGTAAGTCAGTACATCAGTTAGATTCATCAGTTAATCAGTTAGGTCAGTCAGTGAGTCAGTCGGAGACTGAGACAGTCAGTAAGTCAGTGTAGCATTCATTGAGCCAGTAAGTAAATATATCTGTTAGCTGGTCAGTCAGTTAAAGACTGTGACAGTCAGTTAGTCAGTGTATCATTCATTAAGTCTGTAAGTAAGCATATCAGTCAGTTCATCTGTGATCCATTGAGTTAATCTGTCAGTCAGTCCATCAGCTGGAACCACCCGGAATTATTCTCAAATGTGTTCTTTCAGCTGAGTTTTCACATGTGTTCAAGAAAAGTCCCTCAGGGACCACCATGTATCCAAAAATTATTGTAAAACATATCTACCAGGATCAAAGATAGCTTCGACAATCATGTGAAAGAATTCTTTCTGCAGTCCTCCCATATCCAGCCCTTGTTCTCCTCCACCAACGTACTTTATCTTCAGTGGTTTTTTCAAGTCAAATTCCTGTAGTTGGAGAAAAAAGGAAACATTAATTGAGTAATCCTGTATTAAATTTTCAGAGCCAGTTATCAACAAGAGGTCTAACCCAAACCATGGTTTCACACAAGCAGTGAGCCTCAGGGATTCTCTACCAGAGGACTGATTTAATTAAATAAATGTCTTTCACTATGAGCTTTGGGCCCTCTTGACACTGTTCATAAAGATAAATGTTCAGATATAAGGAACTGCTAAATTGAAGATGGCTTAGAATGCAGTTTTGTTTAACAACAGCTAACCTACGTTTAAATAACCAGCCCTCAAAATCTGAAACAAATCATCACATGTCAATACCAGTACATACGAGTCTAACATATTTTTTCATATTTCTAGTAGAAAGACAGAACCTATTAGGAGTCTTACTGCCCATTTATACCAGAGTAAATCTCGGTTTCCAAGGAAAATGATGTCTATTTATTTATTATTCATTTACCTATTTATAAGAATTATTTTTGCATGTCAGTTTAATTCAGCTGGGGTTTGTTTTGATGGATGGCTTTATTAATAACCTTAATAAAAACAATTTAAATACTGTATCACTAATTTTGATTCAAGTATATTTATTAAGAACAGGGTTGGTCAAAAATTATTTACTATTTGAATTCCAAAAAAACTGACTTGCATCTCCATTTCTAAAAGAGGATGTTTTGTTTAAAAAAATTGGTGGTAAGGCATTCTACCTTTTTGTGTAATTCTAACACAAAGAATCTACTTCTTCTTGACAGGAGGCAAGTCCATAACTGCATACCCCATGGGTTTTAACAAAAGCTAGTTTCCAGTCATCTAACACTGCCTAGAAGACCTCTTATTGCCTTCTTCTCAGGTTTCCTTTTAAGGCCCCTTTTCCAGGCACTGTGGCCTATCACACCATCAGCACCCCAATACCCCACCTTACACTACTCAGCAATTTAATGCCACTACTATACAGTTAACCATTACTGACTTATACTCCTAAAAAGGAGAGGGGTTCTGTGACAATAGAGAGAACAAGGTGGTCTTATAAATTGGGTGATCAAGTTTTTTGGTTCCACTTCTCCGTTCATTTCATAAAAACACAACCACAAGAAAACAATTAAGTCAATAACCTTGAGGTTGATCTGATTTAATGTGTCCTCAATCAAACTATCTCGGCGAACTTCCAGAACAAGAAATGGACACATGGCAGATTTGACAGCATCTTCCAACTCATTGGTTTTCTTCTGTGCCTCTTCCCATAGTCTCTGTGCTTGTTGCACACGGGCCTGATGGACAATTGCATTTTGATATTCCACTCTCATCTGTGATACAGCATCAATTTTAAGGACTCTCACCTGAATTTGGAAAAAAAAGGACTTAATTTGTGCTTGTTCCCAAGGAAACACATGAAATCATACAATAAAAATAGAAGGGAAAGTCCTGCATACCATATAGTAATATAATTGTACCTGTATGGTAAAATAGTTTTTGTACCAAAGTAGTTTGGAAATTTGACGTTCCAGGAAATACTACAAAATCTCTGTTGTAACTGATCAATACATAAAATAACCAGTTTTCCTTACAACCTTTTTTTTTTCCTCTTAAAAATTATCAACAAAAATTCTCCACTTTTTTTTTCTAAAATTAATACCCCCCACCATTACTCCAGGTTGAAAAGAATTTTTTTTATGGTTTGGTTTTGGTTTTTGGCATTTTATTCACATCAGAGATATCCACAATTAATTTGACTTGAAACTCACTGAATCCTTTGCACTCTAAGATTAGCATTAATTTTCTCCATACTGAGCTCCTTGCAGTTCTTATGGTACTGGCAAAGAGAATTTATGTTATAATCGAGAGCTTCTTGAGTTTGCTATCACTTCCTTAACCCTTTAACTTCCAAGATCTGATAGTTAATTCTCTCCTCTAAATGCTACACATTTCATTGTAAAATGGTTGCAAGAATTTGGTGTTCAATCAAGATACTATCATACCTGATAAGTTTGAATAATCTCACTACCTGTTTGTTGGATAATGTATGGATATTATAGGGAGAAGTTATATGTTAATCACTTGTGGGAGTTAAAGGGTTAACTTTCCTTACCTTAATATTTGGTTCAGGGGTGATACCATTGGGAGAAATTAGATGCTCATCACTCTTAGGGGTTAAAGGGTTAAAAACATACAACACATATGCATAAACTGATGTGTTGTGCCACAAATATCATGTCATTGGATTTCACATTACCTTTGAAGTTGGGTCAAATAGAAATGGATAATCAAGAAGGGATAATTTTTGACCACTTTGCGATCTGGAAAAGAAAAAAAAATCATATAATTTTCCTTTTCATTATTTATCAAATTTATGTCTTTCAGTTATTATACATCAACATTTTAACATTGTATGAATTATTGAGATTTTTTGCAGCTGAAGCAGCAATCATATCACAACTAACAAGTACCTGTTAGATTCCCGCAAGGTTCTCCAGTGCTCATATTCTTTCTTGAAATCCATTTTCAATGAGAGATCTTCATTGTAAAAGTCAGAAAGAGGAACAAATTCCTCTTTTCTTTTCTTGTTGAGTTGATAGCAGGTGTCATAGAGTATGGCTAAAGTTTTACATGCTTCTAGCAAACGTGGCTTGCTACACTGGCCTGGTGAAATCAGACTGCTCAGATATGTCTGGAAAACCTGGTGATTGGGGAGAAAAATTAAAGACAATCAGCATTTGCACTTGCCTGGGAATGAATATGCTAATAATTTATAGAAACTCAGAGTATCAATCACCAATTCAGTACTATAAAAAAGACCGCACAACTGAGCTGAAATGAGTAGGGCAGATACATTGAGCAAGTCTTTCTTGCTGTTGCCACAGCCATCATTGGTAAGTTATGAACTTCTGATCATCAAAATAAAAAATTATCTGAGAGGTTTGACAAATATATATCCCCATTAATGATCCAGCAAAAAAAGACATGTAAAATCTCATGTACATCCTACATGAATGCATATCATTGCAATTCTCAGAGCTACAGCTAAAACAAAAACATCATTGTTCAACATACCTTAAGGAGGTGCTTGAAGGAATCTACATCATAACAGGATAAAATCTTGATCAAGGCCTTCCTTGAATCAACTGATAGATTACTTAACACCAAGCACATTTTCCATAAGAGGGCTTGAGAGTCTTGTACAAGTGGATTCTCTATCAAAATGACCAGCTGTGCCACTCCGTCTGGATTTAAAACCAAAGAGCTCAAGGTTGTGAGGTGAATCTCAAGGGAATTCAGAAGTGGCTGAACAAATGTATTCTGAGGCTCTAAACTCAAAAGGAGTTTGTATGCTTCTCTTACAGCAGGAACATCCAGAGAATTGTGATGTTCCCCATTAGCTGTTCTAAAACTGTCATTCAGAGCTTCAGATGAAGTAAACACTGTCCTGATGGTGTTAATGAGAAAAGCTGCATCTTTACACTGATTATAGTTTTCCGCTGAAGATTCCAGCATTGGTAGTGTTAGATGAGTTAATGAGAACTCCTGAATGTGACCAGATGACATTTCAAGGGCACACTCTTTTTCAAACTCTTCCAAGTCTACAATATCATTTAACGAGCTATTTGAGCTGAACAACTCTGGCGGCATTCCAGGAAGGGCATGATCAGTCATAAGGTTACCTGACAGATTCACTTTGGAAAATTCTGTGTCAAGATTAAAAACATGTCTTTTTGGAGCCTCTTTGACTTCATCTGTTTGCAAATGAGTTCCTTTCTTACCAATTTCCTCAACAACTACAGATTTATCACCAGATGCAACAAGTATTTCTTTGTCCGCATCACCAGCCTTAACTTCAGTTTCAACTATATTCCAGGATCCTGATATTTGATTTTCATAAATTTTCTTTGATTTAATCAAATTGGTCGGAAAGTTCGAACCCTTTTCTGAATGTCTCCTCTGCGAAAATGGTTGGAATAGTGTTTGGAATGGAGTGGTTGAAAATAAACAGTGCAGAAAAGGCCTGGGTTTGTTTGGTTCCCCTTCAAACAGCTTGGCCGGCAAAGGACCTGTTTTTTGATTGCTGAGAGTACAAATGTATTGTTTGTTTCTTGTGGCTAATTCAATACTCATGATACCAGCCACATCTGGGGCGAGCTTGACTCCCCCCTTGCTGGAGACACAAAATTTGTTTTGACAGCTCTCGTCTCCACAACCTTTCGTGAGCTGTCGAAAATAACATTTAACCAGCTCTTCAAAATGGCTCTTAGCGTCGGCAAAGGACGAGTTCGGTTGATCATAGCTTCGCAGCGGCATTGCTTCCTTTAAGGAAAGATTGGAGTCTGAAATAGCGGCTAGATTACTGGCACTCAAAGTTTTTGCACTTGCCTTCAGTGACTGTACATTGAGTTGCGCTAAACTGGAATATCTTCGTGAGCTGTCCAAGTTTAAGCATTCCAGTGATCCACTGAGGACATCTTTTCGAAGCTTTGGTTGGCTTGCATGCTTTTTTAGCTTGTTGAACTTAGTTATTGAGTCTCCAGACTGTAGAGAATGTCTTTTAGAATGCGCCATTGGAATTTTTGGAGGCCTACCTGAGACAACGGCGTGACCGCCCAAAACTTCGTCCATTTCAAGGCTGTGCACCTTGTTCTCTTCCACGAAAAAACCGCAGGAAAATAATCTAAAATCAAAAACAGGAAATAGCTCGGAACCTTTTGAACAAAGCCTTCTAACCGTTCATTTTCCCACTTTCTAAGACGTTTTACGTTACTCATCTGTCAATAATTCCAGAACAAAAACGCCGCCATTTTCGTTACCGTGACACTATAACAATGGTCAGAGGCTTCCCTCGGAGTATTGTATCCATATATGGTAGCCGATGCCTTGGCGATTTTACTTCCTCTCGGTAAATATGGCGAAGGTGGTGAGTACACAAAATATGGTGGTTTTAATGATATTTAGCGCTACTCACTATATTCTCAACCAGAAGTAGTCTTATCATGAGTGTTCCTAAATGGGATTGTTCCTAGGAAATCTAGTTTCAATGTAGTTATGTTCACAAAGGGGAAAGATTTCTTGAAATTATGACATAAACATTTACGAGTTTTCTAATTCTGCGAAAAATCTGTTTGAATGTTATTGAAGTTCTTTTGTGCCTGTGGCATTTGGAATTGATCCTGTCCCGACTTTATATTAAACTGATCGTTGTTGATGCCATGGTTCTACTACTAAATGGACGCATATGTAATGTCCCTTGACTTTATCGCTGGGGAATTGATATTAATTTCCGGAAGTCAAATCAGTGCAAATTAAAGTGATTCGGTTTTTATGGAAATATTTGCATTGATGTGGCAAGATCTTTAAGGTTTGTCTATTAAAGAATATTCAAACTTATATCTGAGTGCTAAAACTTCAGTAACGTTTCATTTTGTGTTCCTATCACATTAAGTACCATATATCACGCGACAGAACATACAAATAAAATCATTTCACAACAATCAAGGGCTCCTATCGTGTAATTGTTTTCCATGAACTTTGGACCTCCCTCTAATGTCGTTTCTCCTTCATCTCAATTGTTCGTTTCTTATTTATATTTTTTATTTTTTCAGAATGAGGAAGACAACCTTATGTTTGACAAACAACTGTTGAAAGGCATTGACCTCAGTGAAGGAGAGTGTAGATTGCATGAGTGCGGTTTATCAGTGGAAAATCCTGGTGATAATTTGATTTTGAGACCTTTAAGAGCTGATGATTATGATAAAGGTAAACCAAATGAATGAGATGAATTGACCAAAGCATTTTAGAAATGCATTTTAAACATTACTTCACATGTCATGAATTTTTAAGGGAAACTTCAAATCTCATCTTACCTTGCCCTTCTGTAAAATTCATACATCACATATTAATTTTTTGTGAAATTTTGCATCATGAATAAACCCTTTGCCACCCTCTAAATGGCCCTGGAAATCAGCAATTGTTTCTTAGACTGTTGTTGATACTGCATAATAAAAGTATTGGTAAATGAGCAGAGCTGTATTCCCCATTGTACAAAATATCAGACAAATGAACAAAAGTGTTTATCAGCTGACTTTTTCTTTTAACCCTTTAACTCCTAAGATCTGATTCTTAATTCTCCCCTCTAGCTACCATACATTTCTTTGTAAATGAGTGTCAAGAATGTGGTGTTAGATCAAGTTAACAACTTTTACCTGATAAGTTTGAGTCATCTCATTACCTGTCTGCTGGATGGTGATATCATTGGGAGAAATTAATGGCAATCACTTCTGGGGGTTAAAGACTCATTGATTACTTAGTAATTAACCTTACAGATTATATCTAAGACTTATTTTAGAAAAACTTAAAGAAAAGAACACTATCTTTTGGGGTTATTTAGTATTATCAACTGAATTGATAACATAAATTGGCCACCATAAATAGTTCCAAAGCTGATGTTTCGAGGGTTAGCCCTTCATCTGAGGGAATGATGAAACATCAGCTTTGAAACTCTTTACGATGGCCAAGTTATGTTATCAACTCAGTTGGCAATATGAAATTACCCTGTTATACTCTCCCACCAATGCAGCACCATAGATTCCGTAGAAACTTACCCCCCCTTACGCTATTTTTCCATCAGGTTTCTTGCAACTTTTAGGTCAGCTTACTAAGGTTGGAGAAGTGACAAAAGAAAAGTTTTTAGGTAAGTGTGATAGACTTGCATGGAACTGTCTAAAAGACCTACCAATAATGACTTTGATCTGCAATAAGGGTATTCTTGAATTTAAAAGTGATCTTTGCAGTAATGAACACTACTTTAGCAGTAGAGAAAATCAGGCCTGAAAAAAGGCTTTTATGGGATTTGAATCCATGACCTCTGCAACACCAAAGCAGTGCTCTACCAACTGAGCTAATAGGCCAATTGGGAGCTGGTCATTATGTTGGTTTGTAATAAACCCATGAAGTGATGAAAAAATGACTGTAAATATATGAAAATCACATAAATTAACTTTGCTTTTAAGATATGAATTTGAAAGCAATCTTTGCAGTAAGGAACACTACATAAGCAGTAATGAAATTATTACCCTCCTCTTGGTTCGGTGCTTTCTCCAAGCTTTCTGTATTAACTTTACGGCCTTAATCTGTTGGAAGAAAAGCAGTAATTATATACTGATGAAGTTTTATTGTGAATCCATTTCCCTGATAAGGTCATGTAGTAGAAAGAATCTCATCTTCTTGGATCAGATTATAGCTAAAATCGCCGAGAAAGTTAAATGATGAAACTTGCCATCTAACTCTGTACCTACTGCCATTACTATCTCCTAGTACCTTGAGTTTGAGCTCTTCTCATTACTGCTGAAGAAGTATTCATTGTAGCAAAGATTGCTCTCTTATTCATTGACTACTCTCTTTTTCAATCTCTTCAGAACGCTTCCATGCTATGCAGTCTTGTCCTGGCACATATTATCTTATTGTAATAGAGGATGTAAAACTAGCAAAACTAGTTGCATGTGGAACACTGGTTGTAGAACAGAAATTCATCCATGACACAGCTGTGGTATGTACCCATTTCCAAGGAGAGCTGGTCTCATTGAGTCCTTCTTAAAGTTTTGTTTTGGACATATCACAAGAGATAATTACAGGGGGTTTTTTAAAGGGAAAATAAGAGTCATTGAGGAAGAGAACAAAGCCCTATACAAGGTTGCTAAACTCAAGGTGTGAGGTCCTAACTTTCTTTGAGACCATCTGAAGGGTAAAGGTAACAAGTGAGGATCCAAATGTAAGGCTCTCCAAAGTCTGCCATGAAGCTACCCTCAGAGACCCAGGGGCAGTTAATCAGGGTGAGCAAAAGAGAAAATCAGCACAACAATAGTTTACTTAATGGACAAATTTTGTGCAATCTATTGTCACTCTGATTTTCTTTTTCTCAATCTGATTAACTGCCCTGGATCTCCAGGGATGCTATAAAAAGGCACATTTATTTCCCCCAGGCAATAGCTTTAGACATTGAATGGGCCATTAATTGACCAAATTAATTATTTAACCTTAGCTTTGTGGCTGAATTTTCTTAATTGCTGGGGACTGAAAACCCTTCAGCCACCAGAAGTTGCTGATCTGATTGTACACTCTCTTCTCTTGCTGCTACACATTTCCTTGTAAATTAGTAACAAGAACTTGGTGTTAGATCAAGATGACAACCTCTACCTGATAGGTTTGAGTATTCTTATTAACTGTTTGCTGGATAATATAAGAATATTATTGGGAGAAGTTGCATGTTGATCACTTCAGGGAGTTAATAGCAATTCTCCACAGTTATTAGCATTTCTGTTGTAAATTTCAGAGAGGTAGAATTGAGGACATAGTTGTTGATGGCAGTTGTAGAGGAAAAAAAATTGGAAAACTGTGAGTATAGCATTGGGTTCTTTAGGGACCCAAGACCCATTTCTCTAAGGTCCTGATAACTTAACAGGCCTGGCTGTTTTGTTTTCATTCAAGATAGGGGTTTCAAATGTTTTTAGAATTATACAACAAAACTATCAGCCAAAGGGGAAAAAAGGGGGATGATGCAACATGTCTGACCCTAACATCAATGTGCATTTTCTCTGCACTGTTCTTTATTCATTTCGTATGATAATGGTGAGAAGAATTTGTTTAACAATCAGACCCTTATTCTAGAAATTAGATGTTGGTCACTCTTAGGGTCAAGGTTTCACAAGGGTTAACCAACACTCAGGATCTTAAAATAACTGAGGAGAAATTTATGCTGTCTCTGCTTTGACATATGCACATGGTTAGACATTAAAACTGCAGGCCCCATCCCCTGCATCTTTTCTGTACTGGTCTTATCAAGAGAGGGAAAAAAAGGGAACATAAATGTAGCTCCCAGTGATGTGGTTCTGGCCTTGATCCAAACTTAAGGGCTCTTACAAAAAATTTCCTTAAAAAATTGTAAACTGTTAAATGCAGTCTTGCTTAACTCTCTTGCAAAGTGATGTAAACTAACACAGAATACCCATTAAGGAGAAGAGTTGATAAAATTACTGGTACTGTATATCTATCCAAAGATAATTTAAAAAGAATCCCAAGAATTTCTAAATTTGCTTGATTGTTTTTCCTTCAGGATTGTTGAGACACTGATTTTACTTGGCAAGAAATTAGGATGTTACAAGATCAGTCTGGAGTGTAAAGATCCCCTGTTGACTTTCTACACACAATTTGGTCTCAAACATGAAGACAAACAGAATTACCTTTGTAAAAGATTCTTTCACTGACAACAGAAGATCAAATCATGGCTTTTAATTTATGTTTATTGAATGTCATATGGCCATGGGTGGTTTAAAATCTAAAGTAATTATAAATTATATGTGATCAATGAGATCCAAAACTATTTCTATCAAGTATATATTGTTGCACAAGTTTAGAGCACTTTTTTAGTTGGGTGTTGCAAAACCCAGCAAATAAAGTACAATCACTATGTCCAATCAGAACAGGAGCAAATGTCACAATGAGCCAAAAGGACCCATAAGGAAAAAAACAAAAAAGAAGTCCCAAAGGGTGGGAAGTGGAAGTGAATAATGTGCTTGTGGTTTAGGTTTTTAAGTTTTTTTTTTTAATGTGGTAAAGTAAAAGTGATTTCAATCTGGGATTAGATTGAACACTTAATTGGAAATTGCCATGTAGTCTCTACCTCAAGAGATGGTTTACATTATCATATGGTGTGCTTAGTTGTAGCCTTTTGAGGAAGTATAATATTGGTATTGTAACAAAGGTTGATCTTTCATTACGAATTGAATTGTGTGTTGATCATAAGCATCACAGTGATCTTAAAAGGGTACCTGGCAATTTTAGGGGTTGATCAGTTAATGAGATATAATTTTTAATCACTTCATAATACTCAGACCTATGGATATGTTCACTACTTGTCAGGAACAAAAATTTTTCCGACGGCAGGATCGCATGCTACTACTCTACTACTCTAAAAATTTTGGGTAAAAGGGGTGGGGAGGGGGGCGCTTTTTCGAAAGAGGGCGCTTAATCAAGGGAGCGCAGCAATAAGACAAAAAATTAAGAGAATATATAATACCTAAAAAAAGAAACTCAGCGAGCACAATGAAATACGAATATCTGGAAGTGACTAACGTAAAAGAAACTATCCTCCTTTACCTACACCACTATCCTGCTACTACAGTTGAAGCTTAACAAGTTATAAATGAATTGGCCCCAGTAACAGGTTGTCCTTGTGACCTTACTATTTAAGAAAGTGAAGGAGGGTTTCGATACCAGCACTAACGATTGAGTTTTATCACTAACGATTAATATATTTGGCACGAGAGGCTTCCCATAAGTTGTAGGAACTTTTTAAGCTTATTTACAAGTAATCAGAGTTGACGGACATCGAGACACCGAATAACTTTCTCCTGGTGTCAAGGGTACGCTGATCAGACTCTAGATCTGATTCATAATTACCTACGGTATATTGTGTGACCATAAGAAAATGGTAACTTGTAGATGTGTCTGAGTTTTCTTCGCAAAAACACTCTCTCTTGATGACAAGGGCACACTGGTACATGCTGATTCACAATCACTTAGGGAATATTGTGTGACCACAAGAGAATAATAACTTGCAGCTGTCTCTAAGTGTTTCTTGCGAAACAACTTCCTCTTGATGTCCAGGGCACACTGGTAAGTCTTAAGAACTGATTCGTTATCACCCAAGGAATGATGTGTGACTGACCGCCAGAGAATGGTAACTTTGAGATGTTTCTGAGTGTTTCTCGCCAAACAACTTTCTCTTGGTATCCAGGGCACACTGCTAAGCCACTAAAACTGATTCGTAATCACCTACGGAATGATGTGTGACCGCCAGAGAATTGTAACTTTCAGCCGTGTCTGAGTTTTCCTCGCCAAACAACTTCTCCTGATGTCAAAGGTACGCTGACAGGACTCTGGAGCTGATTCATAATCACCAACGGATGTTGTGTGAATCATGAGTGGGAATAGTGCTTCTCGCGCGCGCTGACTGACTAATTCGGATGTGATTAGTGAGTACTTTTCACCACGGAGCAGCTAAAGAAACAAAATCGTGCGCCAAGAGTCCAAACTCTGACATTTTTCGGTATAATGATAGATACGAACTAATTTTTTCGGTATTTGTAAGGTATATGCTACACAATGATCTGCCTCTGTCGCGCCTCGGCAAATAACCGCTACTATTTACCTTCACTTTAGACAGAATAACGGTTACATACTCTATACAGTATATCTACGGGTTCACCATATTGTAAATTTAAAACCTTTGACAACACACCACCCTTAAACAATCTGCGCATCGGCTCACTGATATGCAGAAATTTCCGCACCACGCCTCGGAATAGCGAAATCACCAAAGGGATTTGAGCCACATCGGTACATATCAGTGTTCCCTGGGTGAAATCCTTTGCTTAAATACGATAAATTATTGTTCAGAATTCCTTTTTATTTTATCTCCTACTTTAAGCGAACGTCGTTTAGACTGACAGGCTAAAGTCTGCTTTCTGAATTTTATTTGTGTTTTCCTGATTGAAGAGTAACTTCGAGCAGTGTCTGGGTGATCCTCGCCGAACAACTTACGTCTGATGTCCAAGGCACGCTGTTTAGACTTTTGAGCTGATGCACAGTCTCCTATGGAATGTTGTGTGGCCCCCAGAGAATCGTAAATTTTCGCTGTGTCGGAGTGTTCCTCGCCAAACAGCTTTCGCATGATGTTAAGGGCACGCTGTTTAGACTCTTGAGCCGATGCATAATCGCGTAAGGAATGTTGTATGACCCCTAAAGAATAGTAACTTTCTGCTGTGTCTAAGTGTTCCTCGCCCAACCATTTTCTTCTGATATCAAGTGAACGTTGTTTAGACTGAAGAGCTAAGGTTAACTCTCCTAGTTTCTTTTGTGTTTTCCCGATTGAAGAGTAACTTTCGGCTGTGTCTTGGTGTTCCTCGCCGAACAACTTTCGCCTTATGTCTAAGGCACGCTGTTTAGACTTTTGAGCTGATTTATAATCACCTAAGGAATGTTGTGTGGCTCCCAGAGAACCATAACTGTTGGCTGTGTCTGAGTGTTCCTCGCCGAACAACTTTCTTCTGATGTCAAGGGCACTTCGTTTTGACTTTTGAGCTGATTCATAATCACTTAAGGAATGTTGTGTGGTTCCCAGAGAATCATAACTGTTGGCTGTGTCTGAGTGTTCCTCGCCGAACAGCTTTCGCCTGATGTCCAGGGCACGCTGGTCAGATTGAAGAGCTGATACATAATCACCCAAGGAATATTGTGTGACCGCCAGAGAATGGTAACTTAGAGCCGTGTCCTGGTGTTGCTCGCTGAACAGCTTTCTCCTGATGTCAAGGGCGCGCTGGAAGGACTGAAGAGCAGCTGCATACTCTGCCAAGGAATTTTGTGTGACGCCCAGAGAAAAATAGCTTTTTGCTGTGTCTGGGTGTTCCTCGCCTAAGTGCTTTCGTCTAATGTCAAGCGCACTTTGACAAGACTGAAAAGCTGATGCGTAGTTACCTAAATCAATTTGTATGAGCCCGACCAATAAGTGATTGTTAGCCATTTTAGGGTGTTCTTCTCCAAACAGAGTTCGCGTAATGTCAAGCGCACGTTTTGCAGACTGAAGAGCCGAGACGAAATCGTCTGATTTCAAATGTGTAACCGCGGTTTCATATTCAACCTTCAACAAGCCATGTGATGAACAAGGGACCTCCTCCTGTTTCCTGTCTTGGTCAGCAGTGTGGGTATCCAGTAAAGTATCTTTAGTTGGTTTAATGGATGTCAGATTTTTATCTGTTTAAATGAAAAACAAACATAATGATTAATTACTGCTTCCTAAGTTAGTTGCTTTACTGAACGTACCGTTACTTTAAAGAGCTTGATTAAAAAATATATATATATATCAGAATTTCACTTCGAGAAATGCGCGCACCGCTTGCCGGGAATTTTATATATTTTAAAGAAGTCTAGAAAAATGTTCAATGATATTCAGGGCCTTTTAGGGCATGAGTGATCCGAAGTCGTTTGAAAGAAATTTTGAAATTCTGATGGTCCTTAACTTAAAAACTACAGGGGTAAGCATTTTAAAGATATAGACCCGTAACTTCAACCATCGTCTGGACATGTAAATGATTTTTGTATTCGAGTCACAAGGATCAAACATTTGTCGAAACTGAACATACATTTACCTGGCTTGTTCTGGGCTGGCGCCTGAATCAAGTCCTTGATTATCTGTTCTAGCATCTTGAAGATATCATCTTTGGTAGGCATGACTTCCATTTTGTGCTTCAAGGCTTTCACATCTGAACTAATGCCCTCCAGATGTTGATTCTGTTGTTGCAGAAAACTTACAAACGCTCGATTTTCCTCTTTGATACATTCTTCTAGTTTACGAACTTTATTTGTGGGAAATTCTGACTCTGTTAAACCACCGATGACATCAATAGGGTCCGTCTTGACACCAAGAGCTTCAAATGCATCTTTAGCGTGCTTCACGTACTGGTCAAAGGTGGCTTTAGTAATTTCAGAAGTGTGCGAGTGAAAAAGTGAATTTCTTAAAAGTCGAACCTGATCAATCGCGAGTGCAACCGTTTCAGCATTGTTTCCGCTCGGGCTGGTCACCGATGCATGGAAAACTCCATGAGCCAATTTCCGAGGTTTCACGAACAGCTCACCGAGTGTCTTGTGATGACCTCCACTGTCGGGCAAAGCAAAGGACTTGGCGTGGATGGTGGCCTGGAACAGGGCGGTGCAATCCCATTCTTCATAGGAGAGGTTTGTGGGAACTTTGGTTCTGCCGGGGCCACCCTCTGAAGTAAGGAATTTATTTCTTATCGCAGCGGAGTCATCCCATGGCTGATGACCGGGAAGATGTGTCAAAGTGTTGTCCCACATGGACGTGAACGTCTGACGTAAGGCTTTTGGGAACTCATCCAGTACAATAAACGCGAATTTGAAATAGTTTAACTGCTCGTCCCGAAATGGTTGTAGTGCCATTTTGCCTTGGAAATGGTCTTTAAGGCGGTTAACCGTGCTTTTTGGCGATCTGAGGAAAATTATTAATTGACAATTTAATTATAAAAAATAACGTATCAGCAGGCCATGGTAAACTATTTCCGCAAAGTAATTGACTGACGCATATATTTGACTATTAACGGCATGCTTAATTGAAATGGTATAGAGGCCAAAACCTATTTTGATCAGAAACATAATACTTTGATAGGTTTCTACTGTGACAGTAAATGCTCGTCAGCATACAATGTTGCCCATTGGAGAGACAGTTGAGCCTGTCTTAAGCGGTCACCGACGGGGAATGACGAGCTGACTGCTAAAGAGAAGCTGACCGCTTAATGCAGGGGTGTTTTAAAAAGCGATACAAAACGCTAACAGGCCGTTGGGAATTAGTAAAGGGTGACCATGACCGCTCAATAGAGGTTAAAATTGTAGAAACTACGGAGAAAAATTCGGGACTTTGAAAAAATAACCGCTAAATACACGGTGACTGCTTGATACGCTGCCACGACTGTATTTAAAATTTAAAATCCCTAATTTTCGACCTAGCTGTTAAAAAGTATTGCGTGATATGGTTAATTTTCAACCCCGCCAGATTGGCAGCAATAGTATTAAATTAACCCAACTTTGGGGATCTAGTTGCTCAGAGGTTACAACAACTTTAAAGAATGAAAACCCATTGCATTCAACCTTCGGGCTTTGCGCCCATATTTCTGTTCAATGTAATAAAATATGTGTTTATTGTTCATCGTGGTATAAGATAAGAGATGAACTTTGTTCGTTTGTCTCACGACGAGTCACTTGATTCGTCGCCATAAGGGATACCCACGCAAGCTCGCTTGCTTATTAAGACAAATGGCGACACGTAAACAACCGACCTTATCGCCTGATTATTAATTTTTGCGATTATTATTATTATTTTTATAATTATTATTGCTACAGACTGATGTGGGATATTGATCAAATGAAGCCTTTAAGTGCTACTGTGGTTCTTTCTTTATTCACTCCGAGCTTTCGCCGTTCTACGGCATCATCAGGGAGGTTTAATGCACATCATTACTCATATTACTCTGGCAAAAACTATTTTGGAACGCGAAAAAAACCCTTTAACTGTTTCCGGTTCTGACATGTAATCTACGTTTGATCGACAAAATAAAAATGGAACTTACTTTTACTATCACTGCACCCAGGAAAAATTAATAAACAAAGCAATATAATGTACACCTCTTTAAAATAATAAATATGTCTTCTCTTAGCTTACTCTTATCATCCGGCACACCAAATAAAGCATTCCGATATCACTTTAATCGAAAAATGTACCTACAGACTGAGTTCAGTACACACAAGATATATTGACTAGAGTTGGACCATGGCGTCCAGGGCACACACAAAATCCAACTTCTCACGTACTCCCGCAATGTTCAAAGAACCGTTGAAGTTAAACTCCCTTTGAAAAGTAAGCGCGAGTCAGAAAAGAAAAGAAATGAGAGCTCGGCAATCGACATTTAATGCACATCATAACACTACGTAATACTATTAAAATTCAGGCTTACCAACACGTGCAAACTGTGGTAAACCGGGAGGCCGGTAAACCGTGGTAGAATCCAGTCTCGCTCTTTTAATTAACACTATCATGAACGACAACGAATAAATGCAATATCGGCAGAGAAAAAAAGAGGAGAAACTTACCGAATTGGCTCTGCTTTACGGCAAGGCGAAGTGAAGACTCTTCCACACAGCAACTAAACTATGTAATGGTTTCGCGCCAGTCTTCACATTCGATGACGTCATGCCCCCCAGCAGATCTCTGTTCCATTTGCGGTTTGTATTTTGGTGGTTTCGGCGAGATGCCTTGGCGGCCGTCACCACTAAAAATACAAGGATGTCGTATAGATCAGCAAATACAAAGATGGCTTAAGGATCAGCTGCAGGATAGCATAGCTAATAAAGGAATGGTATGGCCTTCGTGTCACACCACGACGATTCGCCACAACATCGAAATATTTCAAGTAATACTAAGCAATGTAATGTTCAGATAGAGCGTCTGATGTTTTGCAAAGCTATTCGACCTAACGCTACACTATTTGTGTCTACGCTGTACCATTCTACATTACGCTGAGCCATTTCACGCAACGCTACACCATTTGTGTGTATGCTGTACCATTCGACATTACGCTAAGCCATTTCACGCAACGCTACGCTGTTTGTATGTACGCTGTACCATTCGACATTACGCTGAGCCATTTCACACAACGCTACACTGTTTTTATGTACGCTGTACCATTCGACATTACGCTGAGCCATTTCCCGCAGCGCTATACCATATGTGTGTACGCTGTACTATTCAAAATTACGCTGAGCCATTTGACGCAACGCTACACCGTTTGTGCGTACGCTGTGCTACTCGACGTTGCCCTGAGCCGTTTAACGCAACGCTACACCGTTTGAGTACTGTATTGCAAATGAGTGCTAAGCTATTTGTAATTGAGCTAGTCCATTTCACAATCTCATGTTCCAACTCAACATGGGCTGCTAGACCGTTTCTCATTTGGCTAAACTATTCATGTTTAGGGTGTTCTGTTTCACGAAGGAAAACTAGACTGTCTATAATTTGGCCATGCCATTCCTTTATTAGCTATGCTATCCTGCAGCTGATCCTTACACCATCTTTGTATTTGCTGATCTATTTGACATCCTTGTATTTTTGGTGGTGACGGCCGCCCATACCTGATGAAGACTAGCAGTATTGCGGTCGAAAAGTCGCGTTTAACATCAAAAGTGACTCTATCGTGAGACAAATGAATAAAGTTCATCTCCTATCTTACACCATGATGAACAATAAACATATTTTATTACATGAAATATCTTGGTCTATTACTAATACCGTCAACATTAAATCAAAATTCGCTTGGTCGTCGCTGTCATCATTTGCTTGAGCTCTTATTAACAACTAATGTGAAATTAGACGCATTAAAAATTATACAAAATAGTGATTAAACATTCAACTCGCACTTGCAAACTCAAAATTAAAAACGCAAAATTTTAAAATCATTAGGCATCTCACTGAAAAAGCTGACTTTGCTTCTGAAGACTCAAAAACACTACCTGTCAGCGAAACAACATGAAATTCATCATCTGAATTTGATGTCGTTAACTGGTGTGTATTCGGCAAGTTTGGACGTGTTTCTTGTACATAACTACCTCGCAACCCCAGTGCACAAATTTGAATTAATTTCCTCATACATTTTGTCCATTTCATCACTATCTTCTCTCTTAAACGATTGAACCGGCGGCGTATTTGTTAAATCACTCCATGATAATCACCCAGCAACAAGAAAACGACGATGATATGAAACTGTCTAAAACAATGGAAATATAGAGTCATAGTTTTCTTGTCGAGAGAGATGCTAAATTAGTCGGGTGGCCGATGTCGCAGTTACTGCCGCTACATCGCCATACGCTATGCGTAGGAAAATTACTTTTCGACCCACTGAACCTGACTGATGATAAATCTAAAAGCCGTGTTACGAATAACAGAACACTCTGGTATTGTAATTGACATGTGCATTATTTACTCATTTAATCGGTAATTTTCCTTCTAACAGATTGGTCCTTTACCAGATCATTTCATAGAAATTCTAAAACTAAAATTCCACTGCCAAAAACGTATCGTTTGTTTTACTAATAAACCAAAAGCTACTTTTTAAAGGCAATAAACCACAGTTCTTGAACCTAAAGCAAATGCTGTCTTTTGCTTAGTAGATAAAGGTTCTTTTTGTCGTCGCCACAAAGTTTCGCTTGACATACCTTGGACATGCATATGAAATCAGTCGCATGAAACATCCGCGTAGCATCCACACAAATTACTCAGCATTCAGTTAACTTGAATCAGTTATCATGTATTGAAATAACCGGCTGCATTTGCAAGTGAAAAGTTCGCAAGTATCGAGAATCTAATAACTAAGCTCTGCACTCCTGAATATAAAACCTAAATTTTGCCAGAAATACTTACACAAGCGATGTAACGTTTGAAACTAAAAATGATTCAATCAGCTCAACCGAGATTCATTCCTTAGCCATTGAGCTTAACGTGAACTATGAAACAGTACTTAAGAACAAACAAATAAACTGAAGCTCAATAGCAATCGACGAGATTTCAAAGGAAGTGAACTTTTTGTAGCATATTAATCAAAAATGTTTGAAACATTATGGCAGTGTCGCAGTCATCTTCTAGTCTTAAAAATCGAAGTTTGGAAACTTCGTTGCGTTATCCGTTGATTAAAATATAAACCCTAAATTTTGAGAATAAAATTACCTTAATCGAAGATTGTGGGGTGGAAGCTGATGTTAAATGGCTTCTGAATGGCGATTAATCATGGCATTGACGACTCTTAAGACGAAGTATGCTGAGTCAACAACTCAACGGAATACCTGACCCACAGCCTTACCAACAACTCAATGTACCGTGTCGCATTTGCATGGCTAAAGATCACCTGGTGATCTGATCAAGTAACCTGAAAGTTATAAGTGGCGACCTAATCAAAAAAGATATTTAACGACCTAAAGTTACTTAAGGACATAACTTAATGCAGCACCCATGATCTACTGGTATATCTCTTGTGAACTGGAGTGCGAGTTTTTTTCTGTTAATTTGATACCGCTGAAGGTCTATCAATCTGGGAAATCAAAGTGTTTTTTAATAAAAAAAAATTACTCATGAAGACTCAAATATAGTGTCAAAACTCTTTCCAGTCCAGGAGGCCTTAACACTCGACAGCAACCGGAAATAGGGACGGCTCTTTTGTTAGCTGCTTGCTACAAGTCCTTACCGTAGTGTTTTCTTTAAATTTCTTTAAGGGACTTTACTAATTATTAGTTAGATCATATTGCCGTCAACATCACGAAAGAAATCACGTGGATAGTCAATTTACAACTATGTGCTTAGATACCACGCCTCTGAACAGAATAGAGGCTAAGGGTGACTTTGTAATGATAGAGACAAGAAAATACTCATCTGCATATGAAATGTAACTTTACTCATAATTCTAAGGTGAACTTCAATCCTTCATCTTATTTACAAAGTCTTAAAAGCAGTACACAAAATACCATAAAATAGACTCACACAACAAAGCAAGAAGGTCAAAACAAGTACACATCTCTATAATTTATTTTTCACGCTACTTAACATAATCACTCATTAAAAAGTAATGTATTACAGCATTTTCAATGCATTGTTTTTCTTTCAGAATTACACATTTGCCAAAGAGAGGACAAAGTGTGACATACAATATATTACGTTTACTTTTGACTGTTCGATTTTCTTTGCACTTAACGTAACGACTCACATAATTGTTTTGTATATAAATAACTTGTTAAATAAATACCACACAGTTATTTACCTGCAACAAATAACAACAATATAAGTAATATCATATCACTTATCACCTCGCAATATTAGAATCATCAACCTGAAAAAAAGGCCCTTAAAAATGAATAAAACCTTGTAAAACCGTTAAAAACGTAGCAACTACATTAATATTTGCAATAGTTATTTTCCTGGGTGATTACACCCGATTGCAAACAAACACAAAATCAATTCTGTGACGAATAAAATGAACAACGGATCATAGGAAGGGCATCCATCAAAAGAATATGAAATACTTGAAATAAGGTTTCATTTAGTTTATAAAAAAATAAATATATAAATAAAAAGTCAGAATAATCTTGAGGTCACAGTCTAAAAGTTAAAATTCACTGTTTAATCCTGAATTTCTGTTTTGGAAGCAGTGCAGCCAAATGGCTGGACTTGCAATCTGGAAATCACAAATTCAAGGTCTCCACCCAACAATTCTCTAAATTTGTCCTGGGTAATTGCCCTAGGTTCAACTCCTTGGCCACACTTTACATAATTAACTGAACTAAAAACATTCTACTGACAACAACTATTCACTTGACTCTGATGATGACTTCTGCTCAGGTTGTGGAAACATCAGTCACCATTACTAACAACAGTTTTTGTCAGGACTATATTCACCTGTACAATCAGACTACACTATCACATATTAACCCTGGGTTCAAACCATTTACTGTTCTTAATAAATTAATTAGTCAGGTTAGGCAGCTGAGACTAACCAAATTTGAAAAATATTTTTGTAGTATTTGTTCTTCACTTACATTCTCCCTGCAGTTCAAGCCTACCGAGGGATTCAGTTATTACACCAGTTTTTTGTTAAATATCAGTAATAAAATAATTTTCTTATAATTACAAAATCAACAATACCATTAATAAAATAACATTTCACCTTTGTAACTCAACTTGTTGTAAATAAATTATGACACATATTACTTCATAAGCAATAATTTAGAGTTAAATTATATCATTGTAAACAATTTTCTTCATTCTTTAAATAATTTTAGTTTATTCATTTTTCTGAAGCATCTCAGCAAGCTGGAATCTTAAATCCATGAATCTGGTTGGCTAGTCTAACTTTTTATAATAAAGACCACAGTCCAGAATTTTTCTGTGCCATTCACAGCAAAGCAGAAAAAAGCAAACCACCAAAAAAAATTACTGTCCAAAAAACCTTTCCCTATATATTGTCAGAGTACATCTCTCTGTCTTGTCTGTTTCAATGCTACAGATTGTAATTGTTTTTCTCTACTTGTTGTTATTAATAAACTAACGCCTCTTCTGGAGGCTCAAGCCCAGTATGCAATGTGATTTGTACATTACGACTCAAACTGAATGCGGCATAAAATGCCTCTGAAGTATCAGGCAGTCGCATGAGACCTCTCTTCTGGTCATTTAAATAGTATGTCACTTTGTGATTTGGTATGTCCAGTAACACTCCGATTACTGAACCAACATCTACCCCACCATCACGTCGATTGGAGTGCTCATTGTTGTGACGAAACCAGCTCCGACTGCTATCAATGTACATGCACCATGCTTTGTCATCTTTTCCCAGAATGGAATCCTTGATCGTGCTTGCTAAGGCAACACCAACTGCTGGATCAGGGTTTCCATCATAGCGATCGATGGTCACCTCCCAGTAATGACAGCCCCTGGAAAAACCAATGTTACCCAGCACAACTCTGTCATCAAAGCTGGTGCATGTTGTTGTTGAGTTGTCATTTGTAAGAACTATGTCTGGATGGGCAGTAGCAGGATCCAAAGAGAACCAGGCAACTAAAATACAAGGGAAAAATATTAAGCTTAAAACTAACAGTATGTAGTTAACCCTTTCACTCCCTTAAGTGACCAAGACAGAATTTCTCCTTACAATGTCGACACAATATCAAGCAGGCAGGTGATGAGAATAGAGAAGAATATCAATCATGAGATTATTACCGGTAGTTGATCCAATACCAAATTCTTTGAACTAACATCATAAGAATTGTATGGCAAATAGTAAGGAGAATTACTAATTAGATCCTGGGAGTGAAAGAGTTAAGCACTTCCAGGTCAGAATACTCTGGTGTAATTTTGTTCCAAATTTATCTGAAAAGATTGACCCCTAGAAAGCTGTATCCCTACCTGTCTCACAAAGGTCATAAAATATTGAATCCCTGCAAACATTCTCTCCTGTTACCTTTCAATTATATATCCAAAGTCAGCTTTTAGTAAGCTTTAAGAAAATATATACTTAAACAGGGTTGAAAGTGATCTTCACAGTTTTGAACACTGCTTCAGTAGTAGTGAAAATAAGGATTGAAAAAAAATTCATGCCTGTATAAGCTTTATTTCCACTACTGCTTAAGTAGTGTACAAAACTGCACAAATTGATTCCATATTCAATTCTTTATCTGCAGTTCTCAAAATGATCTTCATATCTTTCCAGTCATTTACAGGGTTAGGGTGCATAATTTTCAAGCTATCTCAGTTTGACTGAAAATGCTAATTTTCCTTCTATGATACCTTAACCATAAAAAAATTATATCACATTAATAACAGTGAAGATAGGGCTATTTCTTGCGGTCTTCAGAAATTTGTTCCATCCTAGTAATCTCTCAACTATTGCTGTTACTTTGCACTTGTAACCAAATTTTTTTTTAAAGTCATAGACTGAATTATTTTTTACTTCATCCATATCGTATACAAAAAACTTCAGTTTGGAAAACAAAATGTGCGGGAGACTCTAGGAAATGAGGGCAATATTTCACTCTAATATGTAACAATTACTATCTTTTTCTTACCATCAGATGTCGTCAGATACACCTCATCGCTTGGAGCACCCTCCCCGGCCTTGTTGAAACCTTTGACTCTTGCTCTGTATGTAGAGTTAAACTGCAAGCCAGATACAGTGCACTCCAAACAACTCCCACGATACACTTCCTGAAAATTGTCCTCTTTACCACTTGAGGTACCATCATCAATCTCAACCACATAGCCATCAACACAGCTCTGTTTGATTCGAGGTCTCCATGATAATGTGATTGCATTGTTTGTGACAGTGCATTCATCTGGGACTATTTCTGGGGCTATTGGAGCTGCAAAAGAGTAAACAAGTAAATAAATGACATAAAGAAAACTATAAGGAGCTGAGTTTTTTGTCAAACACATCACATTCAGTCAATGCAGGTTTCTTTCTTTAACCCTAGAACTCCCAGATCAAATTTGTAATTCTCCTTACAGTCAACCATACAATTCTTATAATGTTAGTTCAGAGAATTTAGTACTGGATCAACTAATTCTCCCCAAATTGATATTTTTCTTTGTTCTCATCACTTATCTGGTTGATATTGTATTGATATTGTAAGGAGAAATTCTCTCTTGGTCACTCATGAGAGTTAAAGGGTTAACAACTGCATTCATTGACCCAAGGATAGTCCCAAAATACACTTTCTTTTTGTAAACCAACGGTGCCTAACATGCCATTCACACCAGCAAAACATGTTTTGTTAAACTAGGTTTCACTGAATGATAATCAGAAATAGATAATTGAACAACTGGATTTCCTGTAGGTTTTAAGTAGGCAATAACTTCTATTTTCAGTGTGCTAAATTTGAATTGACAAACATAGGTTTAAGGAAGCTTTTATGAAGAAAACAATTTTAAACTGTGTTTGAAAAAACAGCTTTTAAACATCTTTACAATTTGGTGAGAATGGGGTATAAGTCATACCACTGAATCATTTACCTTTGAGTTCTATGAAGTGCAAATCATGGAGGGCTTGTATTGCTCCTGATGTGTCCAAAGTCAATTCCAGTTCCACACCAGTAGTTGGTTCAAGTTTTACTTCTTTCGACCAGTGATTAACAACATTCAAAATTCTGTTATTGTACAGAAGAAAGAAGAAAATGAACCATTAAGCTTCTTGACCCCTTCTAGGACTATTTCAAGCTTGTATATCACAAACTCTGCGAAAAATGATCATTTTTGCATAGTTTATAAGATCTGTTTTCCATCATTAAACTGT